TTTTTTGCTCTCTTTTTTGTTTTAATTCTGTGTTGAATATTCTAAAGGTTAACTTTTCAGCTCCTATGGTATTTTCTGGATCCCTGGTGCTCAACAGAACATGGACTGCTGCACTCAGTGACAATAAGACACCACAGTATAAGTTACTTTCCAGAGCCCTTGAATACGAGGCATGCATTTTACTTCATTAAGTAACAGAGCACAATAATTCTTCAGGAATTAAACTCAGTTACAATAGTCACAGATATGATAACTTATCTTTATCAGCTGGATACTGCATTCCTGACCAGTCCACTGAAGTCTCTATTTAACTCAAGCCAAGTGGCGGGATTCAGGTACGATAATATGTTCTTCTGTTGTTTTGTTTTGTTTTTTTTAATGAAGGGCCTTTTCTGATTACAAAGGAAGGGATCTACGAATTAGTGAAAATTAGGTAGAGTCATTGAAACATCTTCCCACCAACATTTTAACCAGAAATGACAAAATTATGATATCTAGAGTGCTTCTTCAAGTAGTGTAGATGGTCAAATCATGAATGGCTAACAAAGGATCGGGCCACGCAGTTACTGTAGGGGCCACGAAGTTACTGTAGTTAAATTCTCAATACAGATATAGTAAGTAATATGCGAATAGAGTGCTCGGTCGATATGCTTTCTCAAAAGTCTATATATCTAGGGATTGACCTCATCAGAAGGTTTTTTTGTTTTCTTACTTTTTTAAATATCGGTTAATAAGAAATGTCTTAAAAATCCATGTTTCTAATACTCAGTAGTTTCTCATATAAGACAGCAGAACATTTTAACTGGCAAGATTTTAAAACTGCAGCTTATCTGAGTAGGATTGAAAATGAATTTCAAACTAAAATTTCAATCCAATGTATTCTCAGACGTCGGTGTCGGGACAGAGGAGAAGATTTCCTAAAAAAAAATAATGATTTTCACTATATAATCATTAGAGCCCCGCCCTAACACCAGACCCCTGACCCAGGGATCATGAAATTCGCAATTTTAGAGAGGCAACCTTCTTCATCATAACTATGTATTTAGTTTGTTTTCTTAATATCCAGGGACAGAGGAGAAAATTTCTTAAAAAATAATGATTTTCACTATATAATCATTAGAGTCCCGCCCTTGCGCCAGAACCCCTGACCCTGGGGCCATGAATTTCACAATTTTGGTAGAGTGCTTATTACAATAATGCCAGCAGTTTGACTGCTTGATGTCCAGGAGTAAAGAAGAAGATTTCTAAAGATTGCATTCATTTTAGTGTTTTTGCCCTGACCCTCAGGCCCCAAGGAGGCAGGGACCACGAAATTTACAAGTTTTGTTCCCCTTTACCCATAGATGCTATATGCCAAAATTGGATGAAACTGGTTGAGCGGTTTCAGAGAAGAAGCTGAAAATGTTTAAATGTTAACGCACATGGCGCGACGACGGACGAAAACAGATAGCAATAGGTCACCTGAGTTTACTCAGGTGACCTAAAAACCTGGTTTATAAGTTGTTTTATCTTAATCATGTGATCTAGTTTGAGCCAATCAAATACCTGAGAACGATTTTAAAGAGAGAATATTATATAATAATAATAATAATAAAGAATCTACAATTTCTGAATCAGTTAAAAAGTTTCAACAAGAATTAGATCCAAAGTTTTCTTTTAAAATTATGCAAAACCAAATTGGGCCACAAAAGATTTATAGAGAAGCATACAGTTGGATAGGTTAGTATGAAGATCCTAAGATTTATTTGAAACATGATCCCCAGGCTAGTGCGATGCCACAGTTCATCAAAATTGGTACCGTATATGATTTACTTTATACAGAATAGTGACTAAAAATTTCAAGAAAACAAGGTCTCAATGTTTTAAGTTAATATGCAAGAATTTTTATAAACAATATACTTAATTGTAGACATCACGTCCACCTTTGTTCTGAATAAAGTATATAAGTCGATCTCCAAAAAGAAAGAAGAAAAATGTGTCCCAGATAGCATTGTTGGCCCTTTACCTCTTACAATTAAAGGAAGATTTCTAAAAATCTATTTTGACAGTTCTGGTAGTGTCAGGGCGTTTTTCAAGATAACGTTCCACGTCACTGTGATGGATGATGGACAGGTGGATACGTGGAGTGTGAACGCCACCGACGTTAAGCGGACGATCGAGCAGGAGACGAGGAGACAGCAGATGACACGAACCATTGGCTACCTCAGTACAGTAATGACAGGAAGCATATCAGTCAAACTACTTAATGGTAAACGTCGTGTACAAAGAGACATTTTCATATTGAAAGACACTTTTCAATGCAAAGATATTACTGTAATAATAAATTAATAAACAGTGTTGTTTCGAGTGTTTTGATTTAAACTCTGGTAACATTTTTGAAAACCATAGTCAAGTGTAATGGGTTATATATTTATTTATTTATTTATTTATTTATTTATTTGTATATTTAGTGTTAAATTCGGTTTTCCAGACATATCTAATCAGTACAGAAGGAAACAATAAGATTTTAAGTATTCAAAAAGTTTCTTCCAGTCGAATATTTGTTTCCATAAAAAATTACGCATATTTGCAACTACACGCATTTTGTTTTCCTTTTTTTTTTTGGGAATGTTATATATATATATACTATTAGTTACTGTTTGGGCACAAATGTTACAGAGTTTAATTAATCAAAACACTCTTATAAAGATAGTACAATGGAAACAAATTATTTCGACCAATTGTAACAAACATCATAGAACATTACAAAAACATCAACAAATATAGTTTAAAAACCGAATCTGGCACAATTTAAATATAGAAATTCAAACAATTGGTCGAAACAGAATTAGGATATTGATTATAAATGTAGATCGTTTGCAGAAAAGGCTGCTGGAACATGGACATGAGAGGTACTTCTTCTTTCAAAAATCAAATTGAATTTTTAAACCTAGTTTTCAAATTTAGTCTTCCTTAACTTGTCCTCTTTGTCGATTTTGTGTAAGCTATATATATATATATATATATATATATATATATATATATATATATATATATATATACACAGAAGAAACTGCTCATTTCATATAACTTTAACAATCAATTTTTATCGGATTTACCAAAAAAAAAAAAAAAAAAAAAGAATGAAAGACACTTCATTACATTAGGACCTTAAATTGTCACTTCCGCCGAGCACGGGCATTTTCTCATAGTAATGTCCCGTTTGTTTTTTAATTCAAATAATCAAATTTACATTAGCATTATTTTAATAATTGGTCTTGCATTCTCTTGTTAACTTGCATGACTGAGATAGGAAGATGCTCAAAAACGCTTTAATATATTACACATAATTATATGTATACATTAAGGATTTTTTTTCTCTATTAATCCTTGAAACAGGACATTTCTATAAGTCCCTGAATTTCAAAACTGAAGATCTGGATTGAATCGAAACTCAAATAAACTAACATCTCCCAGTTTGTAACGATAACTTTTTTCCCCTTAAATTTTAAAGAAATGACAAAATGTTATATTTCAAGTCAAGAAGAAGAGAAAATCTGCTATTGTACTAATCCTTGACACAAAACTGCTTTTGAAAAAAATAAAAGAAAAAAAATCGGTTGTCAGGTGCAATGCAGGATTATTATTTTTAGCAAGACATCATTTAAATCTGAAAATGCTACAATATATAATTTTACCTGACTTGATTCGTATAAAACCTAATCATCAAAGGCTTTCCATGTATCTGACGATGAAACACAGAATACTACCTTAAGTAGAAAACTATTACATAACTATAAAGGTTCGTGAATTGGTTTATTAGTATATCTATTTACATGTATCTATTTTTTTTTTTAATCCTTTCATAAGCTGGTATAAGATATTACTCGTTGAATATTTGTAAATTAATAGAGGATATTCAATGTTTTTGTGGTTGGATATTGAATTTATTTAACTCGTGAGACAGGATTTTTTTTTCATATTTTCACTCGTCCTTCGCACTCATGGAAATATAAAAAAAAAAATCCTGCCCCACTTGTGAAATAAATTCCATATCCAACTGCAAAACATTGAATTTTCTGTTTATTACATTTTCTTTGATTTTCTCTTTGCTTCTGTCTTTTCGTAACGTAGTATCACAGGCTGTGACGTCATAGTTGAGCGGTTGAGACTTAGCATTTGTGAGATTGAAAACATTGTAACATGGATTTCAGCAATATATTTGGGAAGAAATTGGCAGCTTTAGCTCTATCAAGACGGTTTAGTCACTATATCTTATTATACGCCAAAAATTATTTTTTTTTTACTTATTTTGATATCCTTCACACTGTGAAAGAATATCACTTTGATATCCTTTAGTTGTCTTTGTGAGAGAAAATCACTTAACCACAGTATTTCACGGTTGAAAATGTAATAAATTGGGATATCTAGCAGTTGATTAAAAAGTCAGGCGTAAGAAAATGTGATATATCTTACCAGACCGTTAGAATTAATAAAACTTCTTAGATTTTTATGTTTTTTATTTTATATTTTTAAATATTTTTTATCTCCATATTTCATTTTAAAATGATTAAATGTAGAGAAAATAAACAAGCAATTTTCTTTTAAAATAGACAATATCACCAGACCTGAGTATTTCAATTTTCATTCCTTCATTTGCATGTTTTAATACTGTAGATCACTTTATTTTTGCGACACCTTATTTTCGCGAGATAAGTAATTGGTATTTATTAGCGAGCTATGGGTTTTTGTTGGATAATCCTTAACAAAACAAATATACGCAAGAATAAAATTTTGCGAGCAGACAGACTCGCGTAATTACGCGAAAATAAAGGTCTCTCGAATAAAAAGTGATTTACAGTAGCTTTTTAACAGTTTTCGAGCGGATGAAAAAGCGGTTTTGCATAGAACATGCAATCTTTTTAAACAACTAACAAGTAATTCACTAAAGGAAAGAAAATTACTGTTTTTTCTGAATATACATGTTTGGATTCTGTTTAACAATAGCTCCAGTCGTGTTAATGGGAGACCTTTTTCTGAACGAGGCTTGGAGTGATTCTCTGAATGACCCAACATCACCAATATTTCGGAATCTTACAGCTCAGCTCAAGACAGAGGTAGAGTGCTCGTCCCATCTCTGAATCACTGCAATAGGAAATAACGAGCAGCAACAATTCCGAATTATTTTATACATTTTAAAGAAGTCGTATGACAAAAATGTTCTTGCAAGTCCTACTAAACTCATCCATTGAATTTAATTTCAGTTACAAGCCACCTTATTGAAATTGACAGAAAATGACTTTCTCAACGTAGAAATTTTGGGATTCAGGTAGACGAATTTCAAAGAAATCAAAACTATGCTGGTGAAAATTGCCTTGAAAACTGAACAACTACTTAATATTTTATTTATTTTGTAGGCCGGGTAGCATAGAGGTTGTATTCAGAATAGTGATGACAATTAATACCACGCAAACTCAGTCGCAAATCGACGTATCAACAGTAATTCAAGCAATTCAAAACGAGGCAAACCGCCAACTACAGCAAGCGGTTTCTGGTCTTCTTCAGAAACTGATATCTCTGACTGTGGACAACCAAACTCTAGGTATACGGTAAAAGTGATTCAGATGATAATCACTTCACATTTTGTTTTCATTATTTTTTGTGTACAATCAGTGTTTGGTTTCCATTGATATTTTCCAGCCAATGCAACAACATCATCTGTAGCTTCAATAACTACCACTGAAACAGCACCAAATCAAAAAACGACAACTCACTCAGAAACAACTAGTACTGAAGCAACCACTACTCAACCGCTAATAAATAAAACAGAAATAACAACTAATTTTGAACGACCAACAAACAAAACTGACGTAATTACATCAACTACACAGACATCAGCTACAAAAGAAGTAACAACTACCTCTGAACCAACTAACACTGAAACAATCACATCGACTTCTCAACAAGCAGCATCTTCTTTTGAACCAGAGACTTCCACTGAATCAATCACAACTACTACTACTCAGCTAGCAATCACAACCACCCAACCATCAACAACTGCCACGGAAGAAACAACTGATTTTAAATCAGGAACAACTTCGACTGAACCAACCACAGCAACTACTCAACCAGCAACAACTTCTATTGAACCAGAGACTTCTACTGAAACAATTACTACTTCTACACAACCAGCAAAAGCTACTTCTAAACCAACAACGATTTACAGTGAATCAATTACAACAACTTCTCAACCAGCAACAACTTCTTTTAAACCATGGACTTCTATTGAAACAATCACTACTTCTACACAACCAGCAACAACTACTTCTAAACCAACAACAATTTACAATGAATCAATTACAACAACTTCTCAACCAGCAACAACATCTATGAAACCAGAGACTTCTACTGAAACAATCACTAGTTCTACACAACCAGCAACAACTACTTCTAAACCAACAACACTTTACAATGAATCAATTACAACAACTTCTCAACCAGCAACAACATCTATGAAACCAGAGACTTCTACTGAAACAGTCACTACTTCTACACAACCAGCAACAACTACTTCTAAACCAACAACGATTTACAGTGAATCATTTACAACAACTCAACCAGCAACAACATCTATGAAACCAGAGACTTCTACTGAAACAATCATTACTTCTACAGAACCAGTAACAACTTTAAAACCAGTGACTTCCACTGAAGCAAACATAACCACTACTCAATCAGCAACAACTACTTCTAAAACAAAAAGTACGACTGAAGCAATCACAACAAGTATTCAATCAGCAACAGCTACCATGGAAACAACAACTAGTTCTAAACCAGCGATAACTTCAATTGAATCAATTATAGCACTTACTCAACAAGAAACAACTACCTCTTATCCAACAACTTCGAATGAAACAATCACAAGTACTAATCAGCTAGCAATCACATCCACTATCCAACCTTCAACTATTGCAGAAACAACAACCTCTTTTAATTCAGCAACTACCTCCATTGAATCAATCACAATCACTACTCAACCAGGAACAACATCTGAACCAGCAACTTCCACTGAAGCAATCGTAATCACTTCTCAACCTGCAACAATTATCACTGATGCACTATTCACCACTCAACATGCAGTCATAGGCAGTGAAGCAGCAATTTCTACTCAACTAATAACAAACATTGAGGCAACAACTACTATGTATCCAAGAGTAACCACTGAAGCAGTCAAAACTATTCAGCTATCAACAACGACCGATAACACATCCACCAGTTTTAAACCAGCAAGAAATACCAGTGAAACAGCTACCGCTACCATTTCTCTGTCAGCCACAACTACAAGTCAATCAACAACAAATACTATTAAGCCAACAACTTCATTTAAAACACCATCAAGTACTCAACTAGACATAATTATTATTGAGACATCAACAATTTTGCAGTCAGTAATTTCTACCATTGAAGCAAACATTACTCAACCCACCCTTGTAACAACTGAAAAATTTACTACTACTAAACTAGAAGCAACTACCCCTCAAGCAACCGCTACACAACGTACAACTAGCGTGACAACTGCTGCTATACCGGATGCCTGTCAGGATAAAACATCAATTGTGGCTAATGGATGGGTGTGCGTTCTTCCACACTACAGTATTATCACCACTGAGACTGATGTTGATTTGTTTTGCAGGTATATTGATGGAAGACATTTTCTTGGCTCTTATTGTGAATTTTACATGTTTTATGTGAATAACATTGAAAAGTCTTATACTAAACTCTCAAAAGAAAAACTGTAAAATGTTGTCTTTTTTCTCTCCAAAACTTTGAATTTTTTCTCAATTTATCAATAATCCATGTTCTTGTTGAAAAATTCAAGAAAAATATTTTTATTAAAAATGAAGAAAAAGTAGTGTATTTTAGGTCACCAGGGTCACTGAAAGGAATGTCGTTGATGACCATCAACGACACTCAAGGGTCCTCTTATTTCATGTATATTTGATTTAATGATCACAAAATCTGAGACATAATTAAGTTAGAATAACTTTTTAACTGTTAGCTACTAAGTATTCAGCATCATGATCCTCTAATCTCATTTGTTTACAGGGTTATTCGAGATGTTCTTAACTGTACCGTGAGCAATGTGGAAAAGGACTTGAATGTCACCTGTTCATCCAATAGTTTGAAAACAGTCGCCAGTGTGTATAGTCCTTTACTTCAGGGCTCAATAAAGATGAAACACAACCCAGCGGAGTGTAAGCAGGCTTCGTTAAACATAATTTAGGCTCTGTTATAGGAATATAAAAAATATTTACACCATGTAACTTATTATTTAAGGTAACTTGGAACCTGTCAATGAAATATGCGTTTCCCTGGTACTATTTACAAAATCTGAGTATCTTCAGTGCTTCAAGACTTTCAATTCACTATCTGACATGCCCAAAGCAATGGAACAAGAAGAAAGATGCAGGTAAAAAAAACATTAGTTGTCCTTTGTTATTATTTTTATTATGAAGATGTAATATATCAAGTCTAATGTGAAATATGGCAAGAGCTGTTGTGTTTCTAGAATTTACGCACACTCTCTTCGATGTGTTGAAGAAAACATAGCAGATTGTGAGGCACGCAGAATCCACAAACTAATCAATTCCAGCAGCTTAGAAATTACCAGAATAAACGGCAGCGTTTATGATCCTGAATGCACAGGTAAATAGTATGTAGTAAAAGAAAATGTAGGGCATTTTGATGACACTAGATGAAAGTATAGGATAGAAATGTTACTATGACTGAGGCAACGGTTTCGTATCTATCGCATTGCAGAGGTGTCACCGTTTTGAAATGATAATAGAAGTATAAATTTCAGATTTATTTTTGAAAGGTGATACTGTATCACTCATACCTCATGTATGCAATTTAGCCGAAGTCACTTTTTCGAACGTGTTACAGCAATTATATGAAATACATTTTCAATACACCTTTCTTAATTTTTTTCTGAATATTCTGAAACATAACTTATCTTGGGCGTAAATCTTGATAAAAAAAAGGGTCCTGTGTTCTATGAATTATAATTCCTACTGATTGCATTTGATTTTCAGTCTTGGAACCCTCTCAGTCGTTCTGTGATGACGAAGAGACTCTACTTCTATACATATATGGGAAGTGTTATATTGACCTGCTGATTCTCTCACGGACTACCTGCTTTATGTAAATATTACAACAATAACGTTTCATAAAGTACATTTTAAACCTTTGCATTTCCTGACAGGTGGGAAAAGCTTCTGGTAAAATGTCGGTTTTGAAATGAATGCAAGGATTTTTTAAAATCTGTTTTTGAATATTTGGTCAATTTCTTCCCGTAAAGCCATACACATATTGAATCGCTCATTCATTTTACAATCATTAACAATTTAGGATGTAATTATAAATTTCAGGGTGGGTTCTCTTATGGACTGTGTTTATAACCAAACAGGAGAACTGTATTTTAACTGCTCCAAAACTTCCATCAGATCAGCTCTACGTAATGCTACCTCCTTTTATGAGAGGAAGTTTCCCGGCTATGGTCAACAAATTACGACTTGTATATCACGTACGTACTCAAACTTACAATCTAACTTTTGTTAATTTTCATTGATCAATATGAGGTTCATTTGATAATTATTTAATGCAAATACTGGAAGTGCACTTCTATTAGCCCCTTTTTCGATTTATGAGGTTCAATTCGTCAATTCAACCAAACTATGTTTTTTCTGTGATTTGCTATTAAAATAATGTAAGGGAAATTGTTGCTATTGTCCGAATAATCAGTAAATAGGTGTTATATTACACCGAAGCAGATTTGTTATTAAATTTTCATTCAATCTTTCTGTGAGGACAGTACGTTAATGAAAATGGTGTCCTCATGCAGCCTTCAGTGTCTTATCATTCAAAACCGGACTATATTATAAAACGATTGTGGAATAAATAATAAAATAATTATGGATTTTTTAAATGGTGAATTTGGTTTGATATCCACCAGAAAAATATTTATATTGACCTCGACTTCGCCTCGCTCAATATTGATACTTTTTTTGGTGAATATCACACCATATTTTTCTCCTCGGTCAATATTGATATTTTTCTGGTGAACATCAACAAAATTCACAGCCTAATTGTATAATATTCATGCTGTGTATCATTGATACTTTTTGTAGTTTCAAGATTTTACCAATCAGCTTTTGCGTATAGTAAGTGTATCTGTATTCGAAGATTCTTTTTCCAGAAGTCACAGATACGAATTGCAGTATAGCACTTCAGGCTATTTTTAGTCATCCAGAAGCACAGAAATGCTTGGGAATCTACTTTTTACTGTTAGTTACAAATAGCTCTTCAGCATTGTCAGAGAAAACACAATGCTAGTGAGTCAGTCTTGTTTATACTCAACAATTTAAAAAAAATCATTCTTATTCTTTTGAATACTTTCGAAATCAAAAGAAATTTACATTTAATGTTTCTTTTTTACTAGAAATAAATCATTTACATTTTCTCTGTTTTTAGCGTATACCAGTCCGTTGTGCATTGTGTAAAAGATCGATTACCTTTGTGTACATTGCAAGACTATGACAGTCTTTTGAGGCCCCTGATTGCTGGTGTCTATAAACAAAAGATTCCCTCAGTGTGTCGAGGTATCTATTACTTACATAATAAATAATATAAATTTTCAAACTAATTAAAAATTCATATATAATATTCTCTCAAAGAATATTTAAACTGTATAATCGTTTTTTTTTTCTTCAAATAATTGTTTACTAAACTTTCGACAAAATTAGCAAGAATATGACAGCCCCGAAAAATTTCTTTCTCTACATTTATTTTTTGTTGGGGGGGGGGGGTTACAACATTGATGACAATTATTTTCTTCTGCCTTTTATAACAAAATTGTATTTTTTTTTTTAGTTAATGCTGTCTTAGTTCCTGCCTGCACAGTAGAAAGTGTTGTAATAGACAATGCTGATATATACTGCAAATCAACACTGGCAATTCTTCAAGCTTCATGTAGTTCGACATCGTAAGTAATTTTCCCCGTTTTATAAAGCGTTCTGAGAAAAGATGAAAATACTTGGGCTTGTCTTCAGTCTCCATCCAACCATTTCTCTAGAAGTAAGAAGAGGATATAGTTTATTATTTCCTATGTAGCTTGTAACACGAGCTTTGATTGGTTACAAAGTCGGGTGTAAATTTCCGTACACCCGACTGAACCGGGGGTAAAAAACGTGATGTCACAATGCAAAGTTTCTCTATGATAAAAAGCAGATAACATGACGTCACGATGCATTGTAGGACGTAGTAAATCTTAACGATAGCTTGAAACACAGTTGATTGGACTAGAATTTATTTGAGTACATAGGAAATAAATTCGTTATCCAGGTCCATTAATCAAGGGTGTACGGGGATTTACCCCGGGTTGTATTCCATACAACCTTAGCTTCGGCCGAAGGCCTCAGGGTGTATGGAATACAACCCGGGGTAAATCCCCGTTCACCCTTGATTGGGCCTGGATAAATAATAATGTTTGTTATATGGAATTTATTTCACGAGTCCGACAGTATTTTTTTATTTTAACGAGTGCGAAACACGAGTTAAAATATCAAAACCCTGTCTCTGGAGTGAAATAAATTCATCAATCAAAAACAAAACATTGAACTTTCTGTTTCTTACATTTCTTTGGTTATTAACTCACCTGAGCCGAATGCTATATTACTTAGTGTAGATTCAAATTTGTTCAAATCATGGCCACCGGGGCAAGGGCGGGGCCACAAAGTTTAACGTAGGAACATTTCTGAAAAACTGTCTCCAAAGAAAAGCAAAGACATGATAAGTCATATTTATAAGGTGAGAGATATGGTCTGTGGGCCTCTTGTTCGTTTTTTTTTTTGTCTTTTCAAAGGCAGTGCCGTATGTAGTGACGTCATAATCTAGCGGTTGTAAGGCATAGCTATTAGATTATGAGATTAAAATTGTTTTCAAAGTGAAAAATATTACTTTTTCTCTTTATAAAAATATAACTTTTATTTAATGGATAAATTACAGTATTTCACTGCTGAAAAGACAATAACGGTGCTACGTTCTCTTTTAAATGCATTTTGAACCGTTTTCCAAATTTGGATTGCACATTCTTTTTTTAAATACACTCAAATGTACATTTTTTTTAATGTACATTCTCTTTTAAAAACGCTCAATTCGTTTTCCAATTTTTAAGTGCATTGGTAGATGTTTCTTTGACATATTTATATCATTTTAGAATAATACATAGTTAAAGCATAGAGTGGAAATGCAGATTATTATTTTATCATTATTATTTTGTATCACGACGATTGTAACAATAATGATTTTTTTTATAAAATTAGCTTGACCAGTTAACCTTTCAAGAATATGAAATTGGTCATTCGACAATATTTTTGATGTTCTCAAAACTTTTCTGTTTAAAAAAAGTTTAATTCACAGAAGAAAGAGTAGATAGAGAGGTTATTCTAGTTTCTCTAGATCTGTATCGTATTTTCCTTCCTCCTATTATCCCCCTTTCCCTGCCTCTCCTTCCATTTTCTCTGTTCACTAAAAGATTTCCCATGAAAACCGTAGTCACTACCAATATTGCGATCCTCGAGAGATGTCAATACATTGTTACACGCTTTTTAAAGTACTTTAAAAACTTTACATGTTTTGGAAACAATAAAAGATTGAAAAATTTATGCTTATTTTTCAAATATAGTATGGAAATATTTATGCTTCTTTTTACAAATATTGTAAATATTTGTTGACTTGAATTTCTTACAGCGTCAATATGTACCTGGGATGTATTTGGAATGCAATGAATATGACCAGCAACTACTGCACAGAAGATGAAGTTCGCTCTGTTATGGCCAACGCAACGTATTATTATGAAAAACTATTTCCAGGGGAGGGTCTAAAGATGACCAAGTGTATAAAAAGTAAACAAATCAATTCAATGGTCATATGTAGGAATAGACACATTGTGAAAAAGACATTTTCTATTATGGCTCCTGGATCAAAAAACTGAAAACACTATTGATTTTTTAAATTTTTTCTGTGCTTTTTTTTTTTTTTTTACTTTTGAACATTTCATATTTTAGAATTTCTGTTTTTCATGTCAAGAATCGTCCAATGGACTTTTTACTTTTGTATCTTGTGACTTCGTTAAAATGACCTTGGTTCAAGTCAAAAATATTTCACCTTTTCTTTATGTGGCATAATGGTAGTAGCTTTTAACTAGAGGGAATATCAAAACCCTGAGTCAAAATCCCTTGAAGAGGGTCAATGTCAGGTTTGAAAGCGTAGAATTAAATGTTCATTAAAATGTGGAAGCTTATCTTTTACACAGAAATTGATTATGTCTGCAATTGTAAACAACACTTTTAAAGTGTATCCTGATATATGGATTAGACCAGTTGGGACAGCTCTAATTTAGTCAGAACACACGTTTCAACTGGGTCACTCTTGTCCCAAAAAACACTTTTTGGGTCATATATGAAAGATGTTGATTTGTACATGTACTAGAATAAGGCTCAGTAATACAATGTTATTTAGTTCCATGTCTCTTATATTTGAATAATTTAATTCCTTTAGCACAGGAAAGAGGAAATTGCACAGTGGACAAGGAATTCTTTAGCACACCAGATTATATACGCTGCATAGCATCATATGATTATGGAATAAGATCTGGCCGTGGTGGTAATTTAACTGAAACAAAATGCAGGTAATAGGTTAAAAAGGTGAAAATGTTAAAATTCGCAGACTGATTTTTACGAGATTAAAGCGTAAACCCAAATTGGTGTCTTTTATGTTAGCGATATTAACTTTTGATATTAGATTTCAGGCCGATTATTTCAATTTTGATAAACTTAAACATCTGTGAATATTACGTGTAAAAGTCATACTAAGCGTGATTCTATTTTATTTATCGTATTTATATGTTCTGTCATGAACATGGTCAAGGCACATAATGTTATTCATGTATGTCTTCCGTCCTTTTGTCCTTCCGTCTGTTACAATTGGTGTTTAGCTCAGTTTAAGAAAACATTATGATATTTTAACTTGATTTTCACAATGATACATACTGTTCAACTGTATCATAATTTTCTAACATTGACTTTCCTCATGACATTGACGCTAGTATTCCTTATTTAGCTTTTATCTTAGTTCTGTTCAAGAAACTGTTAAAGATAATTTCATCAAACTTCACACAAAGATACAAACTGATGAGAGCTATTCAACTGTGTCAAAATTTTCTAACGTAGACCTTCACTAAGATCTCGATATTAATTATTCTGCGATTTAAACAGTTTAGAAGAAACTGTTCAAAGTATTTTTATCAAATTTCATACACCAATACAAATTGGTGAGAGCTAATCAACTGTGTCATAGTGATCTAAAACCCTAGCTTCAATTATTAGTCCCCTACCGGTGAAATCGGAGGGGACTATGGGTTTCCTCTGAGTCTCTCCGTCCGTCTGTCTGTCCGTCTGTCTGTCCCTGTCTGTCTGTCAGTCAGTCTGTCCCACTTGGTTTTCCGCATTTTTTCCCTAAACGCTTGCAGATATTGAGCTGATTTTTGGTATGTGAGTGTATCTTGATGAGTTACAGATCAAGTTTGCATTTCGTTCCGCTTCATTGATTTTTGACGGAATAACGGTCTTTTAAATTTTTAGGGGTTTTCCGCAATTTTCTTCTAAACGCTTTCAGATATTGAGCTGATTTTTGGTATGTGACTTTACCTTGATTAGTTATAGATCAAGTTTGCATTTCGTCCCGCTTCATTGATTTTTGACTGAATTATTGCATTTTCAATTTTTAACGGGAACCAGATTACACTTGCAGGTAGGTGACTAGTATTGCTAATGCAATACTCTCAGAATGCTTGTTTGTTTAGTATTCAGACTTTAGTTTTCATTTTGCAGTCTGTCTAAATTTCAAAAAAAGGTTTTCAAGATATTTTCATCAAGCTTTGTTGCACTGATAAAAATTGTGAGAGCAATTAAGGTGTATCATAATTAATTGACCTCGACCTTCCCCATGACTTTGATTTTCACTTTTTCCTCATTTTGCTCTTAATTAATATCCTATTCAATTCCACCTCATAAAATTCTATACACAGATAAATCTCTGTTAGCTCATTTTTTTCCAAATATGCAACAGAGATCATATAACTTAGTATGCTATATAAGAGATTGATTCTATATTGTTTTACGTCCCATTCGAGAATTTTTCACTCTTATAGAGACGTCACCACATACCGTTGAAGGGCTTCAAATTTAGACCTTTACTCGGCACTCAGGGCCATTGAGCAGTAAGGGTTCTTTATCATGCCAACGCCTACCGTGACACGGGGCCTCGGTTTTTAAGACCAGCAACTTTCACTTCAAAGTGCCGAGCGCTTGGCGAAGGAACAGTTGCTACCTATTTTTTTATCGACTTATGTCAGACGCGGCCATAATTCGAACACACGACCTTCCGATCACGTAGCGAGCGCTCTACCGACTGAGCTATCGTGACGGTCTATATAAGAGAAAATTAACTTGAAACAAAGAGGCTTCATTTAACTGTAAAATTAATGATCGATGGATAATCCCACAAAAGAACACATCTGCTCGAGCAAATACAACTAAATAATTTACTGACTTGCTTATTATATTAAATAACAGTAATAAAATTCATTTTTGACAGAGAATATGAAATAGAAAATTGGAGTATTATTACAAGTACTGGTTTAAAGATTTAATCCACAAAGGGCATGTGTATATTTCAGTATCAGCCCTGCGGAAGTTGTATCAGCACTGGAGGTTGATACGACTTTAGTGAATTCAAGCATATCGCATATGCAAAGAAGCCTGTATTTATAACTAAGAATGTTATTTAAAAAGGACAATTTTACTGAAGGCATCAACTCTATATTTAAAAAAGATGTCAAAATTATTCCTTTTAAATCATACTTTACTATTAGCCTAGACTAGAGAAATAAGGTAGATTTCTTTTGGTGTTGCAATAGAACATTCATATTCATATTCTGTAAACATTTTTTCTAGTTGTTTATTTTCTTTTCAACTCAGAACATACCAGAGGAGCTTAGAATGTACCAATAAACTTAACCCAGCGTGTTCTGTCGAGGATTATAATACAATGATTTCTTTGTACTATAAATCTTTAGAAAGTGCTTTACTGGATCCGTCAGAATGTCCAAGTAAGATTTTTTTTCATCATTCAAAATCTACACATTTTGTTTTTTAATATAGGGATGTCAATTTTGGCAATGATTCATATTCGAATATTCAAGGAAAGTATTCGAATATATTCGAATATTCGATAAAATAAATTAAATCTTTTTATTTTTAAAATGCAACATCCTAGCTACTGTCATGAAAGGTTTAGCGTAAGATATTGGAAGTAAAATTGTATGAAGACTTTTGTAGTTGTACAATAAGAAATTTGATATTTGTCAATGTTTGAAATAAATAATTGATTTAAATGTAGAAAAGCATAATTTTAACAAATGAAACATGTGTATTTATAGTAGCTCCAACTGAGGAACCGGTCGTCTTGCCAAAGGCAAGATAATCGTAACGGTATACTGTTCAGATTTCAGTATGTGTAATAAATTACAATTATCTGCCCAATTAGAGATATAATTATAATCTTTGATACAATGTTTTTTAAATATAAACAAATATTTCCAACGACAATTTTCCTACATAATTAACTAATTTCCCGATAATGAATATGAAATTCAGGATTATGTACAACCCAATATATAATCATTTATTCTGAAATTGAGCCCTTTACAATATTAACTACAGTCTAATTCTATTGGACATTCATTTGAATGATCAATTAAATTTGTTTTGATAAGTATACGCTTCACGTCTTTTAGACATTCTAAGGTTTTCATTTTGTTGTCCTCGATTCTAGATCCGATCGTATTTAACTAATAAAACTATGCAAGTACGTTTTGTATTATACATAAAGCATTATTGTACAATTCTTTAACACCTTACTCAAAACAAATTACATGTAATTTAGTAAATCTATAAGATAAGAAAGTAGTGAAAGAAATCAGGCGATCGAAATTAATCGCTAGTAAATTAAACAGGGATAATTCCAGCACTGTTCTAACCAAACTTTATTAATCACAGTACTTCTTTTTATGAAATCTGAAAAAACACCGAATATTCGAATATTAAATTCATATTCGAATATCAACTCATCGAATGAATATTCGAATGTTCGAATATTCGTTGCCATCCCTACTTTTTATATATTACAAATACATGGATTAAAAACGTTATCTAGACTACGGACTCAGCGTAACTTACGTTTAAATGCATTCATAACACTCATGGCTTTACGGAATTTTGTTATAATGTATCCAAAATAGAACAAAAAAAAAATCAGATTACTGTTTAATTTTCTGTTTTAGTCAATGCAAGTCTTCCTGACTTTTGTACAAGCACAGTTGACGTCATGTATTCAGTCAGTGTATTCTGCAGAGACCATTTTAAATGGATCAGGGACTTCTGTCCTTATTCAATGTAAGATGTGGTTGAAACACATTGTAATTTACTTGCACATACACCAAAAATGTCAGATACAACAAAAATAAATTATGTTAAACAAAAAGTTTTCTCACATATTTCTCCTTCATATTCATATTTATTTCATTTTTTATCCTTGGAAACGCAGAGATAATTTTGTGGAATGTGTTGTAAACTGGACATCAAAAACAGCGTACAAATGTGAGGAAAACAAAATTATGGAAATGATTTCTAATGATCAGAGAGTTTATGACAGTGTTCTCCCGGGATCAGGACTAGCCATTACAGCTTGTATCTCACGTATGTATCAGTGAAGGGGTACATGTGGAAAATATCAGTTCATAAGTAAAGATGATGAACAGATTTAAATAAAATGATTTGCTAAAACTCCAATTCACTTTCATATTATCCGTTATTATTCATATAAGAAGGAAATACTTTAAATTTTGTATTACAGAGTTCCTATCCAAAACAAGAGGTAAGCGTAGTCTTCAGAAGTATTAAATGAAATAATTTAGGTTGAAAAGATTCTAACAATTGACGTGATAGGCAAAAACTGCATCAGATTAACAAAGTACTGTAGGGTAATTTTGTTTGAAGGTTGTTCTCAAACTGAGAAAATTACTGATCAGTACTTATTTTGACGAATGATAGTTGTAAAATGGACAAATCACAGATGTTGAAAATAGCAAACACCATTTTAGTGAATTAAGCATTAAACTAAGTTGAATTCTCTGCTCTGGATGTAAAATCAAATCAGCGTTTCGAGTTTACTTTTTTTATCATTGTCCTACATTTAAGACCAACCGTAAAAAGAACTTTACAAAATATTTTGAATTAATTTTAGTAAAGAGAGTGGCTTTCACGATAAAGATGACGTCAGGCTTCTTTTGGGACGATTCGTTGCTGAATCCAAAATCCTCTTATTTTCAAGATTTGAATAAAATCATCGCTGGAAATGTAAGTACACCAACAGAATATTACTTGGTCATAAGTTACAATATTGCTATGGAAGACAACCAGTAAATTCCATTTTTTTGCAGTTTGAGAAAGCTTTTGGTGCGGTCCCGGGACTTCTCAATGTTACTGTTTCCTCCTTTAGGTGAGTTGTGATAAATATTCTCGTGAATTGCCTATTTTGCATTATCGAAATAGTCATTAATGTATCGTACTGTTTTCTTTTACAGGAAAGATACAAAATATTTGGACATGGCATTTAGATATGATAGTTCTATGTTGTCTATAGCTGATGCTACTGATGCAATCCAATTGGTCGTCCAGAATCGGACAATTTATAGACTTCAAGTGGAAAACTACTTTCTATACAGAGGGGGTATGAAATAAGGTCCCTTAAAAGAATTGCACTCTAGTAATTTGACTTGTGTGACTTGTTTTCTTATGTTGAAGCCTTCTTAATTGGAAGTAGTCTGATTTAGTTTTCGAATGCAAATAAAATTGCAGAACTAAAGGATGGCGAGTGTCCATCTACACAGAGCAACAGGGAGTGTCTCGAGGAATGTCAGATGGACAGTAACTGCACAGGGTCTGAGAAATGTTGTTATAATGGGTGTGGGCGCACTTGTCAAGAACCGGGTAAATGTTAATAAATGTTAAATCTTTAGATGTAATCTCTCTCTCTCTCTCTCTCTCTCTCTCTCTCTCTATATATATATATAAAACAAAGTAAAGATTAGTAAGTTATAAAACAAAGGAAATGGTAAAACGAAACAGCTAGCACTAAATTTAAACTACTAAACCTTATTTATTGTCGAGTACAGTAATAACTTTTTCCAAAAGCTCGCCTGACTTATCAATATCTATAGAACGTTTATGCATCACAAAGGTTTTTCGGGTTCGATTTCCGGTCCAGTCATACATTTTCTCCTTTCCTGTTAAATAATTTGGTGTTGTTAATCACCCCTGGACTTGCAGGTAAAAGTCCTGCCAGGGGTATAAGAATTAGGGTTGTATCTAAGAGGGCGAACACAATTTAAGGAGGGAGGAATGTAATAGTTTGGGCCGTGGATATCAGCCTGGGTAGCTCAGTCGGTAAAACGGTAATTATTTCCTCTAATCCGACCACACAACATTACCTGAATTACCTCAATGCAATTAACACCTTTCGTGGTAGATGTGCTAACGTGTGTTTACATAAGTGCCATGAGACGAACTAATGCCCGGCGGCGACAGAGCCCGTTTGAAAAAATATAAGGTTGTTACAATTACTTTTTTTAAAATACTTAATTACACATTTAACTTGCTTTCAACTCCAGATCACAACGTATAACAGGAATGACAATAAAAGATTTACAAATCAAATTATATATTGGGATCGAAACCCAAACATTTTATTTCAAAATGGCGCCATAATATATGTAGAGAGGACGTAATTTTTATGTAAAAATTAAAATGTCAATTCATTAATTATGAAATCGAAAATAATTGTTTATATGATTATGTTGAACGCGCTTTTAAACTTGCAAAACCCTCGCTTGATATATATGTAGGTCTTTGTATATTTTGACTCCATTATAATTGACATTTCACGATGAGTTTGAAGTCTTGAACTTTGTGAACGAAAAAGGAAAAATAACAGTAAGTCATGCATAAATACCCTTGAATAATTTCTAGACTCCCAAAAAATCGAATGATTCTAGGCCCTATTATTTTCTTATATATAACTTACATATGCTATGTACTTTTAAATAAAACAATGAAAAAAAATTTCATATATTTTCCTTCATTTTTCCTGCACTCCGGATTCTGTCTATTCCAGCCAATACTTATGGAACCGGTGAAAGCCGGTTTGGACAAATTATAATATATATATATATATATATATATATATATATATATATATATATATATATATATATATATATATATATAACATACATTGTACATGATTCCATATTCATGTCATACGTGAATATGAAATCATGGCTGATAATATACGCTGTACTTATTTATTATTAGTAATTCTCTAATATTAATTTGGAATCATTGCTAATGATATACTTGTATGTTGTACTACTAACACTACACTTTCCATAGAGTCTGGCATCCATCCTTGTGAAGATTACGAGTATATAGGACAGATAGGAGAGCAATGTTCTGAGATTTTCGCACAAAATCTGACAACAGCTTCCAACAGGGAAGAGTTCTGTCTGTAGGCTTCTTTTAGAGTTTCGTAGATTTTTGTACGCTTGAATTCCTAAATTCCTAAAACTTTTAAATGCAAAAAGTCAAATAACGTGATTAAAATATAATTTCTTAATAGGACGAGAAATTTTTTATAGCATTTTTATTTTGAATAATACCATTACATGTGTATACTTTGTATATGTTACATAAATCTATTTTATGGTGTTCTTTACATTGTTTTCTTTTTTTAGCGTGACTGAAAAGTTCTTGACGTGTGTATCTGAAGGCATTTCAACGGAAAAAAATGTTCAATGCTTGCAAGATCAACTCACTGCAGCTATCAAAACATTCGGACCTATAATGAAATCAATGATGAAGCTTCAGTCTGATCCTGCTGATTGTATGTTAATATTACGTTTATAAAAACCTTTAAAATAGCATATTTTGGAAACATTTTGTCATAAAAGAATGTATTTTGCATATTGGATAAAATGTTATCAGCCCATTATAGCATTCAACTCCAAATGGATAGCTATATGTGAAAGATAAGTGGTAAGAATGACTTAAAATACTTGTTAAATATTGGATAGAAAGGAGTTAATATGGAATATCCCATGGTTTGCGGTCGGATGTGATTAATTTTTGTACGAGTTTTTATAAAACATGCAACGAGTTGGGAGATTCTTTTCCTTTTCACATCTTTAACACATAGCTATTTCATGTTTTACTCATAGACTAGATCAAACTCACGCAAAAACCATTGTGTGTCACAACCTTGAATACGAAAACTATATCGTTTGACTAGAACTACTGTATAAAGTAGTAAACATTAAATAAAATGAAATAAATGAGGTTTGTTAAGAATATGAAAAGACTCATTTCACTGTGTTAGAAATTTTAACAACGTAAGCGAAGAAGGAGCTTAATCCTGCAATTACCTATCAACAGCTTATCTTATATCGATGTAAGTTCTTGTAGTTGATATTAGTATGCTTCATTTTCAGGTTATGAAGACTTGACTACACGTAAGTATGATATAAAAACTTTGTAAAGATACAGATGGGCTATGTTCTCTTAAGTAAGTGTGATATAAAACCTTTGTAAATATACAGGTGTGCAATGTTCTCTTAAGTAAGTGTGATATAAAACCTTTGAAGAGATACAGGTGTGCAATGTTCTCTTAAGTAAGTGTGATATAAAACCTTTGTAGAGATACAGGTGTGCAATGTTCTCTAAAGTAAGTATGATATAAAACCTTTGTAAAGATACAGATGGGCTATGTTCTCTTAAGTAAGTGTGATATAAAAACTTTGTAGAGATACAGGTGTGCAATGTTCTCTTAAGTAAGTGTGATATAAAACCTTTGTAGAGATACAGGTGTGCAATGTTCTCTTAAGTAAGTATGATATAAAAACTTTGTAAAGATACAGATGGGCTATGTTCTCTTAAGTAAGTGTGATATAAAACCTTTGTAGAGATACAGGTGTGCAATGTTGTCTTAAGTAAGTGTGATATAAAACTTTTGTAGAGATGCAGGTGTGCAATGTTCTCTAAAGTAAGTATGATATAAAAACTTTGTAAAGATACAGTTTGGCTATGTTCTCTTAAGTAAGTGTGATATAAAACCTTTGTAGAGATACAGATGTGCAATGTTCTCTAATGTAAGTATGATATAAAAACTTTGTAAAGATACAGTTTGGCTATGTTCTCTTAAGTAAGTGGATATAAAACCTTTGTAAATATACAGGTGTGCAATGTTATCTTAAGAAAGTATGATATAAATACTTTGTAAAGATACAGATGGGCAATGTTCTCTTAAGTAAGTGTGATATAAAACCTTTGTAGAGATACAGATGGGCTATTTTCTCTTAAGTAAGTGTGATATAAAAACTTTGTAGAAATACAGATGGGCTATGTTCTCTTAAGTAAGTGTGATATAAAACCTTTGTAGAGATACAGGTGTGCAACGTTCTCTCAAGTAAGTATGATATAAAACCTTTGTAGAGATACAGGTGTGCAATGTTCTCTTAAGTAAGTGTGATATAAAACCTTTGTAGAGATACAGGTGTGCAATGTTCTCTTAAGAAAGTATGATATAAAACCTTTGTAAATATACAGGTGTGCAATGTTCTCTTAAGTAAGTGTGATATAAAACCTTTGTAGAGATACAGATGTGCAATGTTCTCTTAAGTAAGTGTGATATAAAACCTTTGTAGAGATACAGGTGTGCAATGTTCTCTTAAGAAAGTATGATATAAAACCTTTGTAAATATACAGGTGTGCAATGTTCTCTTAAGTAAGTGTGATATAAAACCTTTGTAGAGATACAGATGTGCAATGTTCTCTTAAGTAAGTGTGATATAAAACCTTTGTTGAGATACAGGTGTGCAATGTTCTCTTAAGAAAGTATGATATAAAACCTTTGTAAATATACAGGTGTGCAATGTTCTCTTAAGTAAGTGTGATATAAAACCTTTGTAGAGATACAGGTGTGCAACGTTCTCTTAAGAAAGTATGATATAAATACTTTGTAGAGATACAGATGGGCTATGTTCTCTTAAGTAAGTGTGATATAAAACCTTTGTAGAGATACAGGTGTGCAATGTTCTCTTAAGTAAGTGTGATATAAAACCTTTGTAGAGATACAGGTGTGCAATGTTCTCTTAAGAAAGTATGATATAAATACTTTGTAGAGATACAGATGGGCTATGTTCTCTTACGTAAGTGGGATATAAAACCTTTTTAGAGATACAGGTGTGCAATGTTCTCTTAAGTGTGATATAAAACTTTGTAGAGATACAGGTGTGCAATGTTCCTCAAAGGAATAAAATAAGTGTGATATATGTATAAAGACCACAGAAACAGAGTAAAATCAAGGAAGTTTTTCTTAAAGCTTTTGACGAAATCAATTAATCTTTCTTTGATAAGGAGTTACAAACGTCACTGACTTAAATAAACACATACTTATATACTTTCGTATATCTTTTCAATGTATTTGAAAATTTAAATTTAAATAATGGTTAATTCTCCTCATACCATTCTTATGATCGTTTTTTTTTTTATATTTTCAGAAATATCGACAACATTGGAAATTACCACTCCTCAAACATTTACAGACCCTTATACAACAACTCAATCTGTATTACTTCGCTACTGTCGAGACAGTAACACAATTATTTCAAAGGGTTGGAGATGTGTTGTTCCTGTAGTAATGAATATTACCACAGCCAGGAACTTTGCGGAATATTGCAGGTAAATTCTCAAATATTCTGGTAATGATTTGAAGATAACCTTTTGAAAATACTTTTGATTTCAAACGACATCTTTTTTTCAGCCTTGTTGATGTGGTGTATATATGTATAATGGATGGAATGGCGGCTGATTACAACTTGACTTGTAGAAAAAGTGATAAAGAATTTGCTATTGACTTGTTTAGTCCTATGTTTAAGACTGCATTCAACTTGAAGTACAATCCAGGAGACTGTGAGTATTTTTTTATTAGTTGTTGTACAACAGAAAGGCTAAACATTCTTCATCCTACTATCAGTCTATATCATTTTGTAAATTACAAGAGTTGCAAAAGAAAATTGACATTGGTATGAAAATGGCACTAGATAATAGATGTACATTTGACAAAATTACTAACGCACCACCAAAGAAAAATTATATTTAACTTTTTAAAAATTGTTTACGATGTATTTGATATATAAAAGAATTTTTAAAGTGAAAAGTAAGTCATTCAAATGTCTAAACTATTAGATAAATACAATGTTAACTGAGGCATAACTTTTTATAGGAAACATGTCATGGTTACTAAAATAGACATTTCTGTGAAATACTATCAGAACGCTAGTCCTCCAACAGTTATTGTCTGATTTGAATGTAACTTGGAATACAAGTAGATTACAATGAGGCACATAATTGTCTCTTTTTTTTTTATTTTGATGAACGATGTTGCCACGGTTACTAAAAATAAAAAGTTCTGTAAAATTCTTTCAAAAGTTTACTCCTTCTGCAGTTTGGGTTTGATTTCAATATTAACTTTGCAACGAGTAGAATACACTATGGTACAGAATTCTATGTAATGGCTTTTGATTTCGATAAAAATTTATGTGTAATACTATCAAAACGCTACTTCATCTATAGTTTTGGTCTGATTTTAATACAACTTGGAATACAAGTAGATTACACTGAGGCACATAATTTTTTGCATCATTTTAATTTTATTTTGATGAATGATGCTGCCACGGTTACTAAAAATAGAAAGTTCTGTAAAATTCTTTCAAAAGTCTACTCCTCCTACAGTTTTGGTCTGATTTCAATATTCTTTGCACACGAGTAGAATACACTACGATGCCGAATTCTATATACATGTAATGGTTTTTGATTTCGATAGAAATTTCTGTGAAATGCTTTCAAAACTCTACTCCATCCACTGTTTTGGTCTGATTTCAATATAACTCGGCACACAAGTAGACTGCATTCAAATACATAAATCTCTTCATCAGTTTTTGATTTCGTTGAACGGTTTGCCATGGTTACTAAAAATAGAAATTTCTGTGACATACTTTCAAAATGCTACTCCTCCTACAGTTTTAGTCTTATTTTTGTATTTGGCATGCAGGTAGACAACATTGAGATACATATATGTAATTGTTTTATCGGTTTTTTTTATGATGTTGCCATCGTTACTAAAAGTAGAAATTTCTGTAAAATTGTTTTAAAAGCCTATTCCTCCTACAGTATTAGTCTGATTGCAATGAATCTTGCCACGAAAAGAGACTAAACCAAGATTCATTGTTCTTTTTATCGCCGTTGCAAAGTTTCAATTCCAAGTGCTACTTTTCTCTTCGTTTGTTGTAAGTATAAATCAGTAGCGCTACAGTCTCGTCAGAGATTCTGGTTAACTTTGACAAACGGTATTGCCTTGGTTACCAAAAAAAAAAAAGAAATTTGTTTGAAATTCTTTCAAAATGCATTTCCTCCTACATTTTAATCTGATTTCAATAAGATTTTATGCGTAAGTAGTCTATACGGTGATACATAATTCTCTATATCGGTTTTTGATTTGACAAACACTGTTGCCGTGGTTACTACAGTGGAAACCTGTTTGAAATTCTTTCAAAATGCTTCCTCTTCTACAGTTTTGGTCTGGTTCAATAAGACTCGGTGTACTAGTAGGCTCAACAAAGATGCATAATTCTCTATATATGTTTTTGATTTGGATGACGTGTTTTCAAAACGCTACTCCCTCTATACTTTTGGTTTCATTTTAGTTAGATTCGGTGCACAAGTAAACTATAATCAGATACATAATTCTATAATTATTTTTAAATTTCAAATACAGGTGTTGCCATTGTTCCTAAAAATAGACATTTCTGTGAAATTCTTTCAAAATGCTATCCTTTCTACAGTTTTGGTCTGATGTCAATAAGATTTGGTACAGAAGGATACACAATTCTTTTCGTCAATTTTTGATTTCAACAAATGATGATGCAATAGTTACAAAAATAAAACAAATCTTTGAAATTCTTTCGAAACATTACTACTCCTACAGTTTTGTTCTGATTTCAATTATACTTGGTACAAATGGAGACTCTTGTCTCACCAAAAAACGCCTGGTTTTTTTGGTTGAGGTGTTTTTGTGGAGTTGGGACATGGATTTGTTTGTGTATATGTGTTTTATATAGTGTGTTTTTGTGGAGTTGGGACATGGATTTGTTTGTGTATATGTGTTTTATACATTGTTTGATTGCTTTTTTGTTACAGTTTATTTTTTCGTCCAAAAAAAAAGAAAACTTCCGTCAAGATTAAGAAAACAATGTTCAATGAATTTAAGCACTCCTTCTACAAAATTAAAACAGCACAAATAAATATTCATTTATCTTGACATGTGTTTTACATAGGATTAGAATTTTTATCAGATACAGTTTATTTCAGGTTTTGCGCATGAAACCACATTGAGTACTTTTCCATGGATATCAACAGAGCCTACGACATTATTACCTACCATTTCAACCACCATAGCAACAATGACTACGGCCTCGACTCCCTCCCCATTATTAGCTAAATGCAGCGATAGAGACGTAATTCTGTCCAAAACTTTACCTTGTGTTCTTCCAAATTTTGTCCACATCACAGCAGCAGAGAATAAGGAATTTTGCAGGTATATCACACAGTGATATGTGATATGACTGTGATCTTTTAAGCTCACCTGATTTGAAAGATCAAGTGAGCCTTTTGATCCGACTTTTGTCAGCTGGCGTCTGTTAGAAGATCAAATTTTATATAGGAATACCCGGTATATATTGTCAAATCTTTATAAATCTTCTTCTGAAGAACATTAGAGCTATCGTGGATATTCATATTAATATAGAAGCATCCTCAGATGGTGTAAATTTAATTATGATCAACTCATGCCCCCCACCCTCATCCCGGGGGTACAATGGGGCCAAAATAGGAGATCAAAGTTTTACATTATAATATATAAGAAAATATCTTTGAAATCTTCTAAAATCTATAACAGAGTCATGGATAGTCTTAATGTGCAAGCATTCTTAAGTAGTGTGGATTCAATTTTGTTAAGATCAGGCCCCCAGAGGAAGGGTTTGTCTTTATTTAGGGGATCAGAGTTTTATAAGGAAATATGTAGGAACAAATACTTTTCAATATTAGCATGGCGATACTGTATCACACCATTACGCAAACATTCTTAAGTTCTGGCGGTTAATTTTTTATCTAAGTTATGGACCCTGGGGTTAGCCGAGGCTAGAATCTGAGATCAGATTTTATAAAATACTGGTGAAAAGGGGAAAATCTTCTCCTTCAGAACAGTTAGGTCATGTTAGTCAAATTGATATCAAATCATTTAAAAGTTACATGGATTCAAGCTTGTTAAATCATAATCCATTGAGGCTAGTTTGGGGTCAAATATGAATCAAATATTTATTGGAAAAATGCAGGAAAAATCTTTTAAAATCTTCCTTTGAAGAACCGCAGGGCCAGGCTGATAAAACAATCTAAGGTCATAGTGACTCAGTGGGCGTTGTAGCCCGATGTTAATATTATAGACTATTGATTTTATGTTTTTATGTCCAATTCTAGAAAGGAGATGCGAGCGATAAGCCTTCAGTGTGACAAACATGAAGATGAAAAAATAAATTTTAATTATATCAAAATTTTCTTTGACACGTCGTCTAATACTAAAATATGCTTTATGTAAAATCTCTACAATTTGCCAGAATCCCTCAAAGATTGAAATTATTTGCCTGTGAAGTATTAGACACACACTAAAGCAGACAAAAAGGGTCATTTTCTCATACTATAACACTATTTTTCGATATGAGTGGGTCTTCGCTCCACCTTTTTGAAAGTTATTCCTCAAAGTTTGCATAAAAATATACATTTTTTGATTACCAAAAATATGGAGCAATGACCCACTATACCTTAAAAATATACTTTTATGACATAACATTCGCATCTTTTCGAGAAATACTTGAAGTCCATAAAGTCAAGGGTCATATCACAAACATGATTTAAATGCCACTCTTCATCAGGACTTGTGTAGTCTAGTGGTTAGCGTGCTAGTCTCGAAAGAAAATGATACTTAGGATTTTTATTGCTAGGGTTCGAACCCAACGAACACCACATTAATTTTTCTAATAAAAGAGTAAATTTTGCCGAGAAAATTTTCCTCAGAAAAGTTTTGTTTATCATAATTTCATAAATTTCAATAATGAGAACTTTACTCTTAATACTAAATTCACAAACTGAACATGATTTTGATATATCTGAAGCTATAGGCTTTCTGCACGATATGCTCGCCCATCTCCTTTCACTCATATTAGAGATGTTATCATATACCAGTGAAGGACCATTGAGTTGTTAGGGTTCTTTATCGTGCCAATGCCTGCCGTGACACGAGTCCTCGGTTTTTAAGGTCTCACCCGAAAGACCTGCAACGGGCGCGTGGCAAAGGAACAGTTTCTACCTATTTTTTAACTACCTAGGTCAGTTGCAACCGGGGTTTGATTGATTGATTGATTGTATGTAGTAAATAATTAGTGTTATGAACCGTTTATGTTTGTGTAGAATGAATATAGAGCTAACGAACAGTATTCAAGCTCAAAGTCCATTCAAACTATACGCATGAGGAGCAAAACAAACAAGGACGTCCAGAACATCAGAGCTGGGATCAGGTGCCTTGGATAAGTTAGCATCGCCTGCCGACCGGTCGCACCCGCCGTGTGCTCCTTGTCATGATCGGGTAAACGGGAAAATCCGTAAAAATTTTAGTGTGTAATAATGGCCTAACACTATGAAAAACGTCAGTCAGCATTTGACCCAATGATAAATTTTATCTCCCGATAAGGTCACTGTATCGACCATAGAACTTGCGAAATGATGACTTCAAACGAAACTGTTGATATCCTTGTTTCATCAACTTGTTGGTTAGTGACTTGCCTCGTTTTAAAAATTGATGATACGTAGTGCATGTTCTCGCGTATCGAACCAACTGAAAGATATTGTCTTTATAATAATAATGATTATTTATGTCATAATGTTTGTGTTTCAGAATTGTTGACCTTATATTTGTCTGTATCATGACCGAAATAGGATCAGAGTATTCTGTCCTGTGCAGGGAAAATGACAAAGAAGTAGCCATTGCATTTTATGGCCCTACTCTTCAATCCGAACTAAGCCTTATTTCTAATCCTGTCGACTGTAAGTAAACTGTCAAAATGATGTGATCTATATAAATTTTCATCAAATTTAATAATAAATAAAAAACACATATAGCTTTGTTTCCTAACAAAAGATATGATAAAGCCGAAAAAGAACAAAAATTTAAAGCTTAAACTTGGAGTCGACATAAGCAAATTTTTATTTACCGGTAAATGTTTGTTGACTTGTTATAAAAGACTAAAACAATGCCTAAGAATGAAAATTATACTGCATGTATTTTTATTTGTTTCTTTTTTTTCATTGGAATCACCAGTAATATTGTTTTAAAGATTTTTTTTGTAACCACACACCTCTTTAAAGGAACATTCTTCACAATCTCCGTCCTTCAAAAGGATATTTAATCACATTACAAAGATATTCATTTATTATCATATAATAGGGTCACAAGTAAATGTACTGTTTGAATCCGCATAGCTTTTTAATGAACTTTTTTCATCGGAAATTACTTTTAGACCGTAATCAGATGACATAGTACATGTATAGACAATTTGAGAGTTCACTTTCTATGAATGTACAACTATGATAAGAATGCCGTAGTAGGTTAGAAGTCGACAAATCTTTTGCATTTTGGAGTATGTTTTATAATAGAATAGTATGACACTTCGCACTTAACTTCCTATATTACGAATAGAGATTTTGTTTCATATAATTTTCAGGTACAGAGTTATATTTTGTCTAAATAAAAACACATGTAAATTAATTTCATTTTCCTTCATTGATAAAATATCAATTCAACTTGTTTGCCTTTAAAATGCATGTGTGTTTTAACATTTTAAATCAAGAAAGTATCGGTACTAAGAGAAGATAATCAATCCTTAAGATCAATACATCAAATCAAAATTATGGAATTTACAGGTTATTCAAAAACTTTGAGCACAGGAACAATGCCATCAACATCACCATTTTCTACGGAACCAAGCACAAAAACTACAGAAACCATTCAAAGTACCTCAACTGAATTTTTATCCACAACGAGGACTTCTCAAAAGTTCGAATCGACGAAAATGACGACTCTTTCTTCAAAAATAACACCAACAACAGTCACAAGGCCACCGTTTTCTGGAAAATGTCGTGATAATCTTGTAGTTTTGTCAAAAGGCTGGCAATGTACGTTGCCATTATTTTTGAATGTTACAACTGCCGGTAACTTATATACGTTTTGTAGGTGAGTTTAAATACAAGTACATTTGATTCATTTCAAAACAGTTTTTCAAACTGGAATGAACAGATGTAATTTGTTCAAATATTAATGTTTCAGTTCTGTTGATATGATATTTGACTGTATAATGGGTGGAATTGAATTGGATTATGGAGTAGAGTGCACAGAAGAAGATAGGGATAACGTTACATTTTTCTATACCCCAAGTCTGCAATCAGCCATGGCATTGAAATATGATCTTAAGGAGTGTAAGTCGATCTTAAATGAGATGCAGAGGTCTATACTGCCATCAGTTTTTAGGTCACCTGAGTCACTCAGGTGACCTATTGCTATCCGTTCTCGTCCGTCGGCGTGCGTCGTGCGGTGTGCGTCGTGCGTGGTGTGTTAACATTTGAACATTTTTAGCTTCTTCTCTGAAACCGCTTAACCAATTTCAACCAAATTTGGCATATAGCATCTATGGGTGAAGGGGAACAAAAATTTTAAATTTCATGGTCCCTGCCTCCCTGAGGCCTGAGGGGTGGGGCTAAAACCACCAAAATTAATGCAATCTTTAAAAATCTTCTTCTTTACTCCTGGACATCAAGCAGTCATACTGTTGGCATCATTGTAATAAGCATTGAGCCCTCTACCAAAATTGTGAAATTCATGACCCCAGGGTCAGAGGTTCTGGTGCTAGGGCGGGCTATATAGATCATGTAGTGAAAGTTCATTATTTCTTTGAAAATCTTCTTCTGTGCTCCTGGGTATTAAATAAAGTAACTAAGTACATAGTAATGAAGAGCAAGAGTGCCTCTTCCAAAATTGTGAAATTCATGGCCCCTGGGTCAGGGGTTCTGGTGTTAGGGCTGGACTCTATTGATCATATAGTTAAATGCATTAATTCTTTGAAAATCTTCTTCTGTGCTCCTGGGTATTAAATAAAGTAACTAAGTACATAGTTATGATGAGCAAGAGTGCCTCTTCCAAAATTTTGAAATTCATGGCCCCTGGGTCAGGGGTTCTGGTGTTAGGGCTGGGCTCTATTGATTATATAGTTAAATGCATTAATTCTTTGAAAATCTTCTTCTGTGCTCCTGGGTATAAAATAAAGTAACTAAGTACATAGTTATGATGAGCAAGAGTGCCTCCTCCAAAATTGGGAATTTCATGGCCCCTGGGTCAGAGGTTCTGGTGTTAGGGCGGGGCTCTATTGATTATATAGTGAAAATGCATTAATTCTTTGAAAATCTTCTTCTCTGCCCCTGGGTATTAAATAAAGTAACTAAGTACATAGTTATGATGAGCAAGAGTGCCTCTTCCAAAATAGTGAATTTCATGGCCCCAGGGTCAGGGGTTCTGGTGTTAAGACGGGGCTCTATTGATTATATAGTGAAGATGCATTAATTCTTTAAGTCTTTAAAAATCTTCTTCTCTCTCCTGGGTATTAAATAAAACAACTTAGTATATAGTTATGATGAGGAAGAGTGCCTCTTTCAAAATTGTGAATTTCATGGCCCCTGGGTCAGGGGTTCTGGTGTTAGGGCAGGGCTCTATTGATTATATAGTAGAATTGCATTAATTCTTTTAAATCTTTTTCTCTGCTCCTGGATATTAAGTACATAGTTGGGGTGGGGCTCTATTGATTATATAGGGGAAAAGGCATGAATTCTTTCAAAATCTTCTTCTCTGCTCCTGGGTATTTTTCAAACAAAGGAAGTGCATGGTTATGATAAGGAAGAATGCCTCTTCCAAAATTGTGAAATTCATTACCCCTGGGTCAGGGGTTCTGGTGAGGGGGGGGGGGAGGGGAGAGGGCTCTATTGATTATATAGTGAAAATGCATAATTTCTTTCAAAATATTTTTTCTACTACTGGTTATAAAGTAAAGAAACAAGTGTATAGTTATGATGAGAAAGGGTGCTTCTTCCAGAATGTGAGTTTGTGGCCAATGGGTCAGATGTTCTGGTGTAAGGATGAGGCTTTATTTATTTGATAATATGGTGAAAATGCATTTCTTTGAAAAATCTTCTATGCTTCTGGGGATGTTCAAGGCAAACAGAGTAAAAGTTTTAATATGCAAGGGTATTTTTACCAGAATTTTGAACACCTGGACCATTTAGTCAAGTGTTCTGGTCCTGGCCAGGGCTCTATAAACTTGTATTCTGCTGAGCAAAGTTATTCCTCTTTGCCATTCACCTTTGATAATTAATCAATGTAAATAATGTATTTGAAAGCTTAATAGAATAAGAGAATTATGCAAGAAAATTTATTATATAATAAAAAAAAGTACTTTCATAGTTTTAATGACTTGAAAATAATAGATGAATAAAAATGAGACAAAAATAACTTATCTTTTTAAATGTTCTTCAAAGGCCAAGAGAGGCCATTGTGAGAAATAATAATATGGGGCTAAATAATAGACATTTTGTTAATAGTCTGCATCAGAATAGTGATAAATTGGGGGGGGGGGGGGGCAGATAGATACTAGACCAATTATTTTGTTGATGCTAATCATACTATTTTTCTTGCTTTTGGGCAACAAAGCTTCATTTATCAGTTTATGGATCCTCTAAATTGTTTTATTGTACTCAGGTGACCGTTAAGGCCCTTGGGCCTCTTGTTTACATGTACATTGTATTATAGAATAAGGTTGTATGTTTAAAGTGTTTCATTTCCAATTTACAGGCATTTTACTAAAACAGACAACATTTTCTTCTGAAAGCTCTATGAGACCAACAACAGAATCTTCGTTATTAGCAATATGTGTAGACAGCGATACAATCCTATCCGTGGGATGGATCTGTGCACTTCCACTGTACATGAATATATCTAAAGCAACCGATATGGCGGTGTTCTGTAGGTAAGCGTCTAAATTTGAAATTTTAAAAAATGAAATTTTAAAAATGTTCTCAGAGTGCTAAATTCATTCTAATATATATGTAATTTTATAAGTAAGCAATAATTCTATACTTTTTTAGTGTGGCAGATTCAGTGTATTTATGCATTATGGAAAAGATCAGTTCCCAAATCAATGTCCAATGTACAGGCCGTCACAAAGCAACTGTAATTCGTACATACAGCGCAAGTCTTCAGTCTATTTCAATCCAGTCCTTTAATCCCAGACAATGTGAGGTCCATAAAATGGAATGTTGTGTCTAATTATAATATCAATTCAAAATGTGTCTAATTATAATATCAATTCAAATGTGTTGTTTAAACTTCTTATGAAGGACATTTTAATCAAAGTATGACATGTGGAAACTTAAAAAAAGCCAATTCTTTGTATTCATTGGTAAAGTTTCAAATAACTGGTTCTGAAATACATTTGTAATTGTATAATTGATTGCAGGCTATGTAATGACTACCACTACTGAGAGTATAACATCATTGCCACTTACAAGCACCACTGACAATCCATTGTTGGCGAAATGTCAGGATAGTGCTTCCATAACGTCGGCAGCCTACATTTGTGTGCTTTCATTGTATAGTAACATGACAACTGCAGAAAACAATTCTACTTTTTGTAGGTATGATTCATTTGATGATTTTTAATGTGTATGTCTAGTCGCTACATATATACTAGTATTTCACATTAGAGAGATCGTTGAATTTAAATCACTAGTATAGTCACATTAAAGGGATTGTTGAGTTTCTAGTCACTTATATAGTCACATTAGAGATATTGCTGAATTTGTAGTCACTAATAAAGTCACATAAGAGAGATTGATGAATTTCTAATCACTAATTTAGTCACATTGAAGAGATTGTACAGTTGAGTTTCTTTTGGTGGGTTCTACTGATATTTTTAGTAAATATCTTTACCCTTACCAAACTGTTATGTTTGCTGCAGACCTGCTTACTGCAGACTTAAAGTTTGCAGCACACACTTTTGTTTGTAAGAAAACTTGTTCGCACATGATTGCTGCTAGCTGCGATCTTGTGGCAAACATTGCAGCGATCGCAAGAACATTGTAAGGATATAGATTTGATAACTTTTTTCACGAAAATATATTTATTTGTGCTTTTCCTGGATTCATAATTTGCAAGAAACTAAAAGATTTGTTTTAACTTTGATATTGCCACCGCTCTTGATCGATAGCAAACACGTTATTTTTTAGTCTTTTTAATTGGAATGCACATGTTCGAATTTATGATAGGATATTCTTGTAAAAGATAATGTAGGTTAATGTTGAATTATCATCTGAAAATACATATCTTAATTTCTTGGTTTGTCTTCATCTGCTCTCTTTTGCAGTTGATAATAAAAATCCTAGATCCCTCCAACCGTCTTTCTTATAATTAAACAACTCAGGAAAATAAAGCAATTATAGTTCTGAAGCCTACTTCTGTGTAGAAAAAAGGGTACAACGCTACCTCACCTATCTTTTTTACTAAGGAAGGTTAATGCTCATATTGGAGAAGTCAACAAGTTGTTTAAGTACCGCTAAATACTTAGCTATTTCTTACTAATGCGTATATATATATATATATATATATATATATATATATATATATATATATATATATATATATATATATATATAAGAAAAAGGAAATGCAAATTCCATTCCATGGCACTCAAGTGCTTTCTGGATTTAATCATCCGTCTTCAGGTGTACATACATTTGAAATTGAATGAAATTTGGAAACTGTGCATCTTCTTTTTCTTTTATGATTATTTATTCTTTGTGACATCATCTTTTAACTACTTTTGAATTATATATAAAAATGAAGATTTGACATATACATGTGCATGCATTTCATTTCAGCGTAATAGAAGTTGCTTTCTCCTGCATCATGAACATGATAGAAACTAATCACAACATCCGCTGTCGAAAGGAGGACAAGGAGATAATGATCACCAGCTATGGGCCTGATCTGAAAATAAATCTCAACCTAAAATTCGATCCAATTGAATGTATGTTTATAGTAAATTTGATATTTGTCCCCCGCTTTCACTGAAAGTGGGGGATATTAATTTGGGTCTGTCTGTCCGTCCGCCCGTATGTCCGTCAGTCCGTCCGTCCGTCTGTATTTCTGTCTGTTCCGTTTCCGCGCGATATCTCGAGAACTCTTTGAGCTTTCGCAATGAAATTTTGCATAGCAACTTCCTATGGCCTAAAGAAGAACCCTATTGATTTTGAGATCAAAAGGTCAAAGGTCAAGGTCATAAATTCTGTTTTAACACTTTCGTTTCCACGCGATATCTCGAGAATCCTTTAAGCTTTTGCTATGAAATTTTACATAAGAGCTCCTGTGGCCTAAGGAAGACCCCTATTGATTTTGAGGTCAAAAGGTCAAAGTTCAAGGTCGTAAATTCATACATTCCGTCTGTGTGTAATACTTTTGTTTCCGGGCGATATCTAGAGAAGCTTTTGAGCTTTTGCAATGAAATTTTATACCATAACTCCCTCTGGCCTCTCTTGCCCCGCTCAAAGTGTCCCGCCCCGTTTTTTTTATTTTTTGTATTAAAAGTCGCTTGGCACTATTTTTAGCACAGGGGTATGTGGTGAGTTATTACGTACAGGTTGTCGGCGGACTTAATATTCTAATTACATCTATTAGAACTGTTTGGTAAAGGCTAAATTAGACACGAAGTGTTGTGTAAATTTTTGACAATATCGAACGTGAATATAAACATTATATGTGACCTAATGTTTGCATTTAATTTGCTGTTTGATCAAGTGCCTCCGTGGTCTAGGGGTATGATTCTTGCTTAGCAAGTGAGAAGTACCGGGTTCAAGTCCGGGACGATCCTTTTTTTTAAATTTTTTTTTATTTAGTATTCAACATGTGAAATGACCTTAAAGGATGACTATTTTAATCAAATTTAAGATCAATAACAAATACTTAAAGTGACAGTACGGCGCATCTCATCAAAAAACTGACTTGATAAAATTTTCCGACAAGATTTGGTATTTCTTTAATGCTCATAAATGTATAAACTTTCAGAAAATTACAACAGTCACAATTAAATAATTTAGATTATTTCGTTAAAATTAATAGTTATTTATGGGACGTAAATATATACATCGCAACGTGTTCGGGGTTCCACATTCCATGCTATGCACGTATGCGTAGTTTTCATAAACAAAACAGCATGGTTAGAGAGGGAAGCCCGGTAGGCCTGCTACATTGACAAAGTCGACCAAAAAGAAAAAGAAACTGAAAATAGAACTTGAAAAAGCAACTTTCCTGACTAAAATTTAGTTTGGAGATTAATATAATCGCTGGATAAGGAAGAAACGGGAAATCGGCGACACTCGTGCAGGGCTCTCGAAGGTTCTATTCGACAGGCTTGTTGATACTTGTTATCATTTCTCATTTTTCCATCGCTTTCAAAGAAAAAAATTAGTGTAAACTCAACATAAAAATACAACTTTGACTTATAAACATGGTTGCCATTTGAAGTGCTAATTTTTTTTAACTGTGCAGAAAAATATTTTGTTTGACATTTGCCGCGATAACGTATGATTAGTTGGTTTTTCCTTTCTCGGACCCCAATACACAAAACGTCAACATTTGTACTTTTAATTCTGTCAAATTCGCCTGAAAGCAGACTAAAATCTTTACAATAATTATTTTAGATTATTTTATCAGAAAGTTATGATAATTTGCTTTTGAAAATTGCGTTTACCTAATATTCATTATAATTGTAAACTATACAGTGTAGGCACGTGTCATTTTAGAATTCACGTGGTACTAATAAACAGATCTAAGATTGCTCCAGTTTGTACGACCCTTGATTTTCCGGCAGATTCTGATTACGTTAATTTTGTTTGAGTAGAGAATATTTCTGTTTCTCAAACTGCTTACAACAACTTTATACCTTATTTCTTAGTGACATATTGGGTAAATTTGAATGAAAAAGCACACATTTTGCAGCCGTACTGTCGCTTTAAGTATACAAAACGTATACCTAAGACCATCCAAAATGATAATAAATGACATTGTTCTCGATCGATTTTTTGGACGTACTGAAGGAGAATTATAAAGGATAGAGAATATGAATTTTACTCAAGTTTTCTTGGCTGGGTTTGTTTTTTTAGGTTACACTGGAATGTTACAAAGATCGGAACGAGTCGTGAGATCCACTAGGTTTAGGAGAAGTTCCATATCACTATGCCAAGACGATGTGACGCTTTTCTCTAAGGGAATATTTTGTATGGTTCCTGTGTATAACAAGGTTATAAATGAAAATTCATCATTCCAAAGGTTTTGCAGGTACAATGTATTTCAAATCTCACGTTTTATCTTTTATTTTTCAAAATATTTATCTGTTTATATTTCATGGGGAATTCAGTTTAATACTGTTCACGACAAGAACTGTACGAGTTGAAGGGGCATCCTTACATTAGCTTAATTTCTGTTTCTATTTTTTTTACTTTTTGTATTTTTATACAAGCCTTCTTCAAAACTTTACTCTCTGTGTGATGACTGAAATGGCTGCAGAACATAATGTGTCGTGTGGTCAGTCAGAATACGATACCTTTATCACGACTCATAGTCCCAGCATGCAAACGACCATGGGCCTGACTTTCAAACCATTGGATTGTTTGATGATGTCATCTACAACAGTCGAGGGACCTACCACTACACCTACGATAGAGGCAACAACTACTCCATTTAATCCATGCCAAGATCCAGATCACATTTTTATTAACTTGATGCCCTGTATCGGTCCTGTCTTTCTCTCTTTGAAAACGGAAAGTAACTTCACTGTATTTTGTTGGTAAGCGAAAAATAGCATAACTACATATTGATAAATTTTCTTCATTTATATAATTTCCTATTTTAATCCTTGTCAGTCTTGTAAAAAGATTTTTTTTAAAAACTGTCTTTAATCGATTTGTTCATACAAGGCAAAAATTAAGTTTTATTTGAAATATTCAATTTTTTACAAGTAAAGATTTAACCAAATTCTATTTTATTAATTATTCATCAAACAATTTTTTTAAAAACAATACGTTATACTAAATTATCTGTTGCACCCACAGGATGACTTCCGACATTTTTGAGTGTCTCATAAACAAAATCGAGACTTCTTTAAATACGACCTGTTCTGGAACTGATTCTGCAAGCGCTGTTCAAGTCTATGGATCAACGATTTACAGTAAATTAACGCTGACATATAATCCAGTTCTTTGTAAGTGATTAAGGACTTGCTAATGTAATGATTGTATGGATGAAGCTAATTAATACAATAAGAATCCTTAATTTAAATATTGTAATGAAAGTTGTTGTTCTTGTTCTTGTATTAGTAACCTACAGTCGAAACTGGGAGGACTTTACTGAATTTTTATCCCCTCCGTCTTTCTTTTTCACTTTTTGCTTAATGAAAGTCTATAAAAACACTGAGATATTTGCTTGAGATTGAAATAAAAATGTAGTAGAGTGACCTGGTAATAAAAATACAAACTTATTCTGAGATTCATTATTTTTTTTAGTTACAGCAATTTACACCCCTAGAGATTTATGAAAATTCTCAATTACGGGATGTTTTACAGCTAAATTTTAGGTATTTGACAATTGGATCTCTTCTGTGCACAGAAGAGCTTCCAAAACAGGCTTGAATTTCATAGAAATTCCTCATTTCTTCTGAGCTGTGGCCTCTCATTTATCAAATACTCTTCAAAAAAATAAGGGGATTTTCTGAGTTGAGACATTCATACTAAGTTGTTGTGCATCAGTTAAACGGTTTTTTTTAGTTATTGCAGAGCAGTTTTTAGCTTCCAGGGATTTCAACCCTTTTTGTCAGTGTCATGGCCCTTTGTAGCTGAAAATATCGATAGAATTCTTATGAGGTTAAGTTAGAATTTTTTCTTTTTGTGAGTGTCATGGGTTTCTGTAGCTGAAAAATCAATAATCTATCCTAGCAGATTAGGAAGAAAATATTTTCTAATATCTGACGTAATATGTGTTGTGTTAAGAACTTGTGCAATGTGTGTATTCTTAGAAATCAGCCTATAAAGGTGCGTGTTTTTTTTCCAAAAAAGTGTTTTGCTATGAAAATAGATATACATGTAATTGAAAGATTTTTCTTGTTTCAGGTTATAAAAACAAAAGTAGCTCCGAGTCTAGTCCAACACTGCTGCCATCAGCATCGATTACAACATCTCCTTTGATAAAATCTAGTGTCGGGACTGTACATCCAAAGATATCAAGAACAGAGGCTCCATTTATCATATCCAGTCCAACATTTCTTCCTACAGCAACTACAGCACCTCTTTTGATCAATTCAACTGTATTCATTACAGTTTCTCCTTTAGTCAACTCCAGCTTATCATTGCCTCAAATTGAATCCGTAACATCTCTTTTTATCGAATCTAGTTCAGCAATGATTCCATCCAAATCTACTACAGCATCTCCTTCCACTTTCTCCAGTGCAGTATTTTATTTGACGACTGAATCTAGCACAGTCCAGACAACTGCTGAGCCAGGTCCTTGCCAAGACCTAAACAAGGTCACTCTACATGTGTTATCGTGTGCTGGGCCTATCATCTCCTCCCTTCCTTCAGCAGAAAATTCGGAAGTATTTTGCAGGTACACTGAAATATACATTTTATATCTGTACTTAAATAAAACGGGATATTTTTTACCCAGAATTCTTTTCAATGTTCTCTTGCAATTTGTCAAGCTCATTACTGCTATATCTTATAGCATAGACTTGTAATATAAATAAGCCTTATACCGTCATTACCAATGCTCCTCATTTCAACCTTCGAATCCTTTTGTTTTTAGCTTAGAACATATCTATAATTTGGCATGGAGGTTTTATGTCATCAAAAGAGAATGTAATGTGTTTGGACTGTTCCTGTTATTTTTTGGGGGTGGGGGTAGTCAAATAAGTATTTCTGAAAAAAGACGTATGTGTCGGGACTATAGTTATTCATCTTTTATGATATTTGGCCTGTTCATGTCACCGTAAAAGTATGTGCCCCTTATGTGTGGCCTTGACTTCTGAATTAATCTAAAAGAATTTAAGACAACTTTAGTGTAATGAAATAATGTTTTAAACTTAATTTATTCATTTGATTATCAAACTATATACATGTAGATAAGTTCCTCATATGTTTTTATTCAATATTTGACATATTGTAGATTGTTTCTTCAAGTCTTTGATTGCATTGTGAACAAAACAGAAACGACCTCAAACGTATCATGCTCACCAGACGATAAAGAGATCCTTGTCGAATCGATCGGATCTCAGATAATTAGTGCACTCTTAATACCATATGACACTAATCTTTGTAAGTATTAATGATGAATTTTGGCAAAATATTTCACTGTATAATATAAATATTTCTGAAAATCTGACGTTTTTCATACTAATTGTTAGGCCATTATTTACACACTGAATCGTCGACGGATTTTTCCGTTATTTCCCGATCATGACAAGGAGCACACGGCGGGTGTGACCGGTCGGCAGGGGATGCTCACTCCTCCATGGCACCTGATCCCACCTCTGATGTTTGGAGGTCCGTGTTTGCTCTGCTCCTATTTTGTATTGTTTAATGGACTTTAGAGCTTGAATACTGTTCGTTATTTCCATATATTTCAACTGAACACTTTTTGTCATCTACTAGGCAGATGTATTGTTTTATTTCAGTTCGTCAATGAATTTCTTATGACATCTGTTTGATTTTTATGTTGATCTTTCTCGCTCTCCTCTGTGAGATAATCAAGATAAAAAAGTCAAGATTAAAGCGAAATATTTTGCTTCTTTTTCATACTGTAATAAAATCAAGCTTTAAGTAGGTGAACCTTTTCAGGGAAACTATATGTTTAGTAACATTTATTTTTACTATATACAAATTTCCTGGGAATGTTGTGGTCAATGCAGTGTTTGCAACGCTTAATGATATTTCTATCATTGAACGGCATTTTATCATTTGCGGTTGCTACAATGCAGTGTTTGGGAAAAAAAATCATGTTTTAAGTGTGATGTGCTCAAATATTTTTAACTCTGAAAGGCTTTATAACCTATAAATCTTGTGCATATTTCTGTAGGTTATGATACCACGACCATCACTACAACAAGTAGTACACCTTTTGCAAGAGAAAGCACTGCCACTACGACGACTGAACCAAAGCATTGTAGGAAACCAAGTCAAATTAATTCAGAAATTCTACCATGTCTTGGACCATTGTTTCCATCTATTACTTCTGCCCAAAATCTTCAAGTATTTTGCAGGTTCGAGATACATATATAAATATTGTAAAATTTGTATTTTCTTCTTTATTACCTCTATACGCCAAGATAAGAAGAGGTTTTGTATTGGTTGATGCCCATCTGAGCATCATCTGTCTGTTTAAACGACCCCCACCCCCACCCCAACACTTCTCGTCATGCTGTTTTGTCTTAATTTGACAAACATGGAACCCAAGAAGAAGGCATTCTGTATATCGATTTTTAACCATGTGGCAGTGACTACATTTAAGAATAATTTGTTATACATATATTCATTTAAATTGCTACATTTATGGCCTGATTTCAATAAAACTTGGTGGACAAGTGGAAAAAAGGCATAATTCTATCTATTGATTTGTATTTGTCTTAACTTGCTTTACCATGGTTTCTAAAAGGGTAATCTAATAAACTGTTTTCAGAACTAATCCTTGTAAAATTTTGATTCTATTTCAATAGATACAAGATACTCAAACAGAGTGCATCAAGATAATCCAGCAATTTTTTTTCTCTTTAAAACAAACAATTATTCGTTTGTCAGATTGATTTCATAAATTTATTCATTTATCAAAATTAAACATAGTTAACTTTTGATTATGTTGCAGTGAGAGTAAAAGAATATTTTCCCCACCAACACTGAAATTTTGATTTGCATTTAACTAAACCCTAATATTTTATGGTTGTTTACTAATATGCAAAATCTCTTCTTTTTTTTTAAACTGCAGAGTCTCATTAGAGACCTAATGTATTTAGCGAAACCTTACTTCAGTTGCTATCACTACAATAAGAATTAACTTTTATGTTTTGCAGATTGATGGTGAATGTGTTCAGTTGTATTATCAATAACATAGCTCTGAACTCTAACATCTCGTGTTCAGAACATGATCGCCTCTTTGTTATTCGATCGTTTGCAGCACAGCTAGACCAGACTATCTCAAGTCCATTTAAAATTATGGAATGTAAGTGATGAATTTCCCATAAAAAGTGAAGTTTAGGTTTATGTGCTTTACCGTTAACCAACGCGAAATCTTTGTATGGGGCGTTTATTTCCATTTCACAATGATTTCAATAATTTGAACATATTTTTTTGAAAAAAAATAAAACCTTAACGAATGGTGTTTTACGTACCTATTATCTCTGTATTATCTCTAGGTACTGAGCTGATTTGGGGATCTTTTACAACATCTTCTAGTTATGAGAATGTAACGCAGACGACACCTACGTCATCTTCAGCAAGTAGTGTATTAACAAATACTACACCACAGTTATTCTCTACAAGCTCCAGTCCTACAACATCCGCCACGGGTTTAGTATAACTATTACTTGCTCTGTATTTGTTTATTTCTTACATTTATTTCATTATCAAATTTTTTTAAAAATAAGGATTATCTCCCACATGCATAACCCTGATCCTTCGACGTATTTGGCTCCGGTCTTTGGCACCTTTTTTTCATCTCTTCCAAGTCTTTTTTATTTAAATATTTTGGATTTCCAATGTTTCGGCTTGAGCATCACTGAAGAGACATAATTTGTCGAAATGCGCATCTGGTGCATCAAAATTGGTACCGTATATGATTTACATTATGACATCTGGGTCGAGGTCTCTGCTGTTGGACTGTATGTCTCCGAGGGTCTCTACAGCCCAGTAACGTAGTACTTCGGTACTAGCTTGAAAATACGGATATATATTTAATTGCTGTGGTAAAATTTAGAAATTTAATTCAAATTTAAGGATTATCTATCTACCTCAATCATAGCTCTTATCCTTCGACGTATTTGGCTCCAGTCTTTGGCACCTTTTTTCAGCTCTTTGAAGCCTTTTTTATTTAAATATATTTTGGATTTCCAACGTTTCGGCTTATGCATCACTGAAGAGACATAATTTGTGTCGAAATGCGCATCTAGTGCATCAAAATTGGTACCGTATATGATTTACACATGTATCTTTTATACATATGAAGTACTTTTTTTATTATTTAAAGATTTATAGCTTACAAGATTTTAGAGGGGTGTTATTTATGTTGCTACTTAATACAGCATGTTTTGAAAGATTTGCTTAATCTCTATTCCTGCTTTCATTAGGCTGTTTAACATGTTCGGAATTTTTTTACACAGACACGGACAGGTGACTAAATCCTTACCAATGTATAAGCAAATTAATGTTCTTTAACCAAAACGCTAAAAAGGAACCACTTTGAATAAGAATAATTCTAGAGCACTTTTTAGTCAACTCGAATGAAACAGAAGGGGGAAGGAGCATCAATCCAGCTCCAGACCATAAAGTTCTATTTTTTATTCCACATGTAGGATTACAGTGCAGAGGAAAGTCTGAAATTTTTGCACAAGGAATACATTGTATTGGACCGCTGTATAGAAATTTTTCCACTGAGACAGAATTTGCAGTTTTTTGCAGGTAATGCTTACACTGGACACCGTTTTCTTTCTGTGGATACAAGGAATCTCCAGATGTTCATACATTTGAATTTTGTTAAACGTAATAAGTATGTTGAATGTTGAAAAAGCATTTTCTGGAGGGAATATTTTTTTCATGTTCCAGACTGCTGCACTCTGTTTTCCACTGCATTATGGGCCGTATTGAAATGAAGTATAATACAACTTGTTCGACATCAGATCTGTTAGCAGTAAAATTAATGTATGGAACAGAAATACACAAAAGCATCCCGTTGAATTTTGATCCAGATGAATGTATGTTTATTTTCTCAGATGAATATTTGTATTTATTATTATTTTAAGAATAAGCAAGTAATGAATTACCCAACTCCATAACTGTTTTTTTCTTTGAATGAAATTTCAATAAATTCTTTCTTTTAAATTTAAAAATTTTTTTGCAGTAAATATCATTTTTAAGCCCAATATTTTGGCTTTAGTCATTAGTCACTAATATTTCGTATTGACAGGTCGGTTTAGGATGGTTATAGATTTGAGAATATTAAAACCATTATTTATTGCCAAATTTGAACTTTATGAAACTCTGAGTAAATTTAATTTGTTTGAAAATTCAATATACATTTTTAAATATATATCAAATCTGTAAGAATTTCTTTATTTAAATTTTTATTGTAGGCCCAGAGAGTACAAACTGTTTTGAAGTAATGAAGGATGAAAGATACCCAAAATGCTTTAGAACATTTTTATTGTATGAAAAATTAAAAGCAAACATTTATAATCTTCAGCTCTCCGCTTTAGAGACATGCAGGTAGGCATTATTGGGAGAGACGTACATGTAAGCATGCATTCTTCCTTTTCAACACATTAAAAACTTAAACCTTATACTAAATTCCTTGAATAAAAATAATAATAATTGGAATATTTATTTCATGAAAGTACTAAAAGTTTTCCATATTTTAAGACATACATGCATTCTTAATACGTGTACTTCTGTGTCGATTTTTTTTTTGGAACAAAGTGTATGTTAAAATAATTATGATAACTTAGGTGGACAATGATCTATGATTTTATTACTTAAGATATTGACAACTTTTAATTCTAAATTTGTTGGATACCTGCTAACAATATTTGATTGGCTTTTAAGCTTGTACAGAGGCAGTTTGCGATGTATAGGCAGTTATTACAGCAGTTGCAGCATTAAAGACATCCACACTGTCATAAGCCATTATCTTGTCTCCTTGAATTCAACAATTAATCCATCTATTTGTTCAGGTATGTTTTAATTTTTCGTAAACGGATTTAAATTGTGTAAATAATACTAATCTGAGCTTTTAGGAGAAATGCAGCACCAAAATTTTATTTGATAAATCTTTTAATCATCCCTTTTATACTAAGGTTTCAGCATGGAAACATTGATAATAGCCCGAATTCATTTTATAAGAATTTTGTTTTTTGCAGTTTCCCAGAAATATTTATATAACTTGTTTTGTTTGCAAACAAGATGTTTTAGGTTTAAAAATTTGAAATTAATAAATGCCTATTATGAATATCTAATAAAACATGTCAAGAAAAGTCAGAAACACTTTTAATTTTTTGAATGAAAAATATTAATGGAAATAAAACACATTGTTTGTGAATATTTTTAAACCTATTTTAGTAACATCAACTTTTAAATTCTAAAGGTCGTATTTACAAATAAAACAATTTTTATATTTTCTCTGAAAAAATTGCAAAAAAAAAATCATTTAAAAAAATTCAGAAGTAATATCGATCTTTCAAAGCTGAAACCATAATTCAGAAGGAATGTCTTAAACATTCATTCCGTCCTTCCTTCTTCATGCAACTACTATTGAAACAAGTAGAGCTTTTTAGCTCACCTGAGCCAAAGGCTCAAGTGAGCTTTTCTGATCAAAATTTGTCCGTTGTCTGTCGTCGTTGTCGTTGTTGTTGTTGTAAACTTTTCACATTTTCATCTTCTTCTCAAGAACCACTGGGCCAATTTCAACCAAACTTGCCACAAAGTATCCTTGGGTAAAGGGGAGGGGATGCAAGTTTGTTCAAATGAAGGACCACGCCTTCTTCTTAGGGGAGATAATTAAGAATTTGTGAAAAATTAATGGCATCATTAAAAAATCTTCTTCTCAAGAACCACTGTGCTTGAAAATATGAAACTTATGTGGAAGCATCCTCAGGTAGTGTAGATTCAAGTTTGTTCAAATCATGACCCCTGGGGGTCGGGTGGGGCCACAATGGGCGATCAAAGTTTTACATAGGAATATATAGGAAAAATCTTTAAAAATCTTCTTCTCATGAACAGCAAAGCCATGATTGGTCATATTTACATGGAAGCATCCTCAGATAGTGTAGATTCAAGTCTGTTCAAATCATGACCCCTGGGGGTCGGGTGGGGCCACAATGGGCGATCAAAGTTTTATATACGAATATATAGGAAAAAATCTTTAAAAAACAGCAAAGCCATGATTGGTCATATTTATATGGTAGCATCCTCTTGTAGTGTAGATTCAAGTTTGTTCAAATCATGACCCCCAGGGGTAGGGTGGGGCCACAATGGGCAATCAAAGTTTTACATAGGAATATATAGGAAAAATCTTTAAAAATCTTCTTCTCAAGAACAGCAAAGCCATGATTGGTCATATTTATATGGAAGCATTCTCAGATGGTGTAGATTCAAGTTTGTTCAAATCATGACCCCCGGGGGTCGGGTGGGGCCACAATGGGCGATCAATGTTTTACATAGGAATATATAGGAAAAATCTTTAAAAATCTTTTTCTCAAGAACAGCAAAGCCATGATTGGTCATATTTACAAGGAAGCATCCTCAGATAGTGTAGATTCAAATTTGTTCAAATCATGACCCCCGGGGATAGGGTGGGGCCACAATGGGTGATCAAAGTTTTACATAGGAACACGTAGTAAAAATCTTTTTAAAAAAACTTTCTTAAGAACAGCAAAGTATGATATGCATATTCATATTCATATGGAAGCATTCTTTGATAGTGTACATTCAAGTTTGTTCAAACATGACCCCTGGGGGTCGGGTGGGGCCACAATGGGTGATCAAAGTTTTACATAGGAATACATAGGTTAAATCTTTAAAAATCTTCTACTCAAGAACAGCAAAGCCATGATTGGTCATATTTAAATGGAAGCATCCTCAGATAATGTAATGTGTGTTAACATTCGAACATTTTCAGCTTCTTCTCTGAAACCACTAAACCAATTTCAGCCAATTTCAGCGTATGGCATCTATGTGTGAAGGGGAACAAAATTTGTGAATTTCATGGTCCCTGCCCCCCCCCCCCCGAGGGGTGGGGCTAAAACCACCAAAATTAATGCAATCTTTAAAAATCTTCTTCTTTACTCCTGGACATCAAGCACTCAAACTGTTGGCATGATTGTAATAAGCATTGGGCCCTCTACCAAAATTGTGAAATTCATGGCCCCAGGGTCAGGGGCTGTGGTGCTAGGGTGGGGCTATATAGATCATATAGTGAAAGTGCAATATTTCTTTGAAAATCTTCTTCTCTACTCCTGGGTATTATTGAAATAAATTGAATACATAGTTACAATAAGCAAGGGTGACTCTACCAAAATTGTAAAATTCATGGCCCAAGGGTAAGGGGTTCTGGTGCTAGGGCGGGACTATATAGATCATATAGTGAAATTGCATTATTTCTTCTTCTCTGTCCCTGGGTATTATAAAAACAAACTAAGTACATTGTTATGATATGCAAGGATGCCTCTTCCAAAATTGTTAATTTCATGGCCCAGGGTCAAGGGTTCTGGTGAAGGGGGGGGGGGGGCTCTATTGATTATATAGTGAAAAAGCAAAATTTCTTTGAAAATATTCTTTTCTGCTTCTGGTTAAAAAGCAAAGAAGCTAAGTATATAGTTATGATGCGCAAGAGTGCTTCTTCCAGAGTAGTGAATTGCATGACCCCTGGGTCAGATGTGCCGGTGTAAGGGTGGGACTCTTGATAATAGAGTGAAAATGCATCAATTCTCTTAAATAATCCTGTCGACTCCTTAGTGTTAAGCAGATAAACAAAGTGATTACTTATGATGAGCAAACTTCTGGTCCCAGGGTAAGAGGCTCTGGTGTTTCTGGGTGGGGAGGGGGTATCTATTGATAATATAGTGAATCTGTAGTAAAAATGCATGATTTCTTTAAAAATCTTCTCTGCACCTGGGCATATCAGAGGCAAAAAGAGTAAAAGTTTTAATAAGGAAGGGTATTTTTACCAGATTTTTGAACATTTGGACCATTTGGTCAAGTGTTCTGGTTCTGGCAAGGGCTCTATTAATTTGTATTCTACTGAGAGGAGTTATTCCCCCTTTGCCATTTACTTTTGGTAATTAATCACTGTAAATAATGTACTTGAAAGGGTAATAGAATAAGAGAATTATGCAAGAATTTTATTGTATAATACAAAAAGTACTTTCATAGTTTTAATGATCAGGTAGACTTGTAAGTAATAGATAAATAAAAATGAGATAAAAATAACTTGTCTTATTAAATGTTCGTCAAAGACCAAGAGAGGCCAATGTAAGAAATTTCAACAAGGAAGTAAAATAGTACTGAAGCGCTGACAGTTTTTTAATATACTGTATGGTGATAGTGATAAATGGGGAACAGATTAGAACCTAATTTATGAACTATTAATGAATTCTAGACTAATTATTTTGTTGATCCTGATCACCCTATTTTCTTGATTTTGGGCAACAAAGCTTCACCTTTCAGTTCATTTTATACTCTATGGATCCTCTAAATTGTTGTGTTATACTCATGTGACCATTAAGGCCCTTGGGCCTCTTGTTTTCTGACGTAAACCCTACCAAGTGAAAAGTTAACAGATGCTCGGCTGTCTCCGTAAACTTCGACTCTGCTGCCCAGATCATTCGGCAAACCTCGGCTGATTCCGTCACCTTTGTGATATGTAGATGAGGTACGAATCAGCCGGGGGTGTTGCCGAGTGCTGCCGAGATTAGAAAGACAGTGCAAAACAAAGAGAAAAAGAATACATACAGTACAAGCTGTAAAGCTTGCATGCAATAAAGATCAATTCTGAATATTAAAATATAGAAATGTTTTTTTCGTAATTGCTATAAAAAAAATAGCATGTTATTTCGAATTAATTACTGCCAATTTCCACTTTCCGTTTTGTCATATTTTTTAAAGATTGAAAAGCTTGAAAAATTGTTAAGTCGTACGAAAAATAGATCATCAGAAAATTATCTCCCTTGCCTTAAACAGCATTTCAATCAATGAAATAATTGAAAATTTTCTCATCATGCAATTTCCACCAATCACGAGAGAGAGGAAGTACATAGTCGGAAGACTGTAAAATACTTCAACTCTGTATACCGTCTTCCAAGGAAGACGGTAATAACTCCCACTATTTCAACAATGCTCTCTTCTAAGGGGAAAAACTAATATAAATCTACAGAAAATGGCGAAGGAAAGTAACCTTCGTCATTGAAAACACAAAGATTATTTAAAAAAAAAAAAAACTATGAAGCAAAACAAAAATCCACAAAAGATGTTGGATGCATGAGAGAAAAAAAACCTTCAAAATCACAAAACTACATATATTCTAGTCGCGCTCGCAATAATAATACCTTAGGAGGTACACAAGAAATTGTAAAGATGTAAAATTCTCATTTGTTCTTTGCTTCTGTTAAACTCCCCTTGCAAGTATAAGTAAAAAGAATTGTGACTTTAGAGGTCTTTTGGATTGTGTAGGGTCTTGAGGTATTATCACTCAATAATTAAGCTAAATGAAATATGGAGATAACGAACGGTAATAAGGCTTAAATCATCAGGCATGCATACCATCGGTTGAAACTTACTGCAGAATTAATATATAAACATGTGACCTATTGTACTAAAACTAGGATCATATATAGTAGTTCCCCTGCAATCTTTAAAAGGGGTAACAGATTAGATCTAAATTTCTATTGTATATTGTATCTACATATAAAAATTTTTAGAAAAACATGTGGCTAAATATTATACGATTCATTTTGTCAGTCTTAAATCTTATAGTAAAATATCAGGCTTCAAAGAACTCTTGCCAAACAGCTCTCACAAAAATTGCAGATGAATGGTTAAATGAACTGGACCAAGGAAAACTTTTCTGGACCTGGTAAAGATCTTGTGAATAATGATATTCTTCAAAAACAACTACAATGTCATTTTGATTCGATAACTTTGCAATGGTTTCTATCGTACTTAAGTGACAGACATCTAAGTTTCCATCCGTCCAACAAATACTCAGCAGCAAATGTAACAGTGGGAGTCCCACAGAGGTCTATGCTGGTACACGTGCCTCTTCTGTTTGTTTTTTTTAATTTTACAATAACGATCTTCCACTTTATGTATTTAAAAAATCCAACATAGATGTGTTTGGCAATGATGCCACTCTGCATGCCTCCACTGTATCAATACATATTCTTCATCAAGAAAAGTTATGTTTAATGTTTCTTAGAATGAGCATTAATATGCAAGCATAGTTAGATAATGCATATTCATATTTCGTTAAATCATTGCTCAGGGTTTATGGTAAGACCACAGTAGAGGATAAAATTTCATATTGTAATATATATTTTTTTTTTGGGGGGGGGGGACTTTAAAAGCCTTTTCAAGAACCACAGAAGACTCAACAATTTACAAGCATTATCAAGTTGTGTGGATTCAAGTTATTTTCTTTACTCATGGACCAAGATGTTAGAGTTGGGTTTCAGTCGGGGGGAAAAGTGTATACAAAAACATATTTTATTCTCCAGAATACCAAGGCCATGTTAGTCTATTCATTTTAAAACATACCCTGATGTGTGTATTCAGATTTGGCTTGGTCATGGCCCTCTTAGAGCTAGGCTAAAGCCAAAATATAGAGTCGAAATTTTTCATCTTATATGGAAATCTTCTGATGAGGAAGAGCTTGGTCTAGATGAGTGTTAAGGTCCATAAGCCTTTTGTTTAAATATGTTATAATAATGTATCTTTATACATGTGTTTGCTTTAAGTGAATGATACTTACCCTTCTGTGTGCGAAGATGATGAATTCTCCTTACTGGCGATTCATGCAGACTGTGGATTCTATCCCATTCTTATACCGTTCGATTGCCACAGGTATGTTTGCTCTCTCTCTCTCTCTTTCTCTCTCTCATAGATATAGATAGATAAATAGATAGATAGATAGATATCCCAGTTTTAAAGATCTTTTTTTCAATTTGCAGACATGTGTTGGACTTTATCAATTGCGCAGCAAAGAGCCTTTCTTTTCTTAACTGTAACACTGATAGCTTCTGGAGAGCTTTGACCATTCTGTCTTCCTCAAACGCAAGCTTCTTTGACAGGGTTAACATGGGTAGAGGAAAGGATGTTATAGCCTGTATTGATCGTAAGTTTACAATCTAAACCGAATCTAAAGAAAAGTAAAAAAAAAAAAAACCTGCGTTAACAGGAATATGTTTCATTATTGAGAAAGAAGGCTACTGTATGTTTAGTCATACATTAATAAATGTCTAAAAAAGAAAGTTGAAATTTCAGAGATAATGGTTTCAATGACAACCCTCTCTACCCCTATGCCTACTGAGCCTCCAGGAGAAGGTAAGAACTTTCCAACAATGAACTGTATATTTTACATCTACTGTTTAATAATTATGCAGGTTGGGGGGAAACGTAAATTCCGCTATAATAGTGGTATATCACTATTATAGTGAGATTTCGCTATATTTTCAGCCCTCGTTACCCTCGATTTCATCAAATAACATACTTGCTGTTTAAAGCGCAAGTTATGATGGGTATAAGAATGGACAATAATTTGAATCCTTGCATGTTATAAATTTTATTTAATTTTAATAATACGAACACACTTTTGAAAGCGGAAGTTACATTTTTAACATAGCAACCAGTGATTGCGGTAGTATTGAACAATGATTGACTCTTCCTATCTCTCACACATGTGCACAAATTAGTGCTTGTAATAACTTTGAACCCACGTTGGAATAGGTTTGTCGAATTTACAGACGAAAAAGATGATTTTTGCCTGCATAGTTACTGGTATGGAGGCCCGTTATGACAAATGAAAAAAAAAGCTCAGCACATGTTCACTTAAATGGAACCAATTTATGTCGTCTAAATCGTAAGCAATATATAATATGTCGCTTTTACATGTAATCTTAGGTACATGTATAAGGTTTCCTTTCTTGATGATGAAACCATGAATTAAAATGATTAGTCTTAGCAAGAAAAGGGGAAAAGTTTTGATTACTTATGCATGGAATTACCTCTAGACGTGATGTCTTTTAAATTCTGCACGATTTATTATTTGTCTAAATTGCATGACAATTTATATTTAACTACGTTTTGCACTGAAAGAGACAATGAAATCCTAATTACCAGAAGTAGATTATTCTGGTATAAATAAACGAAATACAAAGAAATATGATTAAAGAAGACAACGAAAAAGGCCACTTGAACCAGAGCGAATAGGTAGGATCAGGTGCTATGGAGGAGTAGGCATCCCCTGTCGAGCATGGACTTTGCGAAATTCATTTATTAATGGTTATCATGAATAAGTGCATCGTTGTCTGCGCTACTTCTGCTAAAATATTAAGCCTGCTTTCTTAAGTACACATAAGCCATTATTTACACATTGAATTGTCTACGGATTTTTTTTCCCGATCATGACAAGGAGCAAACGGCGGGTGTGACTGGTCGGTAGGGGGTGCTCATTCCTCCAGGGCACCTGATCCCACCTCTGACGTTTTTCTAGAGGTCTATGTTTACTCTGTTTAAAATTTGTATTCTTTCAATGGGCTTTTGAGATTGATTACTGTTTGTTATCTTCATATTCCATACAGTATTTTAAGTAAATTGAAAAAAATTGAATCGATTTAATTTATTTTCTGTCTTAAAGTGTACGTATACAAAAAAATTGAATGAATTATATATTTTTTCTTAAAATCTATTTATTTATTTTCTGTCGGAAAATGTACAAAATTATATATCATTGCATTTTCACCGATTTATTTAATGTATTTTTCTGTCTTAAAGTGTATTGAATTGTAAAAAAAAAACAACAAAAAAACAAAAACAAAAAAAAAAAAACGAAAAAAAAAAAACAACAACAGATACATGTATATCTAAGTTGGGGTGTAATCAACATAATTTTTATAAACGCAAATGAACTTTCAACACATCTGTTGGTACCAAGGCCAGAGCAGGGATCGAGGAAAGATTATGTGATGTTTACGATACTCATCAAAATGAAGACGAATTTCACTTCATTCTTCAATGCCATAGATATCTAAATTTAAGGGGAAAAAACCCACATAAATGAATATTATTACAAATCGCCAAGTACTTTTGAATTACTTCAGTTATTCGGTTCATATCGCATATCTCCCCTGGTTGACTTAGGGAAATTTATCCATCATGCTCATATATTACGTAACGATGATCTGTCAGGTTGACCCAATGTCTATTTGTTCAAGGTTAATTTTCAGATGTTTATATATAATACAACAGCATTGCTACATACATGTATATTGTAAAACAATTACATTGTTTTAAAGGATTCCTTCTTCTGCTTTATATTATAGCATATATTATAATCTTCTATATAAGTGAATGGAACTGTGGGACTGAGGAACACTTGATCAGGGGTCTCAACCCCTTTTCGATTCTTTGAGAGTCTTACTTATTGTAAAATATGTATAAATTATAAGTTATTATTGTAAACTGATGGGCTCTACTGCCCAAAGTTGTATTCTGAATAATACATAATATTTCATATTTCCAAGCGGAAATAGGTGGACTTGTGATTTTTTTTTAAAAGTGGGAATAGCTAGAAGACACCCATAAAACCGAGGCCCTTTGTTGTTTGTATTGTTAATTTTGTATAACATTCCCGAAACGAATGTTATACAATGTGTTTGTAATTACCTGCAGAAATGACATCTTATATCATTGTATACGATTTATTGCAATTAAACTCACCGGAATAAAGTGAGCATTTAATGAGCTTTTTCGTTTGTCACAACGGGCCTCCATACCTGTTACCATGCAGGCAAAAATAATCTTTTCTTCTGTAAATTCGACAAACCTATTCCAACATGGGTTCAAAGTTATTACAAGCACTAATTTGTGCACATGTGTGAGAGATATTAAGAGTCAGTCTTTGTTCAATACTACCGCAATCACTGGTTGCTATGTTAAAAATGTAACTTCCGCTTTCAAAAGTGTGTTCGTATTATTAAACGCATCGACAGAAAATTAAATAAAATTCATAACATGCAAGGATTCAAATTATTGTCCATTCTTATACCCATCATAACTTGCGCATTAAACAGCAAGTATGTTATTTGATGAAATCGAGGGTAACGAGGGCTGAAAATATAGCGAAATCTCACTATAATAGTGATATAGCACTATTATAGCGGAATTTACGTTTCCCCCCAACCTGTTATGGACTCGACTGTATATATTTTAATACTGATTAATCGGGAGATAATATTATAAACATTAAAAAATTACTAAGTGGAACCCGGAAAATGTCATTTTAAAAAAATCTCCTTAAAGTTGAACACGACTTGTAAATATCCTAACGCCACATTAGTTTTCCTATCTTCTATAACAGCACAGCACCTACATATACTCTTCCTTACACCTGATTGCACATTCAGCTTGGCCGTCGTGTAGTACTTCTTACGTTGTCTTAGTGTTAACATTTTAATTCGTTGTTTTACGTGAAATATAGAGATAACGAACAGTATTCAAGTTCAACCCTAACAAAAAATACTATACTTAACAATAGTTTACTGTAGTATCAAAGTTTTTTTTTTAATATAGTAAATAAAAGTATTTTTCTATGGATTTCAGATTGTTATATTTTTTTTCTTCAGTTCATGCATACACATTTTTATATTTAATGGAAGTATTATTTGTATATTCACATATTATTTCCAAATTTTACATAGCTGCAGGTAAAGTTTCATTGTAAATAAAAGTATCAAAAGTTTTCTAGTAAAATATCCAAATATGAAACAGATGTTTCAGACTCTATGGTGTCTTTTATTTCAAGTTCTCTGGGATATATCGAATCGATATATGAATGGAAGTTAATATTTTTAATTGAAAATACGTCGTCGATATATCTAAATGTCGAGTTGAAGGCCACAGCAAGTGTTTTCTTCTTCTCATGTAGAAGTTTTTGAATAAATTCTGCTTCATACATGTATGAATAAAAAAATAGGTCCGCTAATAACGGGGCACAATTGGTACCCATATGGGAATTCAACAGATTGTTGGAAAACCCGATCTCCAAAAGCTACATAGATATTGCCAATTAGAAACTCAAGATTCTTTTTAAAGCTGACCACTACTCGTATAAGGCATTGTCCGCCATATTTCTATTTCATCGGCGCTATCCCAACAACCCCTATTTTAGCCGGAGACCTTTTAACAGTTCGAAGTATTACGCTGTAGAGGTCTCACCTGAGAAGACGTACATCTTACATTGCCGTATTACTCGGTCGCGATGAAATTATCAACCTTTACACACTTTTTCCGAGCCAGGAGAAAAGTAACATCAAGTATGCAAGTCAATGCATTATTTGCAGACAGAAAATGCACATAAAACAAGGAATAAACTCAAAAAAATCTAAGACCACGAAAGGAATACTACATGTCGGTCACGAGTTTCAAGTGTGCAATCGGGTGTAACGAAATCGAAGGGTTTATATACCTGTGTGGAGGTGCCTATTTATGAGTAATGTTCAGCTTTAATATCAACTTCAGAATACTTGTGTGTACAACCAGAATGTTTTATAACAAAATAATTTTGCAAATGACCAGTGACAAGATAAGTATATTTACGAGTTCCATTTTTATTGGAAAAGCAGCTGTCTGATGTCAAAAATCCTGGACTAATTTATCGCGAGGAATGGTTGAAAAATCGTACGTTTTGATGTTACTGATTTTGGTAAAATTTACGTGCATTTCGTACTTGTTTTTAATTAAACGACCTGTGCAATTGATGTTACTTTTCTCCAGACAAAGTATAGTTGCATACATTTGAAAAATTTAATCGACTTGGTAACAATGGCGAAACACATCCTTACAGGTGAGGTCTGTACAGCGGAATACTAAAGTGTTAGGAAGGCAGAAGCTTATAATATAAGACTTATATAGGATACAGGAGCTCAAGAATAAGACGCCAACTGAGACAAATATGGCGGACATCCCTTCCTTTTACGACTCGTGTTCAGCTCTAAACTTCACAAACATCTTCTGCGTAGCATGTGGGACCAAATTTGAACAAATGAAATAAATTTCAAGAAAATTGTGAATCCATCTTGGATTTGTTTTATAACTTAAAGCCATCAGTAGCTATCATAAATTGTACTACTAAAATAAATGTGGAGTCGATTTATAATACATGTGTCATGTTGTAAATTTTGAATTTACCGGGTGGCAGTAAATACAAAATTGTTGTCAAAATTTACAACATGACACATGTAAATGCTTGAATAAATATAAAATCAAGTACTGTCTACAGGGAAAATCCCCTCCCCCCGTTTTATTTTCGCCCCTTTCGCCCTACTCACAGGTGGGCGAATTTAATACGGGGCGAATTCAAAATCAAAGTATAATTTCTTGAACAGAATTGTGACTGTGCGAATTAAAAACGGGGCAAAATTGTTTGCAAGTGTGAAAGGGCGAAAGTAACCCTGTATACAGCATATCCCTGATCCATGTTTGTAAATATGAAAAATATTAATAAATGTTATTTTTAGATTATAGCAAAACTATTAGCATGGGCGTATATACACATATGGGAAATCACGGGGATCCCCCCCCCCTGGACTTAAGGAGAGAGAGATAGAGATTGGGTTACATGATATCGACAATGATCCTCATATTCTCAATTATGCATGTCATACTTAACTCAACCATGCATGCACAAGTAAATGTCTAGTTCTAAATGACACATTTTTGTATTTTAATTATTTTGTATTTTTATAGTTAGCAAACTGTCCTTTTCAATTATTCTTTCTGATGTTTACTGGAATACAACTCTTCTGGATGTGATGTCTGATTATTATCGTACACTCACTGGCTACATTGATGGTAATGTGAGTACATTGATACTTCAGTAAATTGTTTTAAGATTATTTCAGAATAAATTGCGTTTCACGATTAAAACTCATCATTCTTATTTTAAATATTTAGATAGCAGTAGTATTTGGATCTGATCCAGCATTCTTACAAATTGAAGTTGTTTCATACAGGTAGTGATTTATTTCGACAATTTACTTATTTCTGTTAAATAAAGTTACAAACTGTTTTCTCAGATGGTTTATGCAAACATTAAATAATCTGTACTTCTCTCCTGTAATTAGAAAGAATTTTGACAATCTTACGAAAGTGGACCTCGAAGTCACATACAACAGTTCTATACATGCTGCACCAGATGTTTATGAACAGCTAAAGAGGCAAATTAACTCAGGGCTCTTCTACAATCTGTCAGTTACATCATATCTGCTTTTTGATGGAAGTAAGCAATTTTTCGTTTTTAAAACATTGAATGTTCGATTATATTCTTTTAAAATGAGCTTTCACTGAAAATGGGGGATATTAATTTGGGTCTGTCCGTCCGTCTGTCATTCTGTCTGTGTGTAACACTTTCGTTTCCAGACGATATCTCAAGAAGCCTTTGAGCTTTTATACCAGAACTTCCTATGGCCTTAAAAAGACTCTAGTGATTTTGAGGTCAAAGGGTTAAAGTTTGAGGTAATAAATTTATTCATTACAAATACATGTAACATTTTCTAGATGATACATGTAACTTTAATTTTCTTTGAGCTTTCTTCAATAAAATTTAATATCACAACTCCCTATGACGTAAAGAAGACCCCTATCGATATTGGGTCAAAAGGTTAGAGGTCAAGGTCATAAATTCTTACATTCAATTTTTGTGTAACACTTTCGTTTCCGAACAATAGCTGATAAAGTCTTGGAGCTTTTGCAGTAGAATTTAATATGTATCTCATAAATGTAAAGATATTTATTTACAATTACTGTTTTCTAAGAGAAAAAATATAACTAAAAAATAAATAATATCACAACTCCCTATGTCCTTAAGTAGATCCTTTTTATTTTGCGGTCAAAGGTCAGAGGTCACATATATATATATATATATATATATATATATATATATATATATATATATATATATATATATATAGCACAAAGAAATTCACTTTTACAAGGAAACCCACATCTGCCCCAACCCATGATATATATATATATATATATATATATATATATATATATATATATATATATATATATATATATATATATATATATATATATATATATATATATATATATATATATATATTGCATATATAGTTTTCAGATAATGATATTAGTTTTTCTGTAAGCTTTTGCAATGAAAATTATGTTCATGAATTTGTTTAACTTTAAAAAGACTCCTATAGACTTTAAGGCCAAAAGCTGAAATGCTAAGATTTATCTTGTTTCTCTCTCCATCTGCAAATTTTTTCCACTTCTTCCAACCTCTTCTTTTTTCCATAAGCGGGAGACACAAATTCTGTGAAATAGCTTTTTCCTCTAAATGACGGTCATTTCGCATAATCTAAGTTTAAGGACACTTAACTCAAAATAGTCTATTCAGAGCTTGTCAACGGTATCTGCATTTTGGGGTCACATGAGTCACTCTGGTGACCTATTGCTCTCTGCTTTCGTCTATTTTTGTACATCGGTCGTAAATTTTTAAATATTTCCTCTCTTGAACTATTTCAAGCAATGATCGAGTCTGTTTGCATGATTACAAATGAGCTTAAGACCCTCTACCAAAATTGTGAAATTCATTGTCCTGGGTCAAAGGTTCTAACATACAGTGAAAATGCATTTTTTGAAAATATTCTTCTATCCCCGTATCCATTAAACAGACTAAGTGCAAAGATATGATGAACAATGGTGCCTCTTCCGATATTGTGAAATAAATGGCCTCTGGGTCTGGTCATATCGTAAAATTGCATTTATTAAGTTCTTCAAAAATGTTCTTATCTGCTCCTGGCTTTTAGCAGAAAATTAGTACATGGTTATTATGAGCAAGGCTGCGTCTTCCAAAATTGAAAAAAAAAATCATGGACACTAGGCGAGGGGATCTGATACTAGGGCGAGGCTTTATTGATCATAATTACGGTAAAATTGCATTCATTCTTTAAAAATCTTTATCTCTGCCCCTGGGTATAAAGACAAGTTAAGCGCATGGTTAAGATGAGCAAGGGTTCCTATTCAAAATTGTGAAATTCATTGCCACTCGGTTAGGGATTCTGGTGTTGGGGCGGGGCTCTATTGATCACATAGGTTAAGTACATTAATTCGTTGAAAATCTTCTTCTCTGCTCCTGAGTACTAAGCAGACAAATTTATTGTGCCTGGGTGAGGAGTTCTGGTGTTAGGACAGGGATCTTTTGAATATGTTATAAAAAGTGTTAATTCTTTGACAGTTTTTTCTCTGCTATTGGGCAAGTAGGAGGCAAACAGTAAAAAAAATGCAATGATTAAGAGTGTTTATATCAGATTTATGAAATTCTTGACCATTTGGTCAGGAGTTCTGGCCTGAACAGGGCTCTATCGATCATGTAGGGAAATTTGTTCTCTACATTGAGAGAAAATATTGAAGAATAAACGGCTTCCATCTTTTGAAACATGCATTTAAACAGGCACCCTTCCTGGGAAAAAATTAATGAAAGATGTTATAACGAAAAATCAAATGTTAGTAATCAATTAAAAACCAAGATTTCTCAAACTTTGCAGTTCATCTTTTACAAATGGTACACAATACTGGAATAGGGGTTATACCAGGTATTTAATTTTTAGGAATTTACAAGCACCTTAGCTGGTTCTTATTCTGGTAAAAGAAAAATAAATTACGAAAGTAACTATTTGAATGTTCTATTTCAGATACAAGGAATTCTAGTTGTCCTATCGTGACGTCAGTGTCAACAATCTGTCACGATGTGTGTGTTCAAGACACGGACTGTTCAACCAGTGAGAAATGCTGTTCCAATGGATGTGGGCGAATCTGTCAGAATAGCACAGGTTTCAAAAATACATACCCATATAAGAACACACAACTGTAATAACCATTTTAAGGTCACCTGATTCATTCAGGAGACCTATTGTTCTCTGTTTTCGTTCGTCGTCGCGAGCTGTCCGTTAACATTTTAATGACTGGAAAGAAAAAAAAATGAGTAAAGAATGTGTACGCATTTGATGTGGATTTGGCAGGAATCTGGGCGCACTCAAACATTCATTTGTTCTTTTTCTTGTAATTTGCTATCTCTGTGTGCTCTCTTAACGAAATTGAAACGTCCATTTTGTTTATTTTAATTCATTTAACAAGATCTAGACCAAAAGTTTTTTTTAATGGAGAGAAGACCCAAAGACCATAAAAAACAAAGATTTTTAAAACAAGAAATCACTTTGTGTACATGCGCTGTACGTGTCATTATAAGTAGTTTAAAATTTATGTCAAGTGTAATGCGTCGATATTATTGTGGTATAATACCTGTCTCTGATTAAGTTTACTTCAATTGTCTCGATCCTTTTATGAAGCTTGTTTGACTTTTTAACAACTAACAATTAAGTCGTTTGTCAACTTGAATAAATATATTGATTTGTTCAAAGAAAGGGGGCGTACAAGACGAGGACTATTCCCCGCTCTGAGATAATATATTTCTCAAATGTTCATGGGAAAAAAATATTTTTCGAAAATTATATTGTTGATAATGTCATCTTTAACACATTTATTTAATTGAATAACTTATTAATTGACATTATGTTTTTTTTAGTTGATTGTTAAAGCATATTTAGTGGAAAATGGATCTATCAGAGTCATTTAAGATAATTTTTGAATGTGAATGAGTCAATCTCCATTATACATGAACGTTTAACTGACTGAAAAATGAATGTAAGATCTATACTATGTTTTCTGAACTCTTTCTAATATATAAAAATGGAAAAATTTTGAAAAGAAATATGCAATTCGTCGAACTCATTTATTTAAATCACACTAACACATTCAAAATACAAGAAGACTGTGAAGCGTAGTGGTTAGGGCATTTAATATTACGCATCATCGCTAGCTTTGGAGTGAGTTCGAATCATGCATGAGGTTTTTTTTCTTTTCACGTATCTTAAAAATATACGCAGCTATGTTAAGGTTTCCCGAAGCTTTAAAATGCGCTCAAAACATAATATGTCATTGCGAGGTCGGTTTTAATTTATAAGTAATGAACTTAGTACTTCCAATTTATATAAAGGGTTTCTTCGGCTATATATTAACATATTTGTTATGATATCACATGACTCTGTTGATCACGTGACGGTCATTTATAATTTTTTGAAGTGTTTCATATAAATCGCTTCGGCGCAGCTGATTAACACGATAATTATTAACATTTTGTTATATAAATAAACTCATCGTATTCTTGTTTATCCGAAATGTGCTTGGGAAAAGTCATGGTATTACTTGGGTACAAAATATTTCCTGAGAAATTCAACTTACCTACAAATTTGAGGGTATTTTCCACACAATATCGTAATCTGTATTAAAACAAAGCCAATACACATTTTTCCCAAGCAAGATTCAGTTAAAGAACAACCTCCTCTTACAGATTTCCACAAAAATTCTCAGATTAATCCTCATTAATCACCTGCGCCAGACTCTCTTATACACACAAAATAAATTCTACCCCCAACCACGGGTATAAAACAGAGTACATTTCAAAAGTATATTTTTCATAAGCATTTTAAACATGCTGAATTTCAATCAAGGGTAGGTAAGCGTTGTATTTTTAAAATATTCGGACATATAAGACTTAAAAAACCTTTAACGACCCGTGAATTTTTCAAAAGCTATCTAGCATTTTACATGCAGTTTGAAATAAAGTGTAAAGTTCATGACACTCTCCCCGACATAACACCTCAAGTTTGCAGTGAGTTGACGTCATTTTCCATTATGACGTCATATTTTGGTAGTTCAGAGATGTGAAGGCACAGAGTGCACTGTGATATTCTACGGGAAGCCTTAACCTACCTGCGTAACTAAAAAAATACATTTCTTATCAAAAAATGATTCAATAAAATAAGGGAGTCAAAGTGTGAAAGATGATACTCACAACACAATTTTCGAATTAATATAAATTTTCTATTACCTTAAGAATTGAGAAATATCTTGTCGGGGGATTGTCCTCGCCTTGTACAAGTCCATTCTTTTAGATAAAGTAAAATTCACTGAAATCGAAAACCAATTATTTCCACCCACTAAAATTCAATGCATTTTTTATCCATACCTTATTATCTTATACATGTAGCTGTTAATTTTGTAAAATTATGTATAATGTTACCATGTACTAGTATTATGATATCATTACTGGTATTGTAAATAGACCTAAATATTACAATTTTTAAACAAGGTATTTTTGAAGTGTACCATTTTATGTGTTTCACTTTCGTTAAGTGTTTCCTGTTGTGCTAAGTCGACCAGAACGTCTGCTTTACTGATTTTTAAACAATGATTCGTACCTATGATTTCTGCAGATAGGGGCTAAATACGCTCACCTTCTTAAATATATTTATCATCTATGGACAAAAGGAAAAAATAATATTGAATTCTTTTTCATGGGGGCTTAAGCAGGGGGGCCAAAACTGTCAAAGTCAATGCAATCCAAAAAAAAAAAATCTTCTTTTCTCTAGAACACCATCAGTACTGTTGGTATGATTTTAATAAGCAATGAACTTCGTCGTCTCTGCTCCTGGGTATTAAGCTGACAAACAAAGTGCATAATTATATTTGAACAGGGCACCTTTCCAAAGTTATGAAATTCATGGACCCTGGGTCAGGGGTTCTGGTGATAGGACGGGACTCTATTGATCATACGGTAAAATGCATAAATTCTTTGCAAATTTTCTTCTCTGCTTCTGGGTAATCAATAGACAAATCAAGTGCTTGGTTATGATGAGCAAGGGTGCCAAAACTGTGAAATATTTACATCCACCGAATATTATCACCTTTATTTCTTGAGAAAACCATTGTCTTTTATCAGTCAGTAAGCATCGCTAAGCATAGCTCCTCTACGGGTATCTTGATCAGTAGCTCTTCCATCAATGAAACGTACATATCAATAATACAATATTTAATCTACTTAATCCTACTTTAAATAATTTTTTGTACAGATATAAGTATAAACAATAAAATGTCTTCCTTTGTTTGTTAGTACGAGAATTCACGTTGCAGCTGTTGCAGAAAATATTAACATAACCCGTTTACACGGGTAATGTATTTTTTCTGCAACAGCTACAACATTAATTCCCATACTAACAACCAAAGAATGCATTTTATGGTTTAAATTCGACCCCTAAGTCAGGGTTTCTGGAGTTATGATGAGTTTTTATAATAAACATGTATAGAAAAAATTACTCTGCTTTAAGAGAAATTATTCCCCTTTATCATTCACTAATGACTATAGGTGTAATAAATGTAATTAAGAGGTAAATTGAATAAAAGAATTATCAAAAAAAATTTAATTTGTAATACAAAGAGTACTTTCATAGTTTTTAATAGTCAGGTACACTTGTAAAAAAAATAGGTGAATAAGAATGAGACAGAAATACCTTATATAAGTGCATAATACATTTTTGAAGATCAAGAGAGGCCAATGGTATGGAGATATTTGCTTTATTTACTATGCGAAACCTGCATATTATGCTAAAGCACTTTCGTGATACAGTACCCGCATCGTTATTCTTTACAATTCTATCGTGTCCTATCGTGCGTTTATCCTATCGTATCGTGCGTGTATCCTGTCGTATCGTGCGTGTATCCTATCGTATCCTATCGTATCGTGTTTTCCGTTTATCAGGTTTTGCGTTTTCTATCGTGTTTTCCGTTTATCAGGTTTTGCGTTTATCGTGAAGATCGTTTATCAGGTTCTATCGTGTATCGTGTTTTGCGTTTATCGTGTGCATTCGGAAACCCTCGCTTTTTATCTTTACCTTGAAAAGAAACACTCGAGATATCTCGAGTTCATCTTTCGTTTTGTTAATTTATTTAGGATTAATCTAACTGTTGAACAAAAAGAGAAACTAATACTCCAAATCTGGTATATTTTTAAAGAAAATAAATAAATAAATAAACGTCAAGTACCGTCACCAAGCAAAGAGCATAAATCGAAAGTCAAATTCTATTTTTGGACATGAAATAATCGATCTACTATTTGAGTCATTCGTTATTTTTTTTTTTTTAATTTGTCGATATGTATGAAATATTTTTGTCAAAGATAGAAATATTATAATCCCTTTACACAGAGTCACATAAGCGAGACCTTTATTAACTTTGTTTTGATAATTATAGAAACATAAAACATTAGGTATGTGTGCAAAAAATAAATTATGAATAAAAAAAATATCAGTATCTTTATTAAGGCTATCCTTTTTATCAATGACGGAAACATAAATTTTGTCTATGCGCGCAAGTTTTGTTGTTCCTTTGTATTATTATTTTTCTCTGATAAGTATATATTATAATATAGATGTTTGCCATTCATATTTAACTACTGCAGTTAGAAGCTGTAAAAAAAAATAAATAAATAAATAAACAAAACCACACAAATTTTTATTATACATCTTACCTACTTCGGCGCGGAGATGAAGTAATATATACCGTAACTTAGAGACAGGTGGAAGCGCTCCCGTGACAAGAGAACTGACACCTACCTGCCTAATCAGTGCACTGTCTTCTTGTCAAGTCAAGACCCCCCCCCCTTTTCCCCTACATGACCGACCCGTGTGTATTCAACGTAGACATACCTGAACTCTAGCTCTCACCTGGTGTCAAGTATTTACCTTGAACCCTACTGGGTTTCAATGAAATGCATCTACTTATTTTCTGGATATTGTTCATAATTTTTATGAACAACACTTAATTAACAATTAAGATTTTATACTAAAAATTGGTAAATGTACACTTCCGTTACAGATTAAAAATTAAATATAATTGAATCAAATAAAATATAGGCGAGGTTTGTTCTCCAAACTTCGTTGATTTAGTTCATTTGTTTATCCTTATGTAATTTTTATAGGTTTACAGTCATAAATATGATTGGTGTGATCAAATAAAAAAAAATGCGCTTGCGGTACTTCTGGATCTTAGGGTTTTCTGTGTTGTCTGTCGTTGTTACATGTAAAGGCGTCTCAAAGTTACATGAAAAAAAAAAATCGCCCGGCCGGTTCTGCGGTGATACACAAGACTGGTAAATACCTTGTATTTAATTTTATTTGTGTTTATCGATTGCATATAATACGTGACTATATTGAAGAAGTCAATATATATTTCTATTTTATCTTATTTTTATTTATTTATTTATTTATTTTTTGGCTTTTTGAATCGGATTTTTTTGGGGGGGGGGCGTTATGGATCCCCCTTCCCCGCTGACTGTGCCTCATACGGGGTTAAGACTTTCATAATTTACAAAGTTTTGTCTAATTTCACCGATGTCGTCCTATATAAGATAAGTTTTGTAACAATTATTACAAAGTCTAATAGCAATAATTGACAATTATTCAATCCGAAAATCCACTTGTCAAATTGTGGAAATTGATTTATTATTTATTTTTTGTGTGTGTTCTAATATGTTGTAAACAAGTGTACGTAACCATTCAATGTTATTTAATACAAAGTTTAAGTACCCAATAAATATATTCATATACAATGTAAGCTTAGTTTACACGTATCTATAGTAGATACACATTCTGTTATTGTAAATGCTTATAACACAAGCACGCTAAGAAAGCAATATCATTTCTTTGGGGCGGCCGGGGGAGGGGGGTGGGGTCTAAAAAGAAATGTTTTGAAAAGCAAACAAAAATGGCTAAAGACATTATTATTGTCGATGGGCAATATTATATAAGCATTATATTACTACTGTATACTACACATGCTGGTACACTGTAACATTTTTTTTTTATTTATACGAGTGCATGCTCCCTTCTAGCTTAATCTTACAGGCCTATAAAAATACCTAAATAAATACAAAAGAATGGAAATGCGATATTTTTTCGGATAATAGATGATGACAGATCTAGTGACGTTTATTAATTTTATTAAATTCGATTTTTTTCGCAGGTCTCCTTCCTCATATATACATATACAATGTACTTGGAATATGTAAATAATTTCTATGTGCACGGGATATGTGTGACATAAATATTTATATATAGGAGAGATTAATTATTCACAGTCCAGTGCACGGTCTGTCTCAATGCAACTAGCAATTTCAGCAATTTTAAAACGTAAAAAAATAATAATTAATTTATATAAAATACAAATCAAATTCGTAAAAACTTGGAGGAGAAAGCATTAACCTTTAAATAATTATAACAATAAATTTTCAATCTCCCCCCCCCCCCCCCAAATTATGACTAGTATTTTTTTTTTTTTTTTTTTTTTTTTTGTAAGATTTGAATTATTAAATACAAACTGTTAAAGGCGATTTTGGATACTTCGCAGACTTCTAGCAAAAGATATTGAATCCAAATATTTCAGTTTTTTTTTTTTTTACATGTTTTTCCGTAAAAATAATCAATGTTTGTTATGAATTTCATAAGGTTTTATTTGTTAAAATAATGAATATATTTATAGCGTTTCGTGAATTTATTGCACTTGGGTGTAAAACTTCGCTTGTCTACGGACTCAAAATTCAAATTTAGCGATTCGAAGGAATTTCGACATTTGTATAATTACACAAAAAAATCGCCTAATTTCCATCATAGAGTGGAATTATTCTTAAAATAATTACAGTTTGAATTTGATGACGATCAATTTTATTGACAAAAATACCATATCTTTACAAAGCATAATTACTTCAAATGTTTTATCATGATAAATTTAAATGTTTTATCATTTCGATTTGCGGCTTTGTAAGTAATTAAAATTATCTTACTATAGTATATCAAAAATAAAACTTTTCGTCTTGTCAAAAAACGTTTCGCATTTTGAAACAATCCTATCAGGTTTTGCGTTTATCCTATCGTGAAGATCGTTTATCAGGTCTATCGTGTTTTGCGTTTATCGTATTTTGCGTTTATCGTGTTTTGCGTTTATCGTGTTTTGCGTTTATCCTTTCGTGCGTGTATCCTATCGTATCGTGCGTGTATCCTATCGTATCGTGCGTGTATCCTATCGTATCGTGCGTGTATCCTATCGTATCGTGTATCCTGTAAAGAATAACGATGCGGGTACTGTAATATATTTGATGATGGTTTTTCTTTGTATTTATGTTGTTTAACGTCCCTCTCGAGAATTTTTCACTCATATGGAGACGCCACTGTTGCAACCACTATTGAAATAACGACCACTATTGAAATAATTATTTCAGTAGTGGTTGAGAGTGCATTACAAAACCAAACTCCTTACTTCGCGACTCTAGAGTAGACGCTCTAATCACTTGATGATGGTAATAGATTGTAGATTGCAATTGCATATAACAGGGAAGTAATGCATTGTTGCTGATTACCAGACTACCTTTTATTGATCTCTGATCATCCTTTTAACTTGTTTTTGAGTTTCAGTTTATTTTGTGTTACTTTAATTCTCAATTCCATGGATCCTTTACGGGTTGTTTTATTAATCAGATAACTGTTAAGGGCCTTTGGGTCCTTGCTCACTCTTGAAGTGAACATCTTCCATTTTCTACAGATATTATCAAATTGTTCCTTCCAAACTTTTCAATTACAAACACATTTTACAGCATCTAGATATTGAACATCTAAAACAAAATCCTCTTGTTCTTGTTCTCCTGGTTCCTTTTACCGCTTTTTCACGTTATTACTTTAGATGTTAATGTAGTGGAAAATGACGATCTTAAAGCAAAGATTCTTAAAAGGGCCTAAATACAGGGAGCTTGATCTTTTAATTGGGACCAAAACTTCAATTATATTATGATTTCTGTCGCAGATTATGCCAGACGTTTGGCTAGATATGAAGTAGAATACCTACACACTTTGTTAGAGTGGATTAAATGTTCGGAAATATATTAAATAATCGTGTTAGAAAGTAAAAAGGCTAAATCCTTTAGTTTTTACGAAATCGGAGTTGATAAAAGAATTAAAAAGACTATACATGAACAATATGTTATGGTTCATAACATAGCAGAGGCTCGTTCGTTCGTTTGTTTGTTTGTTTGATGTCTCTTCGAGAAGACAAGGCTTGTAAAAATATCGTCTATATTTGTTCCGCTCTTATTATTATAACTGTATTTTAGAAGATCTTGATTTTAATTCTGGAATCCAAACTTTTACCCATAGTTCATTTCTACCTTACTGGATCCCTAATCTTCATAAAAATCCGTACAAAGAAATACCGGTATTGCGGGGTCCAGCAAATGTTCTTTACTCCTCACAAATATATTAACCACTGTAAAGGAGAAAACTTTAGACGTACTGTGTTACAGCATATTCTAGAAGAAGTCTTAATCAGATACAGTTTCTCAAAAACTCCAAAGAATTTCAAAAAAAAATAAAATAAAATAAAATCACCTTGATATCACCTCTGGGGTTTCGGGGGGTCCATGTTTTATGCCTGTTCACAGATTGTATTGTTTGTAGCTTATAAGACTGATCATTATTTGCTATTTACACGTTTTTCATTTAAAATGGAAATGAGAGACTCAAACCTTAGGGGGGGTGTCTTTCAGCTGAATTGTGAACTTATATTTTTTGTATAGTGCTATGGAACAACTTTGAAGACATATCTAAATGAGATTCAAGCTTGTTTATCTTCTTTTTCCTACATTGTCATGTATTATTGAAATGTGGTCTGATCCCAAGAACATAAACTGAAAACAGACTTAGTCAAAATTTCAAATTTGTATAACTTTTGAAGTAATCGAGAAATTAAACCAAATTTTTATTATTCTACTGTATTTGAATATTTTACAAACATGCAACTTTTCATACATGTTTGTTGAATTTAGAGTTAAGATATTCAAAATCAAAATTTTGAGGCTTAAATTTTTAGTCTCAGTTTATGGTCTTCGGGCCTGGTGTTTTTAAATGTACAATTTTTTAAACAAATTCTAGATTTTTTCATATCTGGTTGGGTAACGGTTAGTTTTGTGAGAATTTACTTGACTTAAATTCTTACTATCTTGAGCTCCATAAACACTTGAATAACAAAATCAGTTTAATAAAAAAGAATGTTATATGGTGTCTAGACCTACAAAACAAAGTCATGGTCGTTATCTGTAAATAAAAGTTATGGTATTTGTAAATAACTAAAGTGACCAACTCTTGATTTTAGCAATCATTAGATTTATTAAGGAAATTGAAATATTTTCAGTGCTTCTAGGTCAGTTAGCTCAACCGTAAATTTGCACACGGTTCTTATCATAATCATATGATGAAGTCGATTGTAGGTCTTAATAGAAAAGCATAATTTTCTTACAGAAATCAAGTCATATTATGATCTCAGATATCCAGAGTTTCCAATACTTCAACAGAATGGTGAGATTTTATTTTCTTTAAATGTAATAAATGATTCGTTTTTGGATTGATACTTTTGTCATTAGATTTGAAGATTTGATAGTTTGGAAAATAAATAAGCACATTTTTTTTAACTTTCTTATGAAGAACATTTTATAAAATTGATGGAGAGAATTTAGTCTCATTTTCACCTTCTGTGGTTCCAGTGTAAAACAAGCTCAATTCTCTGTTCTAAGAACAAGGTTTCGCACAAGGAAATAGTAATTTTCACAAACATTCCAGTCTATTAAGAATTGATCAAACGCGTCTGATGGTTTAAGCAAACAAGAGCATATAGCCTTTATTTTTCAAAAGTAAAATTTCACCAGGGATTTCTGATCTCTTCCGGAATTTAAATCGATTTGTAAATATCCGACATAAATTCCTTTCTGAATTTAACTTCATTTATCCCCCATAATTTCTTTTATTAAAATATGAAAAAATGTTTGTTTTTTTAATGCATAGGTATTTGCCTAATTTATTCGTATATAAAACCATCTGACAATTGAAAGATCGGATTCTTTTGTTTAATGATGTGAATCTATAAAAATGCATGAGAATTGTTCTAATTGTTTTCTTTTTTAGCCGAACAAATGCTCGTCTCGGTAACATTACCAGACTACCAATGGACTGTTGAATTGCTGGATCCAAATTCATCTTTCTACAGAGAAATACAAAAGGCAGTTGTTACAAATGTGAGTTGTAACTATGATGAGGTTATGATGAACAAAAGTCAAGATCTTTAGCTGGAAGAAATGTTTATATTCCTCATCAATATGGATGCTCTATTTCAGTTTGAAGAACAGATGAAGACGTCCACAGAATTCATTCGATTTGATGTCTCGTCACTAAGGTTGTCTGTTTGAAAAACAAAAGTTGAAAAATAAACTTAAAACTAAATTTCAAATGAAATATTTCTTTAAATTTATTTGTGCAATATAATATGCATCAACAAGCAATTTTCTTTAATATCATTCTTGTTTTATGTACTTTTAGGAATAGGCCATTAGTGACTGCAGACGTCATTGTAACATACAACAAAAATCGTATCAGTTCTTCATCGGTGGTCAATGTCTTGTACATGCTTTCTGGACATGGGTTTATACATCAACTACGAATTCAAGGAGACCTCAAATTTGATAAAAGTAATACTAGTCTATCAAAAATTATCAGAAATATGTTAGTAGAATTAAAACGTCCTTAGTTTGAAGTTGAAAATGAAAAACACTTCGGTTTTAGCTTTATGCTCCGTCATACAATTATATATTAGTGATCTTACAACAGTGTTCACGTGCAACGATGTATATGTGCAATGCTAAAAATGAAATATGAAGGCTACGGACATTAATCAAGCACAAAAGTCCATTGAAAAAATGCAGGTTTGAGAAAAGCAAAAGAAACATCTCAAAAGGAAGTCTTTAAGCGTTACATTTTTGAACTACCGGGTAAGATGATTTTAGAGCAAAAGTTTTTTAACACAAGAGGTAAAGACATTGCCTTAATCTTGCATAGTTATACCCTAAGCAACAAGTTGCGGGGGGTATGTTTTTGACCCGTCCGTCAATCAGTCAGTCCGTCAGTCCTGTTTTTTTTGTCAGCGCAACTCCTCTTAAACAGCTGCACAGAATTTCGTCTAACTTTGCAGATATTTAGGACACAATGTGTAGATGTGCATATTACCAGGAAAGTCCGATTCCGTTATTTTTCTGGGAATTTCGGCACTTTTCAACTTAGATTTTTGGCCATATCTTGAATATACAGATGAACAGTTTTTCAGCGCAACTCCTTTTAAACCGCTGCACAGAATTTGGTCAAACTTTGCAGATATTTAGTACACAGTGTGTAGATGTGCATATTATCAGGAAATTCTGATTCCATTATTTTTGCCCTTAGAGTTTTCCCTATTATCGAAGAAACTTTCCAGCTAGGTAATAAGGAAATCCAGTGGGATCAGCTTTTGTAATGAAATTTTATGTGAAATATTTTATGACCTTAAAAGACCCCTATTAATTTTGAGATCAAAATATTAATGATTTAACACACACACACAATCTTGGATAGTTCTCACACACACCCCCCCCCCCCCACTTTCAAGTTTTGATTTTTTGCAATTAATGCCCCTTTTTGAATTATACTGTGTATTTAAAATGCACTGTGTCATTCATTACGTGTTGCGTTGTCGAGTTTTGGGTGAGCGTGGGGTATGTGAGCTTGCTCACTTTTTCTTTCATTTAGGATGAACGAATCTACCATGTAATGAAGTATTAAAGTTTGATTAAATCATGACATCTCATGTTTTTTTCCTCAGAATCAAAACAGAGAACATTAATATATTAAAAATATCTAGAACCGAAAAATGTATATCTCTTTCACCTTTCACTGATATATATTTAGATCATATTTCTTCAGCTTAAACTTTGATTAATATTGATTAATATTAATTTATGTTGTCTCGATATATCCCAGTGAACTTGAAATAAAACATACCACAGAGTCCGACACATCTGTGTCATATTTGGATATTTTACTAGAAAAAGACGTAATGGTAATCTAACAACAAAACTTGACGATAAACGTGATGACTTCAATTTTTCCATCGTCAGCTCCCCTTTCTTATGTAGCAATATATCCTTATCACCTGCATATGTGGTTTATGTTTCCCAGTTGATTTGATACGCAAGAGCATGCTCTATGTAAGAACAATTTCTAAAACAAGGCAAGCTATTGACAAACAAGTTGATGAAAAAAGGATATCAATAGTCTCGTTTGAAGTCATTTTTTCGCAAGTTATATGCTCGATTCAATGGCCTTGTCAGCAAATACAATCTTTCATTTAATCGAAGGCTGACTGACGTATTTCATGCTATTTGTTAGGCCCTTGTTTACACATTAAATTGTCTACGGATTTTCCGTTTTTCTCTATCGTAACAAGGAGCACTCGGCGGCAGTGACCGGTCGGCAGGGGATGCTTACTCCTATGATGTTTTTAGAGGTCTATGTTTGCTCTGCTCCCGATTTGTATTGCTTCAATGGACATTTGAGCTTGATTACTGTTCGTTATCTCCATCTTTGATTCAATTACTTTACAGAGGTAAAACCAGGGGTCTGTCCATATTTCTCCATGGCTGTTTTCAGAACCTGTCTAGACACTTGCACTGGAGACACTTCTTGTTCAGGAAAATGGAAATGCTGTTTCAATGGATGTGCACGCAGTTGTATTGATCCAGGTATTTTTCCAAAGGAGAAATTGCTCTATGTCATTAAACAGCTCAAAATTATTTTTGCTACACATGCTTTTGTGAACTAATGAACGAATTAATTGGAAATTAATATATTGCTATAAACATAGGCACAAGCAAAAAATATGAAGAATTTAGCAATTTTACTTCTTCTTTTTTTTTCATAGTTAATATTCTACTTTGTAGATTTGCTCTTTTTTGCACGAATAACAACCTAAATGCAATTATGCATGTTATAAACTAAGTCTTCACAGAACATATCTTGGAATTGAGCACCGTTCTCCCTAGCGTACTTTCCACATGCCTTTTATTTTAAAAAAGTTGTTAGCATGTTTTGAGTAAGGTCTGGTCTTTCTGTTTTGACGTCAAATGTTTTATTTGCGTTTGAATCACGACTGTTCCAAGACAATTAACAAAAGTGTAGAATATGAGGAATATGGTAAAAACTTTCCACTGGCTAAAAAAAAGATATGTGGAAATACCTCAGAGGGAATGGCATTCAAGAAAACTTTCCGTGAAAACTAAGTTTATAACGGACCTAATTTCATTTAGGCTATTACTCTTGCAGAAAGGGGGGCAACTTAATCAGAAATACAAAAAAAAATTAAATATACTAAAATTGCGAAATTCATGAGATCTTTTCTTTTATGCCTTTGCTTAGTAGCAGTATATTCCGAAAATGTGCATTTACTTAGCTATAGTTAATTATGACTAACAAAAGCATGGCAGGTTTAAAAGTCGTTTGAGTTGTAAATGATTTAACACATTTCAGAGTTCAAAAACTCGTATTAAAGGTGCTTGGGCACAGATTTGAAGTTAATATTATTTCCAATTTTCTGTATAATTTCATGACTTGTATGTTGCTATAGCATTTCATACTAAAATATAATACAAATCTTATTTCATCTCGAAGTTATTAAAACTTCGAATTTCTGGACGCGTTGGATTGACACATCCTTGCGCTTTCACATATTTTAATTTTATTCTTAATAATTAAGAAAAGTGGCAATTTTGTTGTGTATTAATGAAAAATATTAAAACTATAACCCAGAAAATTCAGAGTAGAAATGTTCGAAAGCAAAACCCACTCACAGTTTTGTAAGTCCGTGCTCAGTGGTGTGTGCAGAGTTTAACAATTGAACACACCCGGTGAATCTTAAACATAAACAATAACAGAGCTCGTGCCCTGTTTACAAAAAAAGTTTACGCTTCACGGGTGTGTTCAATTTGTTAAACTCTATACACATTACAGAGCACGGACTGACAATACTGGTGAGCTGGTTTTGCTTTCGAACATTTCTACTCTGAATTTTCTGGATTATAGATGTAATATTTTTCATTAATACATAACAAAATCGCTTCTTTTCTTAAATATTAGGGATAGAGTTAAAATTGTGTAAGTGCAAAGATGTGGTAATCAAACGCGTCCCGGAATTCGTAGTTCCAATAATTTCCAGGTAAAATAAGTTTTTAATTATGTTTTCGTGTGAAATGCTATAGCAATATATAAGTCGTGATATTATACAGAAAATTTGAGGAAATGTTAAGTTCAAATCTGTGTCTAAGCTTTAAAATGTTTAATATAGACACATGTAGTCTATTTGTACAATCTTACTGGGTTTTTTTAATTTTTTAATTTTTAGATTTATCTGTACACTAGAAATCAAACGGAATTAAATATAACTCAAATTTCCTAGTAACAAGAATTCATGAAACTTACACACCACTATTCATTGTCAGAAATTTGAGGCAGTAAACGCTATATTTCAGATGACGTGGGAGTGACGCCGACAGTAACCAGCACGAAGTCAGGCACAACTCTAACAACGGGAGCCATTACTAAAGGTTACAAATTCTAACGATTAATCCCATTTATATAAGCTTAACTAAATTGTTGGATAAGTCTTTTGGTCCAAAAGATATTACTTTCAGCAACTGCACTAAACGTCATTAACTTTGACATGTATCTCTTTCTATTATGGGGACTATGCTGTGCAGGATTTCACATAAACCACAGAAGTACAGAAATAAATTCATAAAAAAATATGCCATATCAAGTTTCCAATTTCAGGCCTGCATTAAACTTGCTTTCTGATACCACTTGTGAATGTACAAATGCAATACATGATGTAGAGTAGCGATAGAAATAGTGTCCGCAGACTGAGAATTATCTCATTTGATTTTTACTTATACTATAAACTTATTGTAGACTCACGTGAAGGATAATTGTTCGCCTTTGTCCGCATGCAAGCATTCTTTACCTACAGCTACTCAAATGGTCGTTACCACGAATAAGTATAGAATTTCTCATCCTCCGTCTTTTGACTGTCTTATGCACCTCTTGTTTGAATTTCAATAAACATGGTCTGCCTGGCACTAAAACTGGAATGAATATATGTTGCAATACTGTCGCTTGAATTTAACGTGCTGGGTTTCCCAACTCAAGTGTGTTTTAAACGAAATTGCACCAAATTACTTTGTCTAAATCAGTGATGATACAGTCTCATCAGAGCTTTCTGGTTTAAATCTACATTAAATGTCCTTTTCTGTTTAGTTTCTAGAACATACAGTACGACTGAAACCATGCCCCAGCAACCAACCCCATTACCTTCGAGTGGTCAGTATTCATGAGAACACTTCATTGTCATAATTTGCTTTGTTATTGCAGTATAAGCGTCTATCATATTAGTCATCATTGGAAAGGAGGAATGTACTGTACTCAAATTTGTCTTATTTCAAAACATAGTAATTTTTACACATTTATTAACTTTATTAATATAATCATGCTTGTGGTTTTAATTTCAAAAACTTACGAGGTTCATTGAAGAAATGCGTTTTGTCATAGATTAGTTAATGTCATATTATAAACAATTTAGTAAATTAACTCATTTTAACAATTGTAGCCCGCGTGGCGCAGTGGTTAGAGCGTTCGCTATAGAGTCGCGGAGTAAGGAGTTGATTCTTACGTCGCGGGTTCGAATCCCACTGTGGGACGTGGAGACCGGTCTTTCGGATGAGACCGATAAACCGAGGTCCCGTGTCGCAGTAGGTGCTGGTACGAAAAAGATCCCCACTGTTCAATGGTCCTGAGGTGCCGAGTATAGGTCAAAATTTGCAGCTCTCCACCGGCAAGTGGTGGCGTCTCCATATGAGGGAAAAATTCTCGAGAGGGACGTTAAACAATAAACAAACAAACATTTCAACAATTAATCCGAATAATCTGAGTAAAAATATTTATTTATGTAATACATATTGTTAGATGTGATTAAGTTCCAATTATATATCCAGCCCCCTTTACTGGATAAAATAGCACAGAACAGTAATTGTGTGAATAGTCATTTATTGAAAAAGACAACGAGTATTTACTGTACAATAAATGGGAAGTTTACAAAAACACTTTCTTATACAAATTATCTTTTACATACTATAGTAAAATGTATAATGATCTCCCCTGCTACGTATCAAAATAATGTAAGAAATAACAGAACAAAATGTAAAGCATATACAAGCAAAAAGTTGTTGTTAAAAAATAAAGCAGATGTCCACATCATGATATTTTCAAAATGATTTTAAACTTCGAAAAAAGTGTCAGAGAGCACGTCAAAATTTAGTAATTCACAAACAATATATTGTATAATAATTATAGTCAAAACTCCAGCTCTCTTTTAAAAAATCATTCATATCTCGGTAAAAAAAAAAATATAAAGCACTGACGAATTAACTAGGCCTAATGCTACTTGAACAATTGTTAGCAAAGAAAGTGTCACGTGGTATGATTTTAGCGCCGTAGTTACAAAACGTTGATTCTCAAAGAAAGTAACATAAGTTCCATACGATCAAATATTAATGCACAAATAGACAAAATAAATGGTACACATATGATGGTATGTTGATCTTAACTTTAAAAAATATGACGAATATATGACATTTTCTGCGAATTTTTAATGACCCTTATATTATTAAACTAAGATTGTGAAGACTTCACCATTCTAATATGATTCTCAGGGCAGCAGATGTCTGTAACTATAGAATTAGCAACATATAGCTGGTCTGATGAGTTACTCCTTAACATTTCAACATATTATCAAGAACTGACGAGAATTGTGACAGAAAGTGTGAGTATGAACTGGCATATTTTAGCATTTATCTATTAAGTGTCTTTCAGCTGTACATTGTTTATTAATGCCTTTCAGTTTCGAGAACAATTCAGCGGAATGCAAGCATTTTTGGGAGTGGAGGTTAAATCATTCAGGTAATTGTTTTTTACCTTTTTGGAAGTCGAGGATAAATCATTCAGGTATTTCTTATCTACCTTTTGGGAGTAGGGTTAAATCATGCAGGTATTTGTTCTAATACCTTTTTGGGAATTGAGGTTAAATCATTCTTATGTATCATTTTTGGAAGTGGGAGTTGAATCAGGTAATTGTTATTTACCTTTTTATAACAGGATTGAGTGTAACGGCAGTTCGATATTGTCAGTTGCATTGCTTTTTATGTTTTTTCTGTTCTTTTAATCCGTAGTTAAGCTGTAAGTCAGGGACTTTATTACCATGAGTCTCAAGAACATCATGACCAAGGGAGATGATTTTTATGTAAAACCTACAATCATATCTTGTAAAACAATCTCAATTCATATAAAATGGATTCATGTATTATTTTTTTCGTAAAAATGGAATATTCCATACAAAATTTTAGGTTTAAAACAAAACGCCCATAGATCGTAGCGGTCACTTTTATCATGCGAGGTTTTTTTTTCTAAGTCACATGGTGGTTTTTTCCCTCCAAATGGCAAATATTAAGATAAATGTGAATTAACATTTTCTTAAGATATATTTGTAATTATTTTATAATTTGTCACTTTCTTTGTGGCGAGATATTTTACTTATTTCTTTATAATACAAAGGTGGCACTGTGGTTAGAGCGTTTGCCCTTGAGTCGCGGAGTAAGGAGTTGATCCTTACATAGCGGGTTCGAATCCCACTGCGAGACGTATAAACCGAGGTCCCATGTCGCAGTAGGTGCTGGCATGAAAAAGATTCCTCACTGCTCAAAGGCCGTAAGTGTCGAGTACAGGTCTAAATTTGTAGCCATCCAACGGCAAGTGGTGGCCTCTCAATATGAGTAAAAAATTCTCGAATGTATGTTAAACAAACAAACAATACAATACAATGTAAGAATCCCACCTTTTTTGATGACTACATTCTGCAGTGCAAAATGATGATTGAATATGATTCTGAATATTTGTACATGTATCAATCTTTTATTGAGAAAGAGATCTTTTATAATTTTTTTATGCTCTATATACTTTGTAAAAAAAAAAAAGGACCCCATTTAGAACTTTTTACTTCCATTGGGAATCATAATTTAAAATATTGTACCAAATTATATAAGCATGTGTATACTTAAATAATTTGACTATGCTAAATCCTGTAGTCATTGACGATTCTTTTTTTTTTTTTTTTTTAAATATGTAAGTGTAGTTCAAATTAAAAAAAAATATTGTGCCCCTTACCTGACTCAAGGACCATAATGTGAATAAACTAACTTAAATCTACACTAAATGGGAATAGTTGCATAAAAATTGATAGTTCCTGAATAGAGGTTTTTAAGTCTACTCACATTTGTATGTAGCCTAAATGATAGACTCCTTTCGTGACCTCTTTCTTGTTCCTGAACCGTGGTTTGAACCTTAATTTGCAGTATACGAAGATGGTTGCATACTTTTGACAAGCTTTAAACTATTTCTTAATTATCTCCTCTTAAAAGGGGCGTAATAGTACATTTTGATTAAATTTTTCAAAAGTTGAAACGTTTACGCACGGCAGACTTAACGGATAGCAACTGGTCATATGAGTGACTCAGGTGACGTTAAAAGCTTCTTCTTTAGAGGAACTTGGATTTAATTCTACAAGTGGTAATCCAACTTATACACATAGTTCCCTTTCTAAGGAAGAAATTCTTCAAAATCATGTCAGTTTTGAACATTTTTAATATTCCAAACAACCAAAATGAATTTGAATTACCATATTTATATTGGATTCCGATATTCATAAAAATCCTTACAAACAAAGATACATAGCGGTTTCCAGTAAATGTTCAACCAAGCCTCTTTCTTTACTCCTCACTAAGATTTTAAAAGTGGTGAAGGAGAAACTTCAAGAGTACTGTGCAACAATATATTCGAGAAGTGGTGTAAATCAGATGTGGATACTAAAAAATTCCAAGGAACTTTTGGAAAATTTGAAATCACAAGATTTTACCAAAATCAACAGCTTAAAAACTTACGACTTTTCAACTTTATACACAACCATTCCCCACGATAAATTAAAGTCCAGGCTTTTTGATATCATTGACAGCTGCTTTTTCAATAAAAATGGAACTCGTAAATATACTTACCTTGTCATTGGTCATTTGCAAAATTATTTTGTTAAAAAACATTCTGATTGTACACACAAGTACTCTGAAGTTGACATTAAAAAGATGCTTGAGTTTCTGATTGACAATATCTATGTGGTTTTTGGAGACCAGGTCTTCCAACAATCTATTGGAATTCCCATGGGTACCAATTGCGCCCCGTTATTAGTAGACCTTTTTTGTATTCATATGAAGTAGAATTTGTCCAAAATCTTGTACGTGAAAAGAAGAAAACACTTGCTGTGGCCTTCAACTCGACATTTAGATATATCGACGACGTATTGTCAATTAACAATGGCAATTTCCATTCTTATGGCGATACGATATATCATGGTGAGCTTGAGATAAAAGACACCACAGAGTCTGACACATCTGTTTCATATTTGGATATTTTACTTGAAAAAGACGTTAATGGTAATCTAACAACCAAGCTTTATGATAAACGTGATGACTTTAACTTTTCAATCGTCAACTTCCCTTACTTATGCAGCAATATACCTTCATCACCTGCATACGGGGTATATATCTCTCAGTTGATTCGATACGCAAGAGCATGTTCTACGTATGTACACTTTCTAAAACGAGGTAAATTATTGACAAACAAGTTGATGAAACAAGAATATCAGCTGTCTCGTTTAAAGTCATCATTTCGTAAGTTCTATGGTCGATATAATAACCTTGTCAGCAAATACAATTTATCATTGAGTCAAATGCTGACTGACGTTTTTCTTACTAATTGTTAGGCCATTATTTACACACTGAATTGTCGACGGATTTTTCCGTTATTTCCCGATCATGACAAGGAGCACACGGCGGGTGTGACCAGTCGGCAGGGGATGCTCACTCCTCCATGGCACCTGATCCCACCTCTGATGTTTGGAGGTCCGTGTTTGCTCTGCTCCTATTTTGTATTGTTTAATGGACTTTTGAGCTTGAATACTGTTCGTTATCTCCATATATTTCATTGATTTGTCTAATTTTCAACGTTATTGTGTTTTTGAAAACGAAACATGAATTTCAAATACCTACATCATCCATGTTTTTTTTTTTTTTTTCAACAGATCTGGTGGAGTGTTTGTTGATTTAAATCTCTCATATGATGGTACACGTACTGATGCTGCTAGTCTGGTTAACACTATTTTCCTGTTGCTCAATCACGGTTACATACATCAGTTACAAGTTACCGACTATCTGCGGTATGATTATGGTTAGTTCACCTCTGTTTTACTTCTCATATATAAACATACATATATGTATGAAGCACGTCGTTATTCAACATCTACTCAGATGTATTATACCGTATTTCATGCTTTTTATACGAGTGTAGATCAAAAAGAACGAAGCCATGTAAATTCCTCATCACTTCAGTTCTGTATCAGTTAAAGAACTTGAATTGACTATCAAACTCAAAAATAATTTACAGAGATTATTTTGTGTAAGTGTTTAATAAACTAGATATTTGTTGAAGTTGCTAGCTAGTGGTAAATTTTCTGAGATGGATAAGTTAGAACATCGAGCAGTGATGAAATGTCTTTCACAAAAAAAGAACGAATCCACATTTAGTGATGAGTATCCTGCATGTTCCACTGTACAGAAATGGACTTCTTTTAAGTTTAAACGTGTTAGAACCAGCATTGACGATGATCCAATGTCCACTCGCCCTAGAGATGCCACATCTGAAACTCATGGTGAGGCTGTCCAACGGATGGTGAGGAATGGTAGAAGAGTGATCATTCAGTACATTGCAGATACCCTTAAGATTAGTTATGGGTCAGTTCAGTCAGTATTGTCTAATATACTTCATATGAATAAGCTTCTGCAAAGTGGGTTCTCGGGATACTAACGCCCGATCGGGAGCTGGTTAGACTGAAACTTTGCAGATAACCTTTAACCCGCTATCAGCGAAATCCTGAAAAAAATATTTAAGTGGTAAGTAAATTGTGACCCAGGATGAGACTGGTTCGCCATTTTGACCCAGAGTCAAAGCCTCAAAGATTGATTCACCCTTCACAAAAAGTTCGAGCAATTGGCATCAGTAGGCAAGATCATGGCCTTAATATTCTGGGATCGCAATGTTGTAATAATGAATATTTACAGCAGGGCACACCATCAGTAGGCAAATCTACAAGTATGTTTCAGAATTACAAAAATTGAAGGACGCTATCAAGGAAAAACAGAGGAGAAAATTATGGGCTGGTGGTCTGCTGCTTTAGGACAATGCACCTTTACAGACATGGTAAATAATTGTAGCTGCAGTCGGAGGTGATTGTGGCTTTGAAATCCTCCCACACCCTACACTACTGTAATGATTTTCCCCTTAGATTCCAAAAAATCCCCTGACGTTCCCCTGTCTGTCCCTGACATTTTCCTGTCTCCCCCTGACTTTCTCCTATGATCCCCTGTCGTTGTCCCTGACTACCCTGTCTACTCCCTGACGTCCCCTGACTTTGCCCCTGTTACCACTGTCTAACCCCTGATGTCCCCTGACATTCCCTGACGTCCCTGTCAACTCCCTGATGTCCCCTGACTAAGTCCCTGACCACCCTGTCAACCCCCTGTCGTCCCCTGACATTCATTTTGACCAGGAAAAGGGTTAAAATTTGTTTTTGTTGCTATTTACTTGTGAGAAAATCGATACCTTATTCTCAGCACTTTTCAAGTTTTGTGAAAATGTAGATTTAATCATTAGTTTTTCCGTTTGAAATATCTTTATTAACTTCTTTCAAAATATTATTTTATTGATTGTTTGGTATCTTTTCAGATAAATCTTAATAAAAATAAATACCCGTTACTTTAAAAAAAGTATTAATTTATTGCGTGTATAATATATTTTTATTTATTTATTAATTTATTTATTTATTCATTCATTCATTTAATTATTTGTTTGTTTGTTTGTTTGTTTGTTGATTTTATTTATTCATATATCTCTTTATTTATCAATTTGTCTCCTTATTTATCTATTCATTTTTTCCATTTATGAATTTATTTTGTTTACTCAATCTATCTATTTAATTTATTTTTACTTATTTGTTTTATTTAATTGTCAATAAACAAATTTATTTATTTAAAATTTTTATTTATTAATTTAATTTTATTCATTTCATTTATTTTAATTATTGATTAATTAAATTTAATTCATTTTGTGTAGTTCTTCATATACAGTGTCCGGTAAAACAAATTATGCTTCAAACTATTTTTTAAGCATATTCAAATTATTTTTAATTCTTTTAATTTCATGATGGGTATCAAAATCATCGTCTCATTACGCACAATCTGAATCTGGAATTTGTTTTATTGTTCCCTTTTACTTTGGTAAATAAAAATTTCCTCAAAAACTTGTCACGGTTGTGAAAGAAATAACACCTGGATACGGTCGTGCTGCCACAGAATAAACACGTGTATAGTGGTCAGTCAAAAGAACAATAGGTGTCTGGTTCAGTGTACCCAGAGTCGCTGGTCAACTATCAACAGCTCAGAATTACCTTCACAACCGTACAGTTTTTGAGGAACATTTCTATTTTTTGTAACAAAGTAAAAGAAGCAATAAAACAAATTCCGAATTCAGATTGTGTATAATAAGACGATTATTTTGATACCCATCATTAAATTAAAAGAATTAAAAGACATGAAAATATGCTTTAAAATAGTTTGAAGCATCGTTTGTTTTTCCATAAGACTGTTCATGCGGAACTACACAAATAAATAGGATCTTAAAAAAAAATTAATGATTAAAATTAAATGAATTAACAAAATAAATAAAGAAAAAATAACATTAATTAATTAATAATTGAATAAAAGAAATATATAAAACAGAAATAGATTAAATAAATAAATAAACAGATAGATAAAAAAAAAATAAATAGATAAATATACAAATAAATAAGTAAATAAATAAATAAAAATATAGATTTAATTTGTCACGAATTATTTGTTTGAAGTATCTTTAGTAAATTTATTAATTTAATTTAATTTATTCATGTATCTTTTTTATTTATAATATTTATTCAATTTTTCTATTTAATCTATTTTTACGTATTTGCTTTATTTAATTGTCAATAAATTATTTATTTAGAATTTTTTATATATTTTATTTTATTTATTTCATTTATTCTAATTTATTGCTTAATTTCATTTTATTCAATTTGTGTATTTATTCATAAACAGTCTCCGGGTAAAACAAAGTATGCTTCAAACTAATTTTTAAGCATATTCAAATTACTTTTAATTCTTTTAATTTCATGATGGGTATCAAAATCATCGTCTCATTACGCACAATCTGAATCTGGAATTTGTTTTATTGTTCCCTTTTACTTTGGTAAAATAAAAATTTCCTCAAAAACTTGTCACGGTTGTGAAAGAAATAACACCTGCAGAGTGGATACGGTCGTGCTGCCACAGAATAAACACGTGTATAGTGGTCAGTCAAAAGAACAATAGGTGTCTGGTTCGGTGTACCCAGAGTCGCTGGTCAACTATCAACAGCTCAGAATTACCTTCACAACCGTACAGTTTTTGAGGAACATTTCTATTTTTTGTAACAAAGTAAAAGAAGCAATAAAACAAATTCCGAATTCAGATTGTGTATAATAAGACGATTATTTTGATACCCATCATTAAATTAAAAGAATTAAAAGACATGAAAATATGCTTTAAAATAGTTTGAAGCATTGTTTGTTTTTCCATAAGACTGTTTATGCGGAACTACACAAATAAATAGGATCTTAAAAAAAAAAAAATAATGATTAAAATTAAATGAATTAACAAAATAAATAAAAATAATAATAACATTAATTAAGTTATAATTGAATAAAACAAACATTTAAAAAAGAAATAAATTAAATAAATAAATAAACAGATAGATAAAAAAATAAATAAATAGATAAATAAACAAATAAATAAAAAATAGATTTAATTTGTCTCTAATTATTATTATTATTTTTTTTTTTTTTTGAAGTATCTTTAGTAAATTTATTAATTTAATTTATTCATGTTTCTTTTCTATCTATATCTTTGTCTGTTTATTTATCTATTTTTTTTTTCATTTATTTATTCAATTTTTCTATTTAATCTATTTTTAAGTATTTGTTTTATTTAATTGTCAATAAATAAATTTATTTATTTAGAATTTTTTTTGTATATTTTATTTCATTTATTTCATTTATTCTAATTGATTGCTTAATTTCATTTTATTCAATTTGTGTATTTATTCATAAACAGTCTCCGGGTAAAACAAAGTATGCTTCAAACTATTTTTTAAGCATATTCAAATTACTTTTAATTCTTTTAATTTCATGATGGGTATCAAAATCGTCGTCTCATTACGCACAATCTGAATCTGGAATTTGTTTTATTGTTCCCTTTTACTTTGGTAAATAAAAATTTCCTCAGAAACTTGTCACGGTTGTGAAAGAAATAACACCTGCAGAGTGGATACGGTCGTGCTGCCACAGAATAAACAGTGTATAGTGGTCAGTCAAAAGAACAATAGGTGTCTGGTTCGGTGTACCCAGAGTCACTGGTCAACTATCAACAGCTCAGAATTACCTTCACAACCGTACAGTTTTTGAGGAACATTTCTATTTTTGTAACAAAGTAAAAGAAGCAATAAAACAAATTCCGAATTCAGATTGTGTGTAATAAGACGATTATTTTGATATCCATCATGAAATTAAAAGAATTAAAAGAAACGTAAATATGCTTAAAAAATACTTTAAAGCATATTTTGTTTTACCTTGCGATTGTTTATGCGGAACTCACAAATAAGTTGAATAATATAAATTGATTAATCAATTAAGATTAAAAACTAAATAAAGATATAACATTAATCAATTAATTAATAATTCAATAAAACAAATATACATGAAAAAGAAATATAGGAATAGATTAAATTAATAAATTAGTCAATAAATAAATAATATAAATAAATAAATACATGTGGAAATATAGATTAACAAATAAATAAATATAGATATATTACATGCCATTCATGACAAGACGCAATAAATTGATAATTCATTCTTTTCAAAGTAACTGTCATTTATTCTTCTTAAAATTTATCTAAAAAGCTACATGTACTAAACTAAAACAACCAAATACAATCATATTAAGAAATAAATTACTAAAGATATTCAAACAAATAACAATTGACTAAATATATATTTTCATAAAACTTAAGAATTGCCAAGAGTAACGTATTTCTCACAAGTAAATCGCAACAAAAACATGTTTTAACCCCTATTCTGAGTCAAAATGAATATCAGGGGACGACAGGGGGTTGGCAGGGTGGTCAGGTACTTAGTCAGGGGACATCAGGGAGTTGACAGGGACGTCAGGGAATGTCAGGGGACATCAGGGGTTAGACAGTGGTAACAGGGACAAAGTCAGGGGACGTCAGGGAGTAGACAGGGTAGTCAGGGACAACGACAGGGGATCATAGGAGAAAGTCAGGGGGAGACAGGAAAATGTCAGGGACAGACAGGGGAACGTCAGGGGATTTTTTGGAATCTAAGGGGAAAATCATTACAGTAGTGCTACTTGTCACACCTTTCACAATAATACTTTTATCTCTTCCCAAAACTGAATTCTGAACTTCGTGGAAGAAAAATTGCCAGCGACGATGAAGTCATAGATGCTATAAAGATCTTTTAGGATGAGCAGGAAGAAAAGTTACTCCGAGATTGTATCAAGGAGCTGAAATACCGCAGAAACAAAAGTATTGAAGTATAGGGAGGCTATGGAGATTATATTGAAAAGTACACACAAAAAAAACTTTCCAGTATTAGGCTATGAACTTTTTGATTTACCGTCGTACATGTAAGCTTACAAAGATTTTCACATTTTCTACTGTTCTCCAAAGCAACTTGGCCAGTTTCAACTTAACTTGGCACAGGGTAAATGATAGACCTCCATTCAAAGGAAGATTATCTTAAACAGTAAAAACTGAATGGGGTGGGGTCTTTTAAAGTTTTTGTTCTTAAAGTTAATTTATTTTCTTGATAAATGGAAGCAATATGTTTGATGTATAATTTTTTACTCTAATATACATTAAAAATGTCATAATGCAAATAAGTAAGACCAAACAAAATAAATGTTGTATTTGTTGTTATAAAACAGTGGCTCGATGATTCCAATAATTGAAACTACCAGTAAATAAAAAAACTACTTATCACTGGCCTTACTTATGGACATTGCAGGCAGCCATAAGCTCATACTCCTGTAGCTGTCCAGTGTGTTAACAATTGAGAGTGCTCGACATTGTAGAAATGTTTGTAGTAAGCCTTAAACTGATCATTTACTCAGTCATACATGTATTTGCTTAATCATGGCCGAAATCTCAGTAATGGAAGTAAGGACAATGGTAAAGGATGATGTGCCATACGGCCCACCGGTAAATTGACAAAAAATAAAATATCTAAATTTTACTCTAATTTGTGCATCCACTTAATCACTGATATGTGTACCGTTATGGAATACGACTTTTACCGAAAAATAGAAACGTAATTTGGAAGATATTTATCTTTTTTTTAAGTAGGGGTACCATGGTTACATCCAATTCCCATTGAATTTTTGCCCCGCCCCACTCTTTGAAGCCCTGAAAATATACGAGCGCAAGTAGGTACATTTTTCTCCTTTGGATGGTCACTGTATTTTATTGAAATCTACCTTTACATTATAATCATTTGTATGCTTATACGAGGGGGTATCAAAAAGTTCGTGGACTAGCGCCATAAAATTAAAACCGCTTTAGGTACATTAATGAATTTTTAAAATATTTAGTTAGCATCATCTTTTCTATCTAAAGAATAAACCATAAATCATAAATTTTATTTTTTAATAAATTAGTAATGTTTTTGTAAGCAATGGTATGTCCAGGCGGCGCAACCTCGAATATGACGTTTTTTGACCTGAGTATTACTGAGAAAGACTATTTTGTTATGAACATTAATTTTGACATCCAAAAATCCCGTTAATTCATAATCAATGGGACACTATTGTTCCGTAAAATATGCATTTTTTACCTCATTCTGTAAGTTCTATGAAATTTTATCGTAAATTTTGTTTGGAGTGTCCAAACAATTAAGGGCTTGAAAATGACGTCAAAAAGGGAGAGGGGTTTCTTTTTCCAACATTCTACAAAGTTTTGTCCCTAAAAAAAACTGGTATAGGCCTATGAAATCTTTAAACTGGCTACAGAGAAATAAAATGCATCTAGAGTACTTGTCTTTTTAATGCCAAAATGGATTCAGCGAGAAAAGGGATGCACAGTTAATGTCGATTTGTAGTCAATGTGTGAAAAGTCAATCACGTCAAAAAATGAAGTTGATCATGTGTGATAGATTATGAACTTCAAAAAGCAAAATATGCTGGCATAATCAAGCGAGGATCTCTCCTTATGTATAAATCTATTTGCAATATTATATGCGGGACGGGTTTAAGTCCTTGCTCAACTCCAGGGAATCTCATCAAGGTAAGAGTATGAGGTAGAAGAATCGGAAATTGAATAACAACGACGTCCGACGGACGTCATGAAACTAAACGGAGACAGCGCCGGGTGATCATATAATGTCGTTTTCATTTTATAATAATTTGGCAAATAATGAACGTATCAAGCTAAAATTTTCAAAATTTCTTTATTTTTTGTTGTTTTATGTTCCTAATAAATTTTGAAAGCACAGACTACATAGTACTAATTTTATCGACTCAGTTCACGAACTTTTTGATAACCCCTCGTATGTGAAAGGAGAAAAATGTACTTAACTGCGCTCAAATATTGTGTTTAAAACATTGTAAAATCTGGCTGGTCTTCCCCATTACTAACAGATCGACGAAACATTTTTTCTGACGTAATAATAAATTCATATGCTTATCGAGGCACCGGCGGGACTTTCTAAGCGACAATCAGCTAAATGAGTTGCATTACGAGTGAGTACTAGAAAAATTCTAAGGAAATCCAATGCTTGGAAAAAAGGCATAATTTTTTTTCTTGTTTTCCGATAAACATTTTTTTTTTATTCATTTGAGTCACAGATTAGACACGAATGTACAATTTCCCTGCTCATAATTACAAACAATTTTTTATTAATATACGTTGTATAATTTCATTATTTTGTAAAGCGTCGTTGGGCAATTGGCTACACGTATTCCCGAAAATCAGTGATTACAAGTTTTATTGTGAATTTCTCGACGCAAAACGGTAAACACTGAGGTTCCATATGTATTATAATGTATAAAAAGCCTTTGCTGACCATTAAAAGTTGGAAATGTAGTAGAGATAATGTGTAAATTGACCACGTGTCTGTGATAAATGTAAACATGTAGTAAACCAGCATGTTTTGTCGTTCAGTCATCGGATTGGACAATTGTTCTCTGTAAGCGACTATGTGCGAAATAATAACAATAGCCTTATAAGGTAGATTCCTTGGACATGCATACTCCTATATTGTATTAAAACTGTATTGTACTATTCTCTTTTCATAAAAGATCCTATTGTGACAAATCAAGCCGAATCTTGCATATACATAATGCAGTACTCGGTAATCCTCATAATTAAAATGTGTTGGAACTATTGAAATTATTCAAAAGACGTCGTATTTATTCATCTTTGTTTGAAAACCATCAAAATCGTTGTAGAATAAATATAATTCGTCGTAGAAAAAGGGGCCGCAGAAAGTAGTTTTGGCATCATCCTTTAAAAGACTGCTCAAATTGATAAAAGCCCTTCCTTGAAAAGAACATTTTACATTAAAGTTTACTATTTGTATTTATTACCTCAGTTGTCAGGGATGGCACTTGTCCTGCGGTAACAAGAGTAGCTTCATGTTCAGAACAATGTGCAGGTGATAGTAGGTGCCCCGATGTGCAGAAGTGCTGCTCTAATGGGTGTGGTCAAACTTGTACAGGTGAGTGAATTTCCGTTATATCAAATTACCGTCGGTACTTCAACATTAGTTTTAGATTTAAATGTTTTAGTTGCATGAATGACAAATAAATATGAACAAATTCAGGATATATAATTATATATGATAAATTTAACATTTTTATTTCTTTCAAGAATTTTGACAGACGAAGATTGAAAATTAAAAAAAAACATTTAGGCTTTGCTTAAATTTATGTTTAAGTTAATCTTTCTTTCATAAAATAGATGTATGGATGCCTGTTTCTACATCAACAACTACTGAAAAGCCATTGGTACAAATTTCAACAACAACATTGCCAGCAAATGGTTCGTTTGTTCTGTTGCCAACTTATTTATAAATCTTGTTCAACTGCGTAATGTACATGAAATGTTTATGTGGTATATAGTATTATGGTTTCCCCCAATTATGAGGAGACATACTGCTTTGATTATCTGTCTGCCTATTACAAAATTGTGGGCTATAACTCACAAGCAATTGATTAAAATTTATCTAAACTTTATTATGTTGTTGGCCATGACCTAAGGTGTGTCAGGTCTTGAACCAAAGCCTTATCTCAAAGGCAAAAGTCAATAATTATTTATAATTCATTGAAATATATTCAGTCTCTTCTGTGCCCTTATTTTATAAGTTTTTTCCCCCATTATTTTATTGAAATACAATTATGTCATACCACCAAGGACCAGGAGGCAGTAGGCGGCATCCAGTTCTACAGAAAATAACAAATAGCTTTCAGTTTAAACTGAATAAAATATCTTCTAAAAAGGAAATTCCCTTCGTTCTATGGACAAGAGTCTATCGACTATAGACATTTATTTGTCACTACATACCTAACATAGTAAAAACAATGGTATGGAACACTTTAAGATCTTGAATTTTTATTCACAAAGATAAAATCATGATTTAGGGAACTGGATCATACATAAATGCGTTAGTTTTATAATCTTATTAATTATACCCAATTCATAAAAAAGAGTAATAAGAATTTAAGGCATGCAGTTTTTAAAAGGTTAAGTGTAGTTTTCATATCTTAATTATTGTTGTCATTTCAACATTTCTACAATTATGGTTAAAGATACATCCTGTTAAGATTTGATAATCTCTTTCAAGGAATGGCTCATAATACTTGGGGTACAAAAATACTGTAGTTTCTTTAATGATGTCTAAACATGCACAACTAATTCAGCCTAATATTACAGTCAAAAGGAACCTTTCTATATGTATTATGAATAACCATTCTTAACATTCTAATCATTTTTTTTTTGCAGTGGGTATTCTGTCCGTTACTATGGAGCTCCAAGATCATGTGTGGGATCCGTCGTTGTTAGATACTCGATCCACCTACTATCAAGAGCTGGAGACCACCATCAGAACCAATGTCAGTATCTTGTACATTGTTACCTATACTGTCGGAAAATTGGGAAATGAAGTTTTATTTGACAAATTTGACCTTACTTTTTTAATTTAGGTTTTACAGCTGTTTAGTCAGACTAAAGGGATTGCTGACGTTCAAATTACATCTTTTCGGTACGTTCATGTGTTTTGTTTTGTTGTAAAACACATTTCTTGCGATTTTCATCAGCTTTCAGTAACAATCCGACAGATTACTATATACAACACTGCAGACAATTTTTTGCACCAAATACATTTAATGTTTTTTTTTTTGTCCATATATTCAAGAAAACCTTTTAATTCAATATCTTTAAGATCAAAACAAAACCGTGTTGATCTGGTCATCTTGTACAATGCGAACAGTGCTGTTCTCATGGATTTTATCACCAAAATGATAGAAGCAAGGGAAAAGCAAGCTGTCCATGACCTTAAAATTACAAGTTACATGACGTTTGATACTCGTAAGTTTACCATATTTCTTTCTGTATCTAACAATGTTATATGTCTGTTCTGATCTTCAAAGTTAACTAGAGCCAAGGCTCTGTTCTGATCTAAAAGTTAAGGACCCTCTCTACACTGCATCCTATTTTCAGGGCACTTTTGTGTAATTAGACTGACACACCATTTGACATATAAGTAGAGTAAATTGTAATCTGAACTGTATCACATACTTTAAAATATTTACATTTGCTATGTTTTTCTACTAAACCAACTGTGCAATTGATTTGAAGTTCATTTTTGTGTATACTCACGCGTAGAAATATACGCGGTGAAACTCGCGGTAAAGTGACGTCACAATGAGGCTACAGAGACGTTAATAAAAATGTAACGATATAGGGCAGCAAGAAATTCAAATATTGAGCATAATATTGTTGCTTTTGAACTTGTAAAATGTAAATATAAGGAATATTTTTCAGTTTAGTGTGAATTATTGGTGTGTAAATCACACAGACTTGCACGTAGGCATATTTTTCATGAAGCGCTAGCGCGCTTCATGAAATATGCCTACGTGACAAGTCTGTGTGATTTACACACCAATATCTCACACAAAACTAAAAACATTCCTTAAATTAATCCAAGTATTCTAAACATTATACATGTATTAGATCAAGATAGAGTATCTGAAAACTTCATTTGCATGTATTTTATCCATTTGAGTAAGTGAAGGCAATTTTTCTTTTCTATTACTTCATTGTCTTTGAAGATTTTTCCTGAATAAAAAAAAGGCGCGCTCTCTATATTAAAAATGAGTTAGTTAATTTCAAAATATCCTCTTTTATGCTATATAATTTTCTCAAAGTCCAAAAAACATTTTCATCAGTGTGTAGAGGGCCCTTAAAATTAACCGGAGCCATAGGCTGAAGTGACTCTTTAGATCAGCTGATTTCTGAGTTATACTAAAGGATATTTAGTAGGCAAATCGTTGATATGATTAGAATGTGTATGTTTATGGGTCTCTTGTTAACTCACTTGCTCAAGTGAGCTTTTCTGATCACCTGTTGTCCGTCGTCCGTCGTCCGTCCATCCCTTTGTCCGTCCGTCCGTTTGTAAACTTTTCACATTTCCATTTTCCTCTCGAGAACTACTGGGCCAATTTTAACTAAAGTTATTTCAAAGCATCCTTGGGTGAAGGGGAATATAAATTGTTAAAATGAAGGGCCAAACCCCCTTCCATGGGGAGATAATTAAGAAAAGAAAAAAATAGGATGGGGTCATTAAAAAAATCTTCTCAAGAACGTATGTGGAACCATCTTGGGGGTAGTGAAGGTTCCAAATTATTAAAATAATGGCCTCAGGGATAGGGTGGGGCCACAATAGGGAATCCAAGTTTTACATTGAAATATATAAGAAAAATATTTGACAATCTTCTTCTCAAGAATCACAGGGCCAGAAAAGCTGAAACTTATTTGAAAGCATCCTGGGGTAGTGTAGATTCTTAATTGTTCAAATCATGACCCCCGGGGTAGGGTGGGGCCACAAAAGGGAATCCAAGTTTTACATTGAAAAAAAAAACAGGAAAATTCTTTAAAAATCTTCTTCTCAAGAACCTCTGGGCCAGAAAAGCTGAAACTTATATGGAAGCTTCCTGGGGTAGTGTAGATTTTAAATTGTTCAAATCATGGCCCCCTTAGGTAGAGTGGATCCACAATGAGTATTACCAGGGGGAAATCTGGTGAAGAACAGTAGGGCCAAAGTTACTCAGGTGAGCGTTGTGGCCCATGGGCCTCATATTTTTATGAAGAGTGTCTGGTATTTCATTCTTTGTAAAGTGTCATGTACATATCATATTTTTGACTTCTTTTCTAGAGCCTCTCTCAATTACTGAAGGTTGAAAGACATTGTAGTTTTAACAGTCATCATCTTTAATTTAAATCTTGACATGGTGGTATATTCATGCCACACATAAGTTGACATAAACATCTGAAAAGTTGACATAATTATCTGACAAGTCGACATAATTATCTGAAGTATACTTGTCATGTTATGATGTCGACTTCTAGGATGTTATGTGGACTTGTCAGAAATTATGTTGAAAATTCAGATGTTACGTTGACTTGTCAGTTAATTATGTCAATTTATCGGATATTTATGTCAACTTATCAGATAATTATGACAACTTGCTAGAAAGATATATCGACTTGTCAGATGATTATGTTGACCTTTCGATTGATTATGTCAACTTGTCAGATCCTAATGTTAGAAAAGTACGTTGGTAACTGGATGGCATAAACTGGACGTGGTCTCGTTTCATGCTGAGTTTTTAAACACATGAATAAGTGACAAGTCAACAAAAAGATATGACAAATCGACGTAATTATCTGACAAGTCGACAAAACATCTGACAAGTAATGGCATAAGTTTTAATTTAGTTTAGGAGAATAATTAAAAGTATCATGCTAATAGAACTTAGAAATGAAATATGTGGTAATAAATTTTACTCAAGGAATGATTTTTATGCTCCCGCCATGAAATGACCGGGGCATATAATGTTACCCCTTTCCGTCCTCATTACGTCATTGTCATTCCGCCATAGTTCGTTTTCCGAACTTTTTTTTTTCTTCTCCTTCTAGATAATGATCTGATTTTTGGTATGTTTCTTGATATTGATGACTTGCAGATTTAGTTTCAGTTTTGAAATGATTGGCCCATTTTAGCTCTACTAGTCAGAGACCAGAAGAGCTAATGCAATAGTAAGGTGTCCGTCGTCTGTCCGTCTGCAAACAAGTTTTCAAAACGCTACTCCTCCTACAGTTTAAGTCTGATGAACGGTGTTGCCATGGTTACTAAAAATAGAGATTTCTGGGATGTACTTTCAAAACGCTACGCCTCCTACATTTTTGGTCTGATTTCAGTATAACTTAGCACACAAGTAGACTACACTAAGATACATAATTCTGTATGTCGGTTTTTGATTTCTGTGAACGTTGTTGCCATGGTTACTAAAAATAGAAATTTCTGTGAAAAACTTTCAAAACGCTACTCCTCCTACAGTTTTGATCTGATTTCAATATTACTTGGCACACAAGTAGATAAGAATATGATGCATAATTCTATGTATCGATTTTGGATTTCGATGAACGATGTAGCCATGGTTACTAAAAATAGAAATTTCTGTGAAACACTTTCAAAACCCTACTCCTCCTACAGTTTTGATCTGATTTCAGTATGTCTTGGCACACAAGTAGACTACACTAAGATACATAATTCTGTATATCGGTCTTTAATTTCAATGAACGATGTTGCCATTGTTACTAAAAACAGAAATTTAATTGATTTACTTGAATACTTTCAGAAAAAAAAATTATTGAAATACTTTCAGAATGCTCCTCTTCCTACAGTTTTGATCTGATTTCAGTATAACTTGGCATACAAGTAGACTACACAAGGATTCAAATTTGTGCTATTGTTTTTTTGATTTTGTTGAATGATGTCGCCAAGGTTACTAAAATCAAAATTTCTGTAAAATTCTTTTAAAAGGCTACTCCTCCTACAGTTTTAGTCTGATTGCAATAAATCTTGCCACAAAAAGAGAATACGACATGAATCATTATTCTATGTATTGCTGTTGCAAAGTTTCAAGCCCAAGTGCTACTTTTATCTTCCATTGTTTTAAGTACAAACAAGTAGAGCTACAGTCTCGTCAAAGACTTCTGGTTGTGAAAGTTACGGCCTTTAGACTTTGAAAATTTCTGATAATCCACCGCTTTCTGGACTTATTTTACAATGCGCTGATTTTTAGCTCTACTGGTCAGAGACCAGAAGAGCTTATGCAATAGTAAGATGTCCGTAGTCCCTCCGTCTGTCTGTGTGTCTGTAAACAATTTTTCAAAATGCTACTCTTCCTACAGTTTTGGTCTGATTTCAATATAACTTGGCACACAAATAGACTACACTTAGATAAATAATTCCGTGTATCGGTTTTTGATTTCAATGAACAGTGTTGCCATGGTTTCTAAAATTAGAAATTTCTGTGAAAATACATTCAAAACGCTACTCCTCCTACAGTTTAGATCTGATTTCAATATAACTTGGCACACAAGTAGACTACACTAACATACATAATTCTGTATGTCGGTTTTTGATTTCGATAAACGATGTTGCCATGGTTACTAAAAATTAAAATTTCTGTGAAATACTTTCAAAATGCTACCCCCACCCCCCACCCCCCTACAGTTTTGGTCTGATTTCAATATAACTTGGCACACAAGTAGACTATACTAAGATACATAATTCTGTTCATCGTTTTTGATTTCGACAAACGTTGTTGCCATGGTTACTAAAAATAGAAATTTCTGTGAAATACTTTCAAAACGCTACTCCTCCTACAGTTTTGGTCTGATTTCAATTTAATTTCGCACACAAGTAGATTACACTGAGATACATGATTCTATATATTCATTTTTGATTTCGATGAAGTGGTGCCATGGTTACAAAAAAATTGAAATTTGTTTGATATACTTTCAAAACATTACTTCGCCTACAGTTTGGTCTGATTTTAATATAACGTGGCATACAAGTAGACTACACTGAGATACATAATTGTCTTTATTGTTGTTTGATTTTGATGAATGATGTTGCCATTGTAACTAAAATTGGAATTTCTCTAAAATTCTTTTAAAAGGCTAGTCCTTCTACAGTTTTAGTCTGATTGCAATTCATCTTATCACAAATGGAGAGTAAAACAAGGATTATTATTTATTTATTGCTGTTGCAAAGTTTCAAGTCCAAGTGCTACTTTTCTCTTCCTTTGTTATAAGTACAAACCAGTAGAGCTACAGTCTCGACAGAGACTTCTGGTTGGTATGTCTCTTGATATTGATGACAAACAGATCAAGTATGAGTTTTGTGATGATTGGCCCATTTTTACGAAAGTTACGACCCTTATACTTTGAAAACTTTAAGTAACTCTTTTCCATATTTTGTTCACTGTGCTTGTAGGTTTGTCTCATTATACTGTTGTGACTTATTGATCAAATATGACTCTCATATTGACTGACCCATTTTTCAAAACTTATGGCCTTTAGACTTTAAAAATTTTGAATCATTCACTTTTTAAAACCTTTTTTATTACCGTGTTTGCTTGAACTTGATCAACATTTCATACAGTTTAAGTTTGTTGTGGTATAGACAACTGATTCCAGAAAAAAAGCAGTAAAATATTTTATTTTTGTGCCATGTCCATCCAACTGTTACTTTCACACTCTTGAACTTTCATATATTTAAAACTTGCATGTCAGCGGGGGCATTTGTTTCACCCTGACAGTATAGTTTTTGTTTTGGCTGAGATGAGGAAGAATAAATGGTATAAAGCTGCCTTTGTCTTAAAAGTATGCGGAAAATATTAGATACTCAGGTTAGCGTCAAGGCCCAAGAGCTCTTTGTAATGATATCACAATAAACCAACTTTTTAGCTCGACTTACAAATTGACTATGAATTTCAGTTCTGAACATACATTTGTATTTTACTGATCGAATATCATTATAGAAATCAGGGTAAATATTATCAGAACGCAATGTGATTGGTTAATGATTGCTGATCATACTAAAAATAGACATAATAATATCCAAAATGAAAAGGGGGATTTGTCCAGCATATGCTGATCATTATTGAGATACCTTTTTTTATTGGTCCAGAACTGAAAGAAGGTACATGTCCCCAAGCCTCGATCAGTGGGTCCTGCTTTGAGGATTGTATGGGAGATGGAACTTGCCCCGGGATGGAGAAATGTTGTTCCACAGGTTGTGGAAGACTCTGCACGCCAGCTATACAAATTCGCTGATGTAACTGGTACGTTTAACCATCATTGTTTTTTCTTGCATTCTGTTGGTCATTAAAGAGTATTGACCCTTGCATTGCTGTTTCGTTTACAATTTTGAATTCTTTTTAGGTCCCGCCATGAATATGGCCAGGGCATATAGTGTTTGTCATGTCCGTCTTCCCGTCCTTTCGTCCCTCTGTCCACCCATCATACTTTGCATTTACCTTAGTTTTAAAGAAAATATTTAAGATATTTTTATCACACTTCTTATGCTGATACATATTGATGAAAGCTATTCAAGTGCGTCAATATTTTTTACCTTTCCATTGACCTTGACCCCACTTTTCTTAAATTAGTGATTATCTCAATTTCAAAGAAACTTAAGATATTGTCATCAAACCTTATATGCTAATACATACTGATTAGACCTATTCAAAACCAGCACCATTTTTGACCTTGACTTTCCTTTGACATTGACTTCACTTTTTTGCTTACCTGAGCCGAAGGCTCAAGTGAGCTTTTCTGATCGAAATTTGTCCGTTGTCTGTCGTCGTTGTCGTAAACTTTTCACATTTTTATCTTCTTCTCAAGAACCACTGGGTCAATTTCAACCAAATTTGATCCAAAGTATCCTTGGGTAAAGGAAATAAAAGTTTGTTCAAATGAAGGGCCACATCTTCTTCCAAGGGGAGATAATTATGGATTCGTGAAAAAATTAATGACGTAATTTAAAAATCTTTTCAAGAACCACTTTGCTTGAAAATATGAATCTTATATAGAAACACCCTCAGGTAGTTTAGATTCAATTTTGTTAGAATAATGACCCCCGGGGATAAGGTGGGGCCACAATGGATGTAAAATTAAAGCCTTACATAGGAATACATACCTAAAATCTTTAAAAATCTTCTTCTCAAGAACAGCAAAGCAATGATTGGTCGTATTTATATATTTCTTAAATTAGTAATTATCTCAACAATAAAGAAACTTAAGATATTTTTATCAAACCTTATATGCTTATACATATTGATCAGAGCAGATCAACTGCATCAATATTTTTTTACCTTGGCCTTTCCTTTGACCTTGACCTCACTTATCTTAAAATCGTATTAAGCTCAGTTTCAAAGAAACTATTCAAGATATTTTAATCAAACTTCATATGCTTAAACATACTGGTGAGAGATATCTGACTGCATCAAATTTTTTTGACATTGACCTTTCCTTTGATCTTGACGTCAAATTTGTGTTTAGCTAAATTTCAAAGAAACTAGTCAAGATATTTTTATCAAACTTCATATGCTTATACATATTAATTAGAGCTATTCAATTGCAACAACATTTGTGACCTTCCACCTTTACTTTCATCTTGACCTCCCTTTTTTCAAATGTGTGTTTAGTTCAGTTTCAAAGAATCAATTTAAGATATATTTTATGTAAGTGCCTTTGCACTGATACATTATTTAGTGAGAATTTATCAACTTTGTCCATTTTGTTTTTACTTTGACCATCGCAATGACCTTTAACTTTATTATTTATTGTGTACTAAATCCAGTTTTAAAGAAACTATTCAAGGTATTTTCATCAAACTTCGTAAACTAATACAAATTTTCTGTTGCATTACTAATGAACCCTGGGCGGGGTATTCATGCCCTACAGTTTTTATAGAGATGTCTATACTGTATACAGGGTTATTTTTGCCCCATGTAATTTTCGCCCTTTTACTCAAGCAAACAATTTTGCCCTGTTTTAAATTCACCCAGTAACGATTCTGTTTGAGAAATTATACTGTTTTCTTTGAATACGCCCTGTCTTAAATTCGCCCACTTGTGTCTAGGGCGAAAGAAGCGAAAATGAAATGGAGGCAAAAATTTCCCTGTACACAGTTTTTTTTATTCGAAAAAAAAAACCAGCTTCAATTTAAAGACAATTCTTAATACTCCATGAAAATGACATTCTTCATAACATTACACCAAACACCTTAGCACGAGTTCCTTTATCGTTAATGTGTACGTTTTACCTGGTGTATACTAGTATGTGTTTGATTTGCTGACATTCCTCCCCATAACAGACCACAAACTGACAGCACAGGTGCTTTCTTACATTTTTTATGCCCCTCCATGAAATGGGGCATATAGTACGTGTTACTTATTCCATTGTTAATTTAAATTTTGAAAATCACTATCCAGTGTTTTTTTTTTACTTTCTCGTTTATTGTTGATAGTTGGTCGCCATTTTCATGTAGCTAACACAAAAATGTGAAGATTATAAACTTCAAATCTGTGTCCATGCCCCTTTAAAATGTTCATGCTATCAAAGTTTTATCGAGTGTTCATAAAGTTTTGTTCTTCTTGAATATTCTTAACACTATTCCTAAAATCGTTATTTTCCTTTTCTTTTTTAGACGTTGCTGATCACTGAAGTTGTATTGACAACATTTTGGGGAGTGGGAACATTAAAAATGTATCCATCATAATCAATGAATGGAGATCAATGACTGAAGGAAAAGATGTTTTCCGTCGTCTAGCTTGACAAACGCCTGCATACTTGTTAACAATATCAGTGGAAGAAATGTTTATGCCTATTACTGTAAACATATATTTTGTTAATTTCGCAAATATATATTGAGGAAAATATACATATTATTTGTTTTTACTCATATATTTTGCAGAAAACTTATTTCATTGTTGTGCTCGAATAGACGACATGTAGTCGTGTCGGTTATCTGACATTGCCTTTGCTTTTTAATTTTTTTTAAAGAACTATATGCGGTATATGCATATTTTTGCCCCAACAAAAGTCATATTTTGAAAATTTCTTGAAATGTGCTAAATTGTATATATTGTTAGAGAAATCTAAATCAAAAAAATATTGTAGTTTCAAAGTAGGTTATTGGCAATTTTTCTTTCTATGACGTCACAAACTATTCAGATTTTGTATTATTTTCAGATAGAGGGAAAAATGGACAAAATTTGTTCAATTTTTGCTATAAAATTAATAGAGCGCAGACTTGCTCCAGAACAGTATTTACATATTTCACTGATATTATCATTCTACACATTATATCGAAATATTGAGCTGGAGCAGACCTGCGTTCGGTGACTTTTACTCAAAATATCGACGTAATATATACCTTTTTCTGTAGAAATCATGGAAATTTTGAATTTACGTCATTTTCCTGACGTCATATCAAGCATATGACGTCATGGTTTATGAAAATATTCAGTGCTTTGATGTCTGCAGATATACCCCTGTTCTAGAACATAATTATATATTTCTCCGTCAAAGTTTGATTTGGGGGGTAAATATTGGTCATTACCGAATATAGTCCTTTACTCTTCTTTTTTTTTTTTTTTTTTTTTGTTTTGTTTTGTTTTTTGTTGTTGTTGTTTTTTTTTTTTTTTTTTGCATTCTATAATTATACGCATTTTTGTTTATTTGAATCGGACAATCGACCTTTTTTTTTGGGGGGGGGGGGGGATGCATAAAAAAGTTATTTATATCGTGTCGTCTTTCACACTGGCGATGTAGGATATGTCCACACATCTAAAATCTGAAAAGCGGAATGCAATGAACTATGGCCAAGAAAAAAATTGAGACAATGACTTGGACAAACTTGAATCTACAATATGCTTTCAGCTCAGGTGAGCTATAAATGTCAATCCCAACACCAATTATATCGGCAGATGTATAAGAAAAACGCAAATATAATTTCCAGATAATCATTACTATTGAACAAAACAATTAACATTCAATCTCAAAGTAAATATAACGAGGAAAAAAGAATAGGCTGATTTATCAGATATCTCAAGAATTCGGTATCTTGACATGTCATTGTGATGCAGACGAATCCTGGAACAATTTTCTGACCAAAACCTCTTCTCCCTCAGTATTGCGAGTAATGCTAAATAAATACAACTTATTTATCTGCCATACACTTTTTCTATCCTTCTGTCTGTGTGTGTCAATCTCTCTCTCTCTCTCTCTCTCTCTCTCTCTCTCTCTCTCTCTCTCTCTCTCAGCAATTCTTCAACACAACATATCGGCGACAAAATGTGCAAATGTTAACAGTACATATCGTCGCCGATGACAAAATGTACCGATGCGTGACTGTACATTTTGTCGTCCATTATGCAGGAGGAAAAAAGGCTCGTTTCGGTACATATTGTCGCCGACGACAATATGTACAGAACGACAATAATGTACCGTCACAAGATTGCGTAGCGTACCGATTCGTGTTCAGCTTCAACATTAATTAAGCGTTACCGCGAGCTATGGAGAGAGTTTAAATCATATGCGAGACTCTTTTTTTTCCTTTTTTCACATACCTGAAAAATATGAACTATTATCAATAAGTAAAATAAGATAAAGGAATCAAATGTGTAAAAATTGATATTGATAACATAGTTTTTGAAAAATTTATATGTTTAACTTTTCTCTTTTTAAAATTAACAAATATCTTTCTCAGAACGGGAAATTTTACTACTCCATTCTTTGGGTTTGTAAAACATTCCAAAATATGATCACCAAAAAAAGAAAAAAAAATGCATCAGATCAGCACGACAATGAAGGATAATGGAGCTTGGGATAATAATACCTGAGTTCTTGTCAATAACAATTAAGTTTACGCTGGTTCGAGCAACAACTGCAAATGAAATATGAAGATAACGAATAGTATTCAATCTCGAAAGTCGAATGAAACGATACAAATTTGAAGCAGAACAAACACGGACCTCAAAATTTAGAGGTGGGATCAGGTGCCATGGAGGAGTGAACATCCCCTGCCGACCGGTTCACACCCGCCGTGTGCTCCTTGTCATGATCAGTACTAACGGAGAAATCCGTAGACAGTTCAGTGTATAATAATGGCGTAACAATTAGTATGAAAAACGTCAGTCGGCATTTGACACAATGATAGGTTGTAGGTGCTGACAAGGTCATTGTATCGACCGTAAAACTTGCGAAAAGATGACTTCATTCGAGACTGTTGATATCCTTGTTTCATCAACTTGTTTGTCAATAACTTGTCTCGTTTTAGAAATTGTTCATACGTAGAGCATGCTCTTGCGTATCGAATCAACTGGGAGACATAAACCCCATATGCAGGTGATAAGGGTATATTGCTACATAAGTAAGGGAAGTTGACGATTGAAAAGTTGAAGTCATCACGTTTATCTTAAAACTTTATTGTTAGCTTACCATTAACGTCTTTTACTAGTAAAATACCGTATAACGGGTATTTTCTGCGGTTGGAATTTTTTGCGATTTAACCCCTAAAAGATAGCAAATTAATTTCTGCGTTTTCAATTTCTGCGGTTGCATTATACCGCCAAAAATTATTTACTGGGTATGATCACCAATCTCTTAAGAATTATCAGATAGCTGCCATGCTTAAGTTTTATAAATTCATTGAGACATATTGATCAAAGGTGCATAAGAAACTGGTATTAAGCTATTAAGCTTAATTAAACTACTATCTTTTAGTTAGTCTTTGTAAAATTATGTCGAGTCCCAATTGAAAAGAAGTCCACCCAACAACAATAAATAATCGTTATTCTACATTGTAACAAACGTTTTATGCGATCTATTAAAATATTTAAATATATAGATGATTAATGCATCCAAGCCATATTCTAAAAATACACTTATAGTTAATTGCTATCAAAATTAACCTGGTGTTTATATTTTAAGCTCAAACAAACAGTTGCATAATTAAGTAACCTAAAGTTGACCGAAAACTATACAATCACAGGTGTCATGTGCATTGAGGCGTAACTAATCCTGTCAGTCGTCTACATTGTGTGAAATTCACGAGAAAATCAAGCCACATAAGCAGGAATTATGGTCTCAAGATAAAACACAAGATTGAAAATAGTGTTAAAGAAGAAAGAAAGAAGTCTTGTTTGCAGCTATCGGAGTTTGGACTAAGAATTGCGAAATCTCTTTTAGTCATTTACATGTACATGTATATCCGTATAAAATAAAGAAAAAGGTACAAGAAAAGATGTTTTTGTATAAACTTATTGAATTGATATTATTTACGGAACGTTTTGATTCAAATCATGGCATCTAAACTCTTCGAATTTCGATGACACCCGAATTTTCTCGCTAACAAGGACGTGTCCGCTCATGAGTCTGCGGACGCATCGTTTTTAAGAACTTTGCGTCCCAAATAATTTTGCTGCGTCCAGTACGCAGGTTCTTGCGTTAATGAGAATCATGTGACATAAGCACCACTTATCATACTTGCTTGTATAAAATGTATATCTGAAGAAATATTGAAAAATATTTGCGATTGTAATTTTTGCGGATTTGTCCTATCCGCAAAATTCCGCAAAAATTGGACAACCGCAGAAAATACCCGTTATACGGTATATAAATATGAAACAGATGTGTCAGAATCTGTGGTATCTTTTATTTCAAGCTCACTGGGATATATCGAGTCGACATATGAATGAAAGTAACTATATATTGTTAATTGATAATACGTCGTCGATATATCGAAATGTCGAGTTGAAGGCCACAGTAAGTGTTTTCTTCTTCTCATGTAGAAGTTTTTGAATAAATTCTGCTTCATATGAATACAAAATTAGGTCTGCTAATGAGGGGGCGCAAAATATTGTACAGAATCTTCTCACTTTCGTCGATGAAGCAGAAGTTGGTTACAGTCAATAACAATAATGTCAACAGAGTAAGTGCTGAAAGTATGTGTATAATGCTGACTTTTCGTCCAGTGACTGTAATTCTGGAATTGCCAAAGAGAGTTCCATTGAGTTTAATTAATGATTGCATTTAACATAAAAGTTGTAAATTTTAATAGTTAGTACTTTATTATATTTTATATCACAATGCCCTTTACTTGTCTAGATGGATGTACCTAGAAGTACTGCTATGAATGAAATGCATGAGAGAATTACTGAGTTAATGTACAGCCCAAGTCAAAGCTTTATTAGCTCACTTGAGCTGAAAGCTCGTGAGCTTTTCTGATCAAATTATGTCCGTCGTCCGTCTTTAAGTTTTTCATATTTTCGACTCAAGAAGCAATGGGCGTATTTCAACCAAACTTGCTACAAAGCAACCTTGGGTGAAGGGGATTCAATTTTGTTCAAATGAAGGGCCACGCCCTCTTTCGAGATAATTAGTGAAAATATAGTAACATCTTTTTAAAAATGAGCCAAGCAAGCTGAAACTTGTGTGCAAGTTTTATTACATAGTGTAGATTCAAGTTTGTTCAACGTGACCCCCGGGAGTAGGATGGGGCCACAAAAATATATCAAAGTTTTACATAGGAATATATAGGAAAAAAATATTTCAAAATCTTCTTCTCAAGAACCACTGGGGCAGAAGAGTTGAAAGTTAAGTGAAAGTTTCATTATATAGTGTAGATTCAAGTTATAGTGACACCTGGGGATAGGGTGGGGCCACAATGGGCGATCAAAATTTACCTAGGAATATATAGGGGGAAATATCTTTCAAAATTTTCATCTCAAGAACAGCAAAGCCATCATTATTCATATTGATATGGAAGCATTCTCAGGTAGTGTAGATTCAACTTTGTTCAAATCATGACCCACGGAGTAGGGACAAAGTTTCAGTAGACTGGAAGAATTGCTTTCGCTCTCTGTGCAACTGAACCAA